GCAAATCAGATCAAAGAAGAACTCCGATCCCGACTCTTTCAACACGATCAAAAAATAACAGAGATCCTGTTCCTTTTGTTGAGCAAGATCAAACTGAGATCCGATCTGAACCTTGAACTAGATAATTTCCTAATGAAGTAGATTACACTGAGAAATGGAGGAAACAAGATCTCTTACATATCGATGCTTCTACCTTTCCATTTCCTTGACCTATTTTTACTATTTTTTACCATGAAGCAGCAGGCTTTCGCTCACCGACGCGTTTTGATTCGTATCTTTTCTGAGGTTCTTACATTGACTTATATATAAGCTTAAGTTCGCGCATATAGTGCAACTGCAAGTAGCATTACATAGTATAATATTCATACTTTTTAAGAAGTCCCTTCATTCAAAAACCATCTAGAAGTAAGTTTATTTTCCAGCATATCAATACCCCGACTTTTGCTAGCATTCTGACTGGAGACCCCTTGCCCTTGACTGATCGAGTGACTCATAGCCAGCCTCGACGAGTTGCGTAGTGGTTTTGATTAATTGCATAGAGCTGTAAAGGTACTGGTAAAGAGTTTTTTTTGACACGACCCACCCGTTTTTACTTAACACCTGTTGAGCCTGCCTCTGCCTAGGGCATTGTGGTTTTGACCCCAATAAGTATTATCTACTTGTTTACTGCAGCATAGTGGTTTTGATTAATTGCATAGAGCTGTAAAGGGGGCGAACAGATCTAGATTGTTCTAAAGGACTTTGATAATTCCTTTTGATGTTCCTAGATTGATTATTCTACTCCATCTCACAAGGCTAATATCATTCCTGTTTCTATTATATGTATATTGCAACTACATCAAGAACACTAAGACATTCACATTGCTTTCGCTCCTGATTCAAGAACAAGTATAGGACAGGAGCTTAATAGAGCATTCGCAATCGCATTGATTTGGCTGATTATCCGTGGTCGAACTGTAGCTAGAAGATTTCACTAAAGCTGCTAAGTAGAAAGTAGTCACCATAAGCATAAAGGGACGCACTAAGCTTTCTTCTTGGTAACCTTGTATTTCTTCAATAGATACAACGCTCTTAAAGGAACGCACTAATCTTGTAATAGTATTGTGCTACTTACTTACTCGACTACTAGTAGCTGCGATTTAGTTGTCAAGGTCGCGGCCTGTGCACTGCGTGCCCCAAGGAAAGCGAGCAAGTGTAATAAACAACACGCTTCAAACACACCGCTAGATTAGGCACAATCATCATTATCACCCTCATCACCAACTTACAAAGGAGAATATGAAGCAACTTTTTACTTTTAGACGCTGGCTCACAGTGGCAACATGTGTGGTGGTGATGCAGCATGTTGTTACTGGAGTTCGTCTTAAACCGAAGCAGGTCACTAAGACCCGTGGCCTCCTAGGAAAAGCAAAAGAAACAACTCGAAGCCTGTTCTTCTATAAGGAGGCTTTCTTGAATTACATTGAACCCGCAGCCTTGGTGGCAAAATTGGAAGCGCAGGTAGATGGTGCGCAAGCGTCTGGTCGTGAGCTGGAATTGCATCTCTCTCCCGCGCGTTACCGTACTGGCCTGCAAAAAAAGCAAAGCGGGTCAAAAAATGCGGACGATGAATTTTTTGCGTCACGTTTCAACAAGACTCTTCGGTACATTTGGAAACGAGTGAAAGTGCCTGACTCCCAATTGACCTTGTGGTTTATGACCCGCGTTTTGCTTCACGGACACCACTACGATTCCATTACCAAAGATGCTGCCAGAAAATGGACGCTGAATCTACCGGAATCCGTTCTGGAAGCGATTCGAAATGTAACAAATCAGAGACTCTCCACGGAATCTCTACCAGAGAAACAGACGGGGGCTGAATCTCTACAACAGGATCAGGAACTGGAACAGCTGCTCGCCACTGCAGTCCTCTCAACTGGGGAATTCTGTGCCTTTGGAAAGCTGTGCCGTCCTCGTCCAGGAGATCGTGAAGGAAATAAAGGAGATCTGGTTGGTGGACACCTTGGTGATGAAGCCAACAAGGAGGCTACCAAGGTTTTGATCAGCAATTACAACAACATCAAGATAACTGCTTCCATAACGGAGAAAGAGCGTGTTGAGCTGTTGCAGCCGTCCCTGGCTATCAGCGCAAATATGGCCTTTCAGAATGCCGTTGCTAGGAGCTGTACGGTCGACCATGCTGCCGTGCATAATTGGCAAGGACAGCACGCTTCGGCAACCGCGACAGGAGCACCACCGCTGCACGAACGCATCACCTTTCTGACGGGGCCCCCTGGCAGCGGAAAAAGTGTCCAAGCTTTAACTCTGTTGCTTCGCATCGAAGACGAAGCGTCGAAATTAATGAGCGAGAGCGCGGCGCAGCAGCCAGAACAGGTTCTACTTCGCTACCACACGACAAACGAGAAGCTGCGGAACGAGGTTAGAAGCAGCATCGAGAAGCACTACGAAGACGCAAGTCATTTGCTTCCTGGAGCGTTATCTTCTGGATTCACGAGTAGAATCGAAGTTCACAGTGGGCCTGAAGGGCTAACGCAGTCTCTCTCTGATGAGGACGGCGACGACGATGACTTGGCACTTGCTGCTGGAGGCCGTCCAACAGATGGAGGAGCACGGGCCCAGCTCCTTTCTACCGTTGCCACGATACTCGAAAAGCTTCAGGAAGACAGTCAACAAGTAGACCGGACGGGAGGCTCCGCCCGGACGAGTGGAAAAGGCAAGAAGACTTCATCTTCAGGGAGATTGCAATTTATGGCGCTCGCAGTTTATGCCGGTGACTGGGGACACCAGGGGGTCTTGGAACTCTTTGAAATGGCCGCCGCAATTTGTCGAGATATATACAACAACGCATCTTCGTCTGAGCCAGAGGAAGAAAGTAACGCACAGTGCAAAAAGCGCCTCGAAAGCATGATGAACCGCACGACCAATGATCTGCTTTCGCACTATGGTGACAAGATTAAGGGAGAGATTGCCACAGCGTTTGTTGAAAATTTCCGACCGACACTGCTTCTCAACATGCAACAACTGGAGCAACAACGTCGTGAAGAGACCCTGAGCGACAGTGACAAGTCTTCCGGAACTGGAACAGCTGGAGGAGGCTCTGACCCTCTGAGCAGTGGCAGTAGCACTTCTTCTATCACTAACGTGGTCGGCCCGCTTTTCGGATATGATGACTCTTACTCCTTGGCGCAGGCGCTTACGACAATAGAGGGCGGTGCTGAGAGCCTGGAAAAAGCGGAAGCAGTCTATGTGGTGATTGACGAAGCGCAAAACTTATCCGAGATGGCTTTGCTGTGGTACGTTGAAGTCGCCCAGAAGTATCCCGCAGTCCGTTTGATCTTTGCGTTCGATCGCGCCCAGCAGGTCGGCACGAGCGGTCTGAATGACAAGGGCCTCTTCATCAAAAGCCTTGTGAGCAACCACCCTACTTTCAACGGGGGTCGACTTCCCCTTGGACAAGAACCTGAAACCAGGACGCACGACTCGCATCTGGGTGACCGGATTCAAGAAATCAAGCTTACAGAGGTCTGGCGGTCCCCACCTGACGTCCTGGAGTTGGCCAATGCGGTACTAGAAAAGAGGGACTTACTCTTGCGCGGAACTACAAGTAAGACAGAGACACTAGTAGCAGCTGGCGAGGACTGTGCTTCCGGTGTCGTGTCTTCTTGTGCCGCTGATGAAAAAGTAGATCATGGAGTAGGCGGGGGCAGCGTAATCTTTTTGACGCCGCCACAACAAGGCAAAGGCAGTGCGACTGCCACGTGACCGGTTTTTTCGTGGCACGATATGAATACGAGGTATCGAGACTAAATCGGAGCGGAGGTGTTGCAGTTTGGCGGTCTGCCTTGGGTGACTTTGGATGAGGGCACAAGCACATTTTCCGGCGACTGGCCGAAGTCTGTCACTTATAGCCCACGTGAAATTCAAGGACTGGAAATGCCCATTGTATTGGTGTCGAACCCGGAGGATATTTTGAGAGGCAGAAAACCAATACCAGCTACAGACAAACCTGGCATGAGTAAGCAAGATATAATGATGACTCGAAGGGAGCACGCAGCAGCTCTGTCCTCTTTGTTTGTGGCCATGACGCGAGCTCAGTCACGCCTTCTGCTTCTCACGAAGCCTCCGACGAACGCCACATTCAACATGATGAAAGCTAAGACCGCTGTTGATCACTTGGTGAAAACTTTCGCTGAGCATGGTCAAACGCATGCTTCTGGGGCGCCAGATGACACTCGTAAAATACTACTGACTCAGAAGCAGTGGAGCTTCGCAACAGATGGAACGGAACTCCAAGAGGCGCTTCTCCGTGTCAATCGAGGAGCAGGAGGGGATGGAGTAGTTAAAGATGAACCTGTTATAAGTGTACTAGTGAATCAAGCCTCTTGGGTGAAGCTGTTTCTCGCTAATTTGGCGCAACAGAACTTACAACAAGCGAAGGCTGCCTTCCAGGAACATATTTTTCCGCATTGTTCTGATGATCATGTTCTTCATGAACATGCTACGGACGATTACGAGACTCCCAGGGACGAACTGAAAGGGCGTTCGCTTTCCAATTTTATCAAGACGATTAGAGAGAAGGAGCAGTCGTTGTCCGGCGGCTCGGCTCCAACAGGACCAGAAGAAGAGCCGCAGCAGCGTGAGGACCGGTTGTGGGAGACGTTCCTCACTGTTGTTGGAACTTCAGACGCTGAGACCCTGTTAACCCGATGGTCAAAGCAGAAGGCGCACGGAGCTAAGCGGGCTCAAAGGCTCCAAGAGCTCGAGGAGGCGAGGGCCGCGAAAAGTACGCAAACTGCGCAAGGCCCGCGAAAGGGAGGAAAGCAGGCACGAGCACAAGCACCTCCAACAAAAGGAAAAAAGATTCCTGCTGCAGGTGATGCAGAAGAACAGGGTCAAACAATAAATGAAAAAGAACTAGTTGCACAAGAAGAAAGCGAAATTGCGAGGGCGGTGAATGCATGGGCAACTTTGGAGCCCATTGCTCGTCGTGTGGGCACATTAAGTGGCCCATGGGGAGAGAAATATTCTGTAGATGTCGTACGCCTGTTCAAGGCGCTATACTTTGTGATTGAGTCCGTGTCCCGGAGAGGGAGCAAAATTCTTACCTTGAACGAGGCGAAGCAAGAGAGTGAGAGCCTCGCAAAACACTTCCTGGTAGATCTTCTAGGGTTTCTACTTAGAACAGCAACACGAGAAACAGAAAAAGGCGCTTCTTCTCCTAGTCCTCGCAGTGGAGGAACAGGAATAGTGCCTGCATTGAAGTATTTTGAGGACAAGGGCTACGCCTTCGACGTGGCTGGCGATCCTCTCCTTCGTCTTCATTACGCGTTATTCTTCGATGCGGATAAAGTCGGTGACGCCGTGACGGTGACGTGGCTTGATCTAGAAGCACAGCGTCAAGCAAGAAACATGGAGGAAGAAGAACTAGGAGGACAAGATATGATTGCGTCATCATTAGAGGCCATGGGGAGAGAAATATAGTGTAAATGTCGTGGGCATGCTTGACAAGCTACAGATTTACATTATTTTGGGATGCCACGCGGCAAAGAAGCCTTGTCATTTCGACTGGGTCTGGGAAAAGGCGAAGCAAGAGAGTGAGAAGCTCGCAGAAGTCTTCCTGCGACATCTTCTAGAATTTCTTAAAAATTATAGTGCTCCTAGTCTTAGCAGTTGAGGAAGAGAAATAGTGCCTGCATTTGAGTTTTTGAAGGACAAGGCCTACGACGTGGCTGGCGATCCTCTCGTTAGTCTTTCTTTGCAAAATATCGCGTTACGCTTATATTGGGATAGCGCTCGCCCCCCCTTGTTCACGGTGACGGGGCCTGACGGTGACCCTTAGACTTGCAACCTCCAATCATTATACGCGAAGGAGTTATCTACTCTTAGGCAGTTTGCCGAATAGATTCACCCACATCATCAATCTCAGCCTCTTAATACTCCAGTCACTCTTAGAAGAATTGAGCGATCTCCTCGTTGCTTTGTGTAATAGAAATAGAGTTTTTTCGTTTCTCTTCTTGCTTTTCTATGCATCCTTAAGTCACTTGAAATAAAAACTAAATGTGTCAAAATCGGTGTGTTACACAAAGCTACGCTTCAAGCGTAGCTTATTAAGCGTAGCTTTGTGTAATAAAGTTTTTTCGTTTCTCTTCTTGCTTTTCTATGCATCCTAATTAAGTGGCGAGTTCACACCTCATGCTAGGTAAATGAATGAATGAATGAATGAATGAATGAATGAATGAATAATATGAAAATGAGATAGAGTTAGGGTAGTGCTTATCTACTCGTCCAGGCCACATCCATAAATGCTAACGAACTTCTTCTATACCCCATGACTGGGCATACTACGGCCGCAGAGAAATCTTCGAAGGTGCTGGTCCTCCGATAGGAGGAAGTAGAAAAGTAGCACAGTGGGGCATTTACTCAACATGGTAATGGTAAAAAAATAATTGTTGCTCGGATTCTATGGCTGCTTTCGTTCACCAAGGGAAAAGTGGTAAAATGGAAGGAAAACGGCAATGGTAATTGTAATGGTGTAGCGGCTGCGTCTGCAGCAACTGCCTCATGAAAGAAGGAATTATATACAGCATGATTACAGATACAGAAGGAGTTAAACAATCTGCCGCAATTAAACAACATTATTATCATCATCATCATCAGCAAAAGTATAAGGCATTTTTCTTCACCAGTACGGATACGTTTCATCGCAGTACGGATACGCCGCAATCTGAGGAACTTGATTGTTTGCGGCTCTTCACCAGTTGTAGCCTCACTTGTCCATCTACGATTTAGGTGTGTCGTCCCAACCTAACCAAACAGGAGCAGCTATGTCTGTCGATAGCGAGCGACGGAGAAACAGTGTCAACGTACGTCAGAAAAAANCGTTTTTACTTAACACCTGTTGAGCCTGCCTCTGCCTAGGGCATTGTGGTTTTGACCCCAATAAGTATTATCTACTTGTTTACTGCAGCATAGTGGTTTTGATTAATTGCATAGAGCTGTAAAGGTACTGGTAAAGAGTTTTTTTTTGACACGACCCACCCGTTTTTACTTAACACCTGTTGAGCCTGCCTCTGCCTAGGGCATTGTGGTTTTGACCCCAATAAGTATTATCTACTTGTTTACTGCAGCATAGTGGTTTTGATTAATTGCATAGAGCTGTAAAGGTACTGGTAAAGAGTTTTTTTTTGACACGACCCACCCGTTTTTACTTAACACCTGTTGAGCCTGCCTCTGCCTAGGGCATTGTGGTTTTGACCCCAATAAGTATTATCTACTTGTTTACTGCAGCATAGTGGTTTTGATTAATTGCATAGAGCTGTAAAGGTACTGGTAAAGAGTTTTTTTTTGACACGACCCACCCGTTTTTACTTAACACCTGTTGAGCCTGCCTCTGCCTAGGGCATTGTGGTTTTGACCCCAATAAGTATTATCTACTTGTTTACTGCAGCATAGTGGTTTTGATTAATTGCATAGAGCTGTAAAGGTACTGGTAAAGAGTTTTTTTTTGACACGACCCACCCGTTTTTACTTAACACCTGTTGAGCCTGCCTCTGCCTAGGGCATTGTGGTTTTGACCCCAATAAGTATTATCTACTTGTTTACTGCAGCATAGTGGTTTTGATTAATTGCATAGAGCTGTAAAGGTACTGGTAAAGAGTTTTTTTTTGACACGACCCACCCGTTTTTACTTAACACCTGTTGAGCCTGCCTCTGCCTAGGGCATTGTGGTTTTGACCCCAATAAGTATTATCTACTTGTTTACTGCAGCATAGTGGTTTTGATTAATTGCATAGAGCTGTAAAGGTACTGGTAAAGAGTTTTTTTTTGACACGACCCACCCGTTTTTACTTAACACCTGTTGAGCCTGCCTCTGCCTAGGGCATTGTGGTTTTGACCCCAATAAGTATTATCTACTTGTTTACTGCAGCATAGTGGTTTTGATTAATTGCATAGAGCTGTAAAGGTACTGGTAAAGAGTTTTTTTTTGACACGACCCACCCGTTTTTACTTAACACCTGTTGAGCCTGCCTCTGCCTAGGGCATTGTGGTTTTGACCCCAATAAGTATTATCTACTTGTTTACTGCAGCATAGTGGTTTTGATTAATTGCATAGAGCTGTAAAGGTACTGGTAAAGAGTTTTTTTTTGACACGACCCACCCGTTTTTACTTAACACCTGTTGAGCCTGCCTCTGCCTAGGGCATTGTGGTTTTGACCCCAATAAGTATTATCTACTTGTTTACTGCAGCATAGTGGTTTTGATTAATTGCATAGAGCTGTAAAGGTACTGGTAAAGAGTTTTTTTTTGACACGACCCACCCGTTTTTACTTAACACCTGTTGAGCCTGCCTCTGCCTAGGGCATTGTGGTTTTGACCCCAATAAGTATTATCTACTTGTTTACTGCAGCATAGTGGTTTTGATTAATTGCATAGAGCTGTAAAGGTACTGGTAAAGAGTTTTTTTTTGACACGACCCACCCGTTTTTACTTAACACCTGTTGAGCCTGCCTCTGCCTAGGGCATTGTGGTTTTGACCCCAATAAGTATTATCTACTTGTTTACTGCAGCATAGTGGTTTTGATTAATTGCATAGAGCTGTAAAGGTACTGGTAAAGAGTTTTTTTTTGACACGACCCACCCGTTTTTACTTAACACCTGTTGAGCCTGCCTCTGCCTAGGGCATTGTGGTTTTGACCCCAATAAGTATTATCTACTTGTTTACTGCAGCATAGTGGTTTTGATTAATTGCATAGAGCTGTAAAGGTACTGGTAAAGAGTTTTTTTTTGACACGACCCACCCGTTTTTACTTAACACCTGTTGAGCCTGCCTCTGCCTAGGGCATTGTGGTTTTGACCCCAATAAGTATTATCTACTTGTTTACTGCAGCATAGTGGTTTTGATTAATTGCATAGAGCTGTAAAGGGGGCGAACAGATCTAGATTGTTCTAAAGGACTTTGATAATTCCTTTTGATGTTCCTAGATTGATTATTCTACTCCATCTCACAAGGCTAATATCATTCCTGTTTCTATTATATGTATATTGCAACTACATCAAGAACACTAAGACATTCACATTGCTTTCGCTCCTGATTCAAGAACAAGTATAGGACAGGAGCTTAATAGAGCATTCGCAATCGCATTGATTTGGCTGATTATCCGTGGTCGAACTGTAGCTAGAAGATTTCACTAAAGCTGCTAAGTAGAAAGTAGTCACCATAAGCATAAAGGGACGCACTAAGCTTTCTTCTTGGTAACCTTGTATTTCTTCAATAGATACAACGCTCTTAAAGGAACGCACTAATCTTGTAATAGTATTGTGCTACTTACTTACTCGACCACTAGTAGCTGCAATTTAGTTGTCAAAGTCGCGGCCTGTGCACTGCGTGCCCCAAGGAAAGCGAGCAAGTGTAATAAACAACACGCTTCAAACACACCGCTAGATTAGGCACAATCATCATTATCACCCTCATCACCAACTTACAAAGGAGAATATGAAGCAACTTTTTACTTTTAGACGCTGGCTCACAGTGGCAACATGTGTGGTGGTGATGCAGCATGTTGTTACTGGAGTTCGTTTTAAACCGAAGCAGGTCACTAAGACCCGTGTCCTCCTAGGAAAAGCAAAAGAAACAACTCGAAGCCTGTTCTTCTATAAGGAGGCTTTCTTGAATTACATTGAACCCGCAGCCTTGGTGGCAAAATTGGAAGCGCAGGTAGATGGTGCGCTAGTGTCTGGTCGTGAGCTGGAATTGCATCTCTCTCCCGCGCGTTACCGTACTGGCCTGCAAAAAAAGCAAAGCGGGTCAAAAAATGCGGACGATGAATTCTTTGCGTCACGTTTCAACAAGACTCTTCGGTACATTTGGAAACGAGTGAAAGTGCCTGACTCCCAATTGACCTTGTGGTTTATGACCCGCGTTTTGCTTCACGGACACCACTACGATTCCATTACCAAAGATGCTGCCAGAAAATGGACGCTGAATCTACCGGAATCCGTTCTGGAATCGATTCGAAATGTAACAAATCAGAGACTCTCCACGGAATCTCTACCAGAGAAACAGACGGGGGCTGAATCTCTACAACAGGATCAGGAACTGGAACAGCTGCTCGTCACTGCAGTCCTCTCAACTGGGGAATTCTGTGCCTTTGGAAAGCTGTGCCGTCCTCGTCCAGGAGATTTTGAAGGAAATAAAGGAGATCTTGTTGGTGGACACCTTGGTGATGAAGCCAACAAGGAGGCTACCAAGGTTTTGATCAGCAATTACAACAACATCAAGATAACTGCTTCCATAACGGAGAAAGAGCGTGTTGAGCTGTTGCAGCCGTCCCTGGCTATCAGCGCAAATATGGCCTTTCAGAATGCCGTTGCTAGGAGCTGCACGGTCGACCATGCTGCCGTGCTTAACTGGCAAGGACAGCACGCTTCGGCAACCGCGACAGGAGCGCCACCGCTGCACGAACGCATCACCTTTCTGACGGGGCCCCCTGGCAGCGGAAAAAGTGTCCAAGCTTTAACTCTCTTGCTTCGCATCGAAGACGAAGCGTCGAAATTAATGAGCGAGAGCGCGGCGCAGCAGCCAGAACAGGTTCTACTTCGCTACCACACGACAAACGAGAAGCTGCGGAACGAGGTCAGAAGCAGCATCGAGAAGCACTACGAAGACGCAAGTCATTTGCTTCCTGGAGCGTTATCTTCTGGATTCACGAGTAGAATCGAAGTTCACAGTGGGCCTGACGGGCTAACGCAGTCTCTCTCTGATGAGGACAGCGACGACGATGACTTGGCACTTGCTGCTGAAGGCCGTCCAACAGATGGAGGAGCACGGGACCAGCTCCTTTCTACCGTTACCACGATACTCGAAAAGCTTCAGGAAGAAAGTCAACAAGTAGACCGGACGGGAGGCTCCGCCCCGAGTGGAAAAAGCAACATAACTTCATCTTCAGGGAGATTGCAATTCGTGGCGCTCGCAGCTTATGCCAATGACTGGGGACACCAGGGGGTCTTGGAACTCTTTGAAATGGCCGCCGCAATTTGTCGAGATATATACAACAACGCATCCTCGTCTGAGCCAGAGGAAGAAAGTAACGCACAGTGCAAAAAGCGCCTCGAAAGCATGATGAACCGCACGACCAATGATCTGCTTTCGCACTATGGTGACAAGATTAAGGGAGAGATTGCCACAGCGTTTGTTGAAAATTTCCGACCGACATTGCTTCTCAACATGCAACAACTGGAGCAACAACGTCGTGAAGAGACCCTGAGCGACAGTGACAAGTCTTCTGGAACTGGAACAGCTGGAGGAGGCTCTGACCCTCTGAGCAGTGGCAGTAGCACTTCTTCTAACACTAACGTGGTCGGCCCGCTTTTCGGATATGATGACTCTTACTCCTTGGCGCAGGCGCTTACGACAATAGAGGGCGGTGCTGAGAGCCTGGAAAAAGCGGAAGCAGTCTATGTGGTGATTGACGAAGCGCAAAACTTATCCGAGATGGCTTTGCTGTGGTACGTTGAAGTCGCCCAGAAGTATCCCGCAGTCCGTTTGATCTTTGCGTTCGATCGCGCCCAGCAGGTCGGCACGAGCGGTCTGAATGACAAGGGCCTCTTCATCAAAAGCCTTGTGAGCAACCACCCTACTTTCAACGGGGGTCGACTTCCCCTTGGACAAGAACCTGAAACCAGGACGCACGACTCGCATCTGGGTGACCGGATTCAAGAAATCAAGCTTACAGAGGTCTGGCGGTCCCCACCTGACGTCCTGGAGTTGGCCAATGCGGTACTAGAAAAGAGGGACTTACTCTTGCGCGGAACTACAAGTAAGACAGAGACACTAGTAGCAGCTGGCGAGGACTGTGCTTCCGGTGTCGTGTCTTCTTGTGCCGCTGATGAAAAAGTAGATCATGGAGTAGGCGGGGGCAGCGTAATCTTTTTGACGCCGCCACAACAAGGCAAAGGCAGTGCGACTGCCACGGGACCGGCTTTTTCGTGGCACGATATGAATACGAGGTATCGAGACGAAAGCGGAGCGGAGGTGTTGCAGTTTGGCGGTCTGCCTTGGGTGACTTTGGATGAGGGCACAAGCACATTTTCCGGCGATTGGCCGAAGTCTGTCACTTATAACCCACGTGAAATTCAAGGACTGGAAATGCCCATTGTTTTGGTGTCGAACCCGGAGGATATTTTGAGAGGGAGAAAACCAATACCAGCTACAGACAAACCTGGCATGAGTAAGCAAGATATAATGATGACTCGAAGGGAGCACGCAGCAGCTCTGTCCTCTTTGTTTGTGGCCATGACGCGAGCTCAGTCACGCCTTCTGCTTCTCACGAAGCCTCCGACGAACGCCACATCCAACAAGATGAAAGCAAAGACCGCTGTTGATCACTTGGTGAAAACTTTCGCTGAGCATGGTCAAACGCATGCTTCTGGGGCGCCAGATGACACTCGTAAAATACCACTGACTCAGAAGCAGTGGAGCTTCGCAACAGATGGAACGGAACTAAAAGAGGCGCTTCTCCGTGTCAATCGAGGAGCAGGAGGGGATGGAGTAGTTAAAGATGATGATGAACCTGTTAAAAGTGTACTAGTGAATCAAGCCTCTTGGGTGAAGCTGTTTCTCGCTAATTTGGCGCAACAGAACTTACAACAAACGAAGGCTGCCTTCCAGGAACATATTTTTCCGCATTGTTCTGATGATCATGTTCTTCATGAACATGCTACGGACGATTACGAGACTCCCAGGGACGAACTGAAAGGGCGATCGCTTTCCAATATTATCAAGACGATTAGAGAGAAGGAGCAGTCGTTGTCCGGCGGCTCGGCTCCAACAGGACCAGAAGAAGAGCCGCAGCAGCGTGAGGACCGGTTGTGGGAGACGTTCCTCACTGCTGTTGGAACTTCAGACGCTGAGACCCTGTTAACCCGATGGTCAAAGCAGAAGGCGCACGGAGCTAAGCGGGCTCAAAGGCTCCAAGAGCTCGAGGGGGCGAGGGCCGCGAAAAGTACGCAAACTGCGCAAGGCCCGCGAAAGGGAGGAAAGCAGGCACGAGCACAAGCACCTCCAACAAAAGGAAAAAAGATTCCTGCTGCAGGTGATGCAGAAGAACAGGGTCAAACAATAAATGAAAAAGAACTAGTTGCACAAGAAGAAAGCGAAATTGCGAGGGTGGTGAATGCATGGGCAACTTTGGAGCCCATTGCTCGTCGTGTGGGCACATTAAGTGGCCCATGGGGAGAGAAATATTCTGTAGATGTCTTACGCCTGTTCAAGGCGCTATACTTTGTGATTGAGTCCGTGTGCCGGAGAGGGAGCAAAATTCTCACCTTGAACGAGGCGAGGCAAGAGAGTGAGAGCCTCGCAAAACACTTCCTGGTAGATCTTCTAGGGTTTCTACTTAGAACAGCAACACGAGAAACAGAAAAAGGCGCTTCTTCTCCTAGTCCTCGCAGTGGAGGAACAGGAATAGTGCCTGCATTGAAGTATTTTGAGGACAAGGGCTACGCCTTCGACGTGGCTGGCGATCCTCTCCTTCGTCTTCATTACGCGTTATTCTTCGATGCGGATAAAGTCGGTGACGCCGTGACGGTGACGTGGCTTGATCCAGAAGCACAGCGCCAAGCAAGAAACATGGAGGAAGAAGAACTAGGAGGACAAGATATGATTGCGTCATCATTAGAGGCCATGGGGAGAGAAATATAGTGTAAATGTCGTGGGCATGCTTGACAAGCTACAGATTTACATTATTTTGGGATGCCACGCGGCAAAGGAGCCTTGTCATTTCGACTGGGTCTGGGAAAAGGCGAAGCAAGAGAGTGAGAAGCTCGCAGAAGTCTTCCTGCGACATCTTCTAGAATTTCTTAAAAAAGATAGTGCTCCTAGTCTTAGCAGTGGAGGAAGAGAAATAGTGCCTGCATTTGAGTTTTTGAAGGACAAGGCCTACGACGTGGCTGGCGATCCTCTCGTTAGTCTTTCTTTGCAAAATATCGCGTTACGCTTATATCGGGATAGCTCTCGCTCCCCCTTGTTCACGGTGACGGGGCCTGACGGTGAGTCTTATGCTCGCAACCTCCAATCATTATACGCGCAGGGGTTATCTACTCATCTAGACCATATAATATTACAATGAGATAGAGTAGTGCTTATCTACTCATCCAGGCCACATCCATGAATGCTAACAAACTTCTTCTATACCCCATGACTGGGCATACTACGGCCGCAGAGAAATCTTCGAAGGTGGTGGTCCAGCGATAGGAGGAAGTAGAAAAGTAGCACAGTGAGGCATTTACTCAACATGGTGACGGTAAAAAAAATAATCGTTACTCGGATTCTATGGCTGCTTTCGTTCACTAAGGGAAGAATGGTAAAATGGAAGGAAAACGGCAATGGTAATTGTAATGGTGTAGCGGCTGCGTCTGCAGCAATTGCCTCATGAAAGAAGGAATTATATACAACATGATTACAGATACAGAAGGAGTCAAACAATCTGCAGCAATTAAACAACATTATTAAAGAAGGAACGTCGAACGGGGACGGGGTCGTCCCAGCCGGTGCGGCCTAGCCCCGAGTCCACAGAGACGAGAGCTGCGCCTTTTCTTCTCCGGTGTTCATCTTGAATGTACCACGAGAAAGCTTTCATTCTTGAAGACGTTGCACGAGGCAAATACATAAGGACCTACAAGATAAGGACATCGACATACTATAATTGGATTTATACTTACTAAAGACTCGGCTTTGCTTTCCCTGGTTCTCTTTGGGCATTGCCCGCGAAGCCTTTGCTCTATCTTGGAGGTATTTCTATTTGTTTGTTGAGGAGCAGAGTAGAGTAGAGAGTGACGGTAACGGTACTGGCAACGGTAACGGAAGGCATTCCTTGTCACGCCCAGGTGGGTTGAAGATGACACGAACACGCAGGATAGTCCACCTATACAAAAGTTGTGATCACAAGTGTTGTGGGCGCAAGATCAGCTCTATACGATTCAGGAGCGAGAGTGAGCGACGGAGAAACATCCCCAGCCTTCGTCTTCGTGCGCACCTAGTTAATATTGTAAGGTGTCGTTGACTTAAGCTTAACATGCAAAAGTTATGCAGAGGCATAGCCCAAAAGACTTGACCGATTCCCCAACGCTTTCAGGCCAATGATATTGTTGCAAGGAAGAAGCACCCCGCGCCCGCTAGAATATTATTAAGCCTTCACGAATTTCCTAAGTGTTCGAGTACCTACGCAGCAGGAGCTTGGGACCACACTAAATAAACAAAGCAAGCTGACACTCTGTTATCAATAGGAAGTCTGAAATAACGATCCCACGATCTCGCTCAAAGCGATCCTCGTACTGTTCCTCAGTACCCAAGAAAATGATCTGACGTTTAATACTAGAGCACAAATATATACAAGCGTTGATAATGTCGTTTTTTTTGTTAGACACACACTCACAGTATCTTCTCACCAACCACGCCCATCTTCATTTGGCACAGGAGCGCAAGAAGTTTTTTTAGCCTTGACTTTTTGAATATTTATTTAGCCCCACGCGACACGAAGAGTTTATAAATATAATCCTCAGTAGTTAAAAAAGAAGCTTCCAATAGAATCAAAGACATAGATAGCTCAGTAGTATCACTTCTGTAGTTTCGCCACAACTAGACCTAGCGACCATATCTCAAAAATATTGTTCTGAATTCCCCATCACTCGCGCAAAAGGTATTAGATTTTTCGACTGCAAAGTTGAATAAAGTTCGAATAAAACGAATACAAACATCATAGCTCGAGTATTGTAAACCACATTACGCTTACGCCTTCAAATCCTACTAGTTTAGACGTTTCATCTTTTTTCAATTTTTCATATTGTCCTGTTTGGCTCTCTCGTAGAGGAGCGCAAAAGTTTGAAAAGAATGCCGCGTCATGGACAGCATACGCACAATAAACATCCACGAGGTCGTGAGGACTCGCCTCGTGGGCGCGGAGGCCGTGAGGACTCGCCTCGCGGCGCAAGAGGACAAGACTTGCCAGCACAGCAGAGGCAACCATCCGCAAGAATCGCAATAAAGACTACCACTTCCAGTAAACAAGTAGCAACTGAAGCAACATCTGCATCAACTTCTTCTTCAAGTACAACTAGCTTGAAGACCTCCGAAGACGTCTACCAACGCTTCTGTCATGACCCTTGCCTAATGGAATTGACATCACAAGTCCGTGTAGGCTATGAAGATCGTGTGGAGAAAACTATGTTAGAGCTTTCTTTGGAGAAGTTTCGTCCGATAAATAAAGGTGGCGATTTACCTTATCATCGGATTTGGTACTTTCGAGTTCTGTATCCGGATTTTGATGGCGATGTTGCTGCTGCAGCAAGAATATATGAGGGTCGTGAAGACGAGGGGGGAGTGGGAGAAGAGGGGGAACAAGATGGACCACTTGGTGAGGAGCAGCAAAATGATGACGATGTTGAGCAGCAAGTACATGTAGACGTTGTTGAGCAAGACCCTGTTGACGAGGATAATGTTCATGCTGAACAAAATGTTCTTCCGCAGGATGAGGACGAACGGGAAGTTGAAGATGGTCTAGAGCGAGCTCCTCCACCATGGACGCAAAATGAGTTGAAGAAAGCTCGAGGACTTATTTGGGATCGAGCAGCGCGATTTGACCTCGTTTTCAAATCAGGAGACAACTACAACGCACCCAATCTGCTACCAACGTGGGCAAAGATTCAGCACGCAATTGCCAATACCAAACGCGTCGAGCAAGAAAAGGCTTATTTGCTCCAACAGAAACAGGCAAAAAGGCAGCTAGCGCAACAAAAGTCAGTATTTGCGAGGAGTAATCATGGTGCAGACAAGGACCACAGGCGTGAAGTTGGAGAAGCATCAACAGAATGCAAATCATCATTGGATGATGCTATGGTCTTGTTGAAGGGGATCCCCGTCACGAAGCTTCATCTAGCTCCATCAGCTACTATCTCTAGCTCTACGAACAATGGCAATTATGATCATGAACTGCTCAAGCAGGAGCAACTTCGCGTAGTTTCTTTCAATGTTTTGATGGATGCCTTTCTTACCGAAGAGCAGAAAAGACAGTCTCCTGGCCGTTGGCGTGCTTGTGTGAAATTTCTGTTGAGTCTCGACGCTGATGTATGGATCCTGCAAGAGGCTACAGCGGAGTTTGTTGCGATATTGAAGGAGACACTTTCACGACCTGGCGAGTACGAGTTTGATATCGATGCTGGATATAGTCCGACTTTTCACATGTGTTGTGCAAGCGACCTAATCGTGGGTGGACAAGGAGGATCAGGGGACACTACAAGCGGTACCACGATGCTAAGTGATGGAACCAACGAGCGAGAGCTAAGAGATCGAAAAACCAAAGCGTATGGTCAGGTCATCGTCAGCCGTTCGGAAATTCTCGCAGCCTGCGAAGTAGAGTTGGGTCCGGCAAAGAAAGCGGTATTTGCTGAAGTAAAGGTGAGCTCACCGCAAACAAGCATCCTGGTAGGGGCTGTGCATCTGACTGCTAATCACGAGGAAAAGATTATGGGAGGTCAACAAGATCGACGTCATACGATAAATACCTTGAAACGACTGGCGCAGATGGAAAAGACTGGGCAGTTCCTTGATATGGTACTGAAGAACTCAGATGGTCATGCTGCGACTACACCTTTACCTTTAGCGGTTATCGCCGGAGATTTCAACGAAGACAGTGACTTGCTAGATCTGTCTGAGGAGGAGCTGACGTCTCTTGCGAAAGAACGAGCACTAGAGATCACGTCGTCCCGCCTGTCTTCACAAGAAGAGGATCAACATGTTGTCCTCGATGTTCTTGATCAACATTTTTTATTACAGTGTAATAATATACGTCGCGATCTAGAAGCTTATAGAACATCCGCAGAACGCGTTTTTGGGTTCTTAGGAGACCGCCAAATGAGCGGGAAGGGGAACACGAACAGGAACAGTAACAGACTGCTGCAACTTATGAGAACAAATAGAAAGGCGACAGATGATAGAAGAGATTGCGCCTCTACTGGACCAAGCTTCAACCCTGTAGAAAATCCACTGGCCGAGCAAAATTCACAATCCAATCCGTATCCTAGACAACTGGACAATTTTATGCTGAGCAGGGACTACTTACGTCGAGGACAAGAAGGAGAACGACAACAACAAGCACAAAATGATTTATCTTTATCATGTGGAAAAATATATACTGCGCTGGCTAGAGGAGGTGAAGAGGGAAAAATGATCTTGTCTGACCATGAAGCTGTGGTATGTGAGATTCCTTCAATTCCTTCCGAAAAAAGCCAGTTGCAAAGACCACACGGTCGTGGTCCGGAGCTGTCCTCTGTCGTAGCACGCTTGGGATCGGAGGCGTATCGACGCAAAGTTCTACACTGGCAGGCGAGACAGGCTGAAACACATAGAAACGTGGGCTTCTCGTGGTTTCTACCTGATGGAGTGATACCCGTTGGGAGCAGCGTAGGAGACTGTAGCAGCAACAAGGTGGCAACGACGAATACAACTGCGAACAAGCTTGCAGATTGTCTCTATACAGCAACGTGCTGCGGTTCTTCAAATACTAGTAGAGTTTTTGAAGATTTGTCGGCCGCTGATCATGGTGATGAAGACAACCTGACATCGCGTTTTTTCCAGACGATTTCGGACGTTAGGACAGAAGTCCACTCGACCTCCGAAGAACATTCACATTTGGCTTCGCGGCCCGTTATTGAAGTCATACCTCCAGTGATTGACTTATCACACGACAGGATTCCGCCTTCTCTGGTTGAGCGGATCCTCAAATACGCTTTGTTTAACGTTTCGCCTCTCGCATCGACCGAATTCGAACTGGACATTATAATTGTCGATCACACTACCAACAGCAAGACCAACTACACAAAGAGGAAGACCAACTCCTATATCATCGCTCTCAAAGCCGTCAACGAAACTCTGACGGCATTAAAAGAGATCCGGGATGCCCTGGACGCTTTACTCCCACCGTCTCCTTCGGGCCCTCTGCGTGATGCTAGAGAGAGAAAGTCTGGCTTTGAGCCGCGCCTAGTTTTGGCACATGCAGAATCTTTAGTCGAAGCTCAGACGCGCTTTTCGGAAGTGAAGGAGAAATTGCTTCAGAAGCTGCAATTGAAGAAGTGGTCCGATAGAAGTGATAGAAGTGCTGACGCATTAATCTTTCGAGGACCGCCACTCACAAGAATAAGCGGCGTTCAAAGCAAGCACAGACAAGATCACCGAGATTTTCTCGGAAATGGTAGCATGGTGGAAGTGAGTTGCTTTTGCGAGGATATTCCACTAATGGGCGACCTGGATGCGGTTGCAAAATCAGCAGGTCCCTTAGCGAAAATGACATCGGAACTTTTGGAGAAACAGATGGAGAAGATAGGAGATGAGAAGAACTCTCATCAACAGAGAACAGCAATAGTTGGATTTCGTCCCATTGGAAGCGTCGCACTAGGGCTTCCCGCAGCAACAGCGCATGATTTGGATTATTGTTGCTTTTCTGTGAGTAAGGGGTATCATCATGGCAAATGCATCTTGCCGAATCTTGCATCGTGTCCTGCAAAGGATGAAGTGGAACTACAAGAAACCCAAAATAGAGAACAACACGCGTCCATGCTGAATGAGGTTGCCGCACGCCTGAGGACAAGCACGCGCCCTGCAGCTGTCGAGTTTCAGCCTCCTGGCAGAGCAGGCAAAGGTGTGGCGCAAAACAATCCTAGCCCTAGTAAACCTAACTCATCTTCTAAAGATATGAGAAACAGAAGTAACGTAGTTGTCACCGCGTCACTCAGTGAGGAGCACGAGGTCGACGTAGCAGCTGAAGCACGGGTCCCAGTGTGCCGATTGCATGTTCGATTTACGAAAGCAGAAGGACAACATCTGGCTGCAGAACATCAAGTACAAGAAAATGCAAAACTAGCACAAAAAATGACGAAGTTAGTGGAGATTCAAGCTGGTCTCAAGGCCTTCGAAGCGCATATACGACTTCGCGAGCGCATCTTGTCGATCTGTGCCGCCTTTGGTTTTGATTATGTGCACGATTTCCTTGGGGCCTTGTCGAGAGTGCGCCACTTAGCTCGCCAAGAACGACTCTGTGGGCCAGGGTATCCTAACGGCCTGCAGTGGACCTTACTCGTTGCAGATGCGATACTGGTTGCTGGGTGGACGAACTCGAAGATCTCGAAGAACCAGAAGATGAAAGCCAAAGAACTATCTCTAGGTGTAACGGGTGATGAAGATGAAAAGAATCTTCCGTCACGATCACCGTCAATGAAAGCGACCAATGGCATCAATGCGGAGAAGATTATTGATATTTTATTTTACACTCTTCTTGGCACCACAGAAAAACGGGAAGCTGTTTTTGGCCATGCGGATGACTGGGTAGTTGTTGTGGAGCAGCAGAGCTTAACCTCCTCAACTACAACTAGAAGTTCAGACTTTGCTGGCTCAAATAGTACTTCCTCCTTGATGAAGAATCCCACTGCTGCTTGTACACGTCCAGTCATTCTTCAAGTGCTCGAGAGGATGCAAACTAGCTGGTCTTCTGCCTCGAGTGGCCTTAATGCCAATGCTGGTGCTGGTGCAGGTAGAAGTCCTCGCGCAGTCTTTTCCAAAGCATCGAACACACTCGATTCGCTTTTGACGTTTATCCTCCAAAAAGAGCCTGAATTTGAATGGGTTGTGGTCGCAAAGAACGAAAAGACAACCAGAGATGTTGGGGACACAACAGAGACACCAACTTCTTCTATGAAACCAAATATGAGCCAGAACGCTCAAGTTCAAGAGAAAAGCGTACTACAAGTTGCGGGTGATCTTTTCCGTTATGCTGTCGTTGTCAGGCCATATCCGGAAGTCTCCGACGGGGTGTACGTCTTTGGCCTTGTGTTTAACGAGAGTAAGCGAGACAGCATCCTGCATGTCTGCGAACAGTGGGGAGCAAAGCTAATACGGACGCAGCAACTTGGAGAGTTAGTTGCGTAAATGATATCGGAAACAGAGCTTGTGATCATACACATACGGATAAGTACTTATAAGTAGTTAAACTTAGACTACTTACTTAAATGATATTGAGTTCGAGATCTTCATAGAAGTAGTAGAGATCAAATTACCATGTGGTCCACGTCCAGGCAGTCCTCGTGCAAAGTTGTTGTACTACGCGTGTTCTTTGAAGATTGAGGTTATGGTTACTGATAAAGATGTCCAGTACAACTGGATTCAAAGAATTACCTAAGACGAGAAAGAGCAGACAGAGACGAGAGAGTGAGAGAGAAATCTCTGCTAGAGAAGAGAGATTTGCATCGTAAGAAAAGTGTTTTCCAGCAGTCTGCTTGTAAATTCAAAAGATACGAGCAGCGGTGTCTGCTCAACAATTCAAAGGATAAATTAAGAGACGAGCAGCGTTTCTTAAGGCGTGTTCTTCTTCTAACGAGAACGACAGCACGAGTTGCATCAAAAAAATTTCTTCCCATTCAAAGATAAATCATGAGTCTAAATGCAACTAAAATTGTTCCAAGAAGATCAAAAGATGATAAAATAAGATCTGAACAAATGAAGATCCTATCTAAATTGAACATTGTCCTCGTACTTACTACAGCGTTTCTTTAGATTGAATAGGAAACTTCACCCCTCGGCTTCGTTGTTTGTCCTTTAACAGCAGTTTGCAGCAGAGTGTTTGTATGTAGAAGTCGTAAAGAGGAGTTCTTGCTCGGACTAGCAGCGAATCGAGGATCTTGTGTTTGACAGATAGGTATTCGTATTGGAATCGAAGATATTATAGTCGCAAATCGTTCTCCTCATTTTCGTCGTGCACTTGTACTCACATCAGTTTTCGAGTACAAAGATTGAGGATTCTTCACATCGTTCTTGTTGTGAATTGTTGATCCTATAATAAGCTTCATCACCATGATCAGACAGCGTTGTTATACTAGCAATTTGAATTTCGTCAGTCTTGGATTTTTTCTTGTCAGTGTAGAATTCGGAATCGGAGAACCCTGATTTTTATTCTCGCATATAATATCGATTTTTCCTGATTTAGATTTCTATCGTCCAACACTAAAGTTGTAGGTCTTGTAAGCTAGAAAGCATTACGAAGTAGACTTGTTCGCGCACGTCTTGTACGCACACTTGGAAGCATTGAATCTAAGTAGTACATCCTTTATAGTTCCAGCGTATTGAAGTTCGTTGAAAGCAAGAACTTCAACTTCTCCTGTACGTAATATTTATAAGAACATCACCAGTTCTTTGTATTCCCCCACGACATCAACATCTACTTCCACAAGCGACATAAAAAAATGGGCGGCAACAACAAGGATCTTGTTTCCACCGAAGAACAGGAGGCAACTCCTGCCCAGCAAAATGGCAATTATACCAAACCAAAGTCCTCGACGTCTCGAAACAGCAAACCTTACGTGAACGACTATGACTTGGTGGAGTCGATGCCAGGTGCGCAATGCGACTGTACTGGACCACAGAGGGCGGAGTTTGTTGCCCGAGCCAAAAAACTCTACGAAGTAGAGAAAAAAGAAGAGGCGCAGATGTTGTACTTACTACAGATTTTTTCTTGCCAACCCCAAGTAGTTTAACTTCACGACTCTACCTGCCTGCTTCTCCTTGTTTCCATTTTTACAACTTCTACCTCCAAAAGAAACAATACGAAACTTTGTTTTCCAGCACCTGCTTACTTACACTTTCTTTCCCATGTTGAACTTGAATCTCTACCAGTACTTATTTTAATACTTGTAGTAGTATATTCCTTTTCCTTCTCTCCTACTCCCTGTCGTCCAACTCTCCCACCCCCTACAGAACGCAAGAGCGTGAGCGACAGCAGCTTCAGGCTGAGCAGGAGGTGGACACTCTGGTTGAGATGTTTCCCTTTTTGGAGAAGACCTTGCTCCAAGGCCTATACCTGGAGCATGGCATGCAAGCAGCGACTGAGCAAGCGATTATCTTGAGCGCGACATTGGGCCAAGACTCCAAGGAAGTCGTCGCGAAGGCTACAGTTGGGGAGGAAGCTGCTTCGTCCAGTACGGATGTGAAGGGCGGGGAGGAAGGTAAAAATACTAGAAACAAGTAGCTGTGAATCTATTTTTTTACAAATTAATACTACAACTTCACAAGTTCGCTGGACAAGTTAAATCTGAAGACGCGACCTTTCTTTTTAGGTCAGCTGGCTACTAAACTAGTAACCCCTTGAGGAGCAGGAGCAGTAGAACGCTTCCCACCTCTTGCTCGCTAGCCTTCATGATAGGCCTCCTGCAGAGTTTCAGATGTAATTTTTTTTTTTTTGAAGGGCTGAATTTTTTTTTGAAATTCAAGTTCACTGGACAAGTTATGTCTCAGACGACGACCTTTCTTTATTCAAACATCATCCTTCACAGCCGACTTCTTCTCCGCGGAGGCTCGAGCGGCTCGCAAGAAAGAGCTTGTTGTTACCGACAACGCCGAAAATTGGCCCCCCCTGACGGACGCCGATGGATGGCAGGTAGTACTACCTCTACTAGGGAGGACAAGTTATTTAGAAGATGTTCTACAACTACGTACTCGAAGTCGAACTGCTCGTCGTTGATTTTTGTAGTATCTGTAGTATGTTGATACACGAAGAAGTTAATCGAGGACATACGACAAAAGTCTCGTTCTCGTCTTCATCTTTTCCACCTACAGCTACACCCTCTTCAACTACTTACACCAGGTTTACACTGCCCCCGTTGAACTTGACGATTTGGCGGTTGACAACAGCGACAACACGTGGTCCAACGTGGCTAAAGCGGCTGCAGATTTGCCGAGCCCGCGACCCCAGCTTGAGGAGTTACAACAAGCTGGCATCAACCCTCGAACCGGCCTCCAGTACAATACTGGTGCCAACTACAGAGCAGGATCAGGTGTAAACGGGTGTGGAGCCACAGCGACAGCGACAGGCGATTACGACTACTACGCAGGTCATCGCGATGCAGTAGATGACTACGACTTAGCGCGATCGCGTGCAATCAAGAACCGTGACCAGATGGCGATTCACCATAAAGCGCGGCCACGCAAGGACTCATCAGCAACGACGGCAGCGTCAGAAGACGGCGCGGCAGAGGATGAACATTACACAACGGGCGAGATGGTGGAAGTGGATGTGGCATGAATCATGAAGAAATGGGAGACTAGGCGTACTAGCGTCTAGCAGAAGCAGAAGCAGAGCCAGAATAGCAAGATCATGTCCGTGTAGTTCTAGCACTTCTACGTTGCGTCTTCCAGAATCAGAAATGAAGAACAACAGCAACAACAACAACAACTTCTTCTAGTACAACAGCTAAACAAGAATCTGCTTCGTGGTCTTTGCCGCCTTAAGTTGTGAGATTTTGTTCTTGAAGCCCGTCGTCGGGGAAAGTTTTGGTAGTAGTTTCTAGTAGTTCGATTTTTTCTCAAGTTGTGAAGATCTACATCTAGAAGTATTTGTGTTTTGATGTTGTAACTGATACAGAAAAATAAACATGATCATAGATGAGAAGATTATAGTCTAATAGTCAGAAAATCATGAAGATCAACATGATTATAAATTCTCGAGGATTCTTCATGATTGGCAACAACTACAGCTACAGCAGAAAATAGGATACAGGTTCTTCCACATCATTCACATAGAGCAAGAACGAGATCGGCTACAAGAACTAAACTTCGTTGAAGGCTCTACAAAACAGAATCCCCTATGCTGATGTCCAGTCTCACCCACTTTGACCTTTTGAAACATTATTAATGATTATGATTTGCGTAGATGATGATGAAGATTGAAGACCCATGATCGCCATCGAACTCGAAGTCGAAATCAAGTCTCTGAGTAGATCACAGCACTCCAAGGCTTCTATCAGCACGGCCACCATTGATGAATGGGGATGCTTGCATCCTCTGTAATCGTGCGAACGATTGTGTAGAAAACAAGATAAAGATCGAGAAAGTAGTTACTAATAGATACTGGAATAATTATGACTTGTTATGCTGAAAGTGCCTTATTTAAAATAGTTGAAAATAGTACACTTCACAGTCGGAAATAGCTCTGGTCGCCACTGATTCTATGAACAATTTCTCACCGCTCAAGCTGCTCACAAGCCTCGCAGATGGGGACAACGAATGCCATGCTATGCTTTGGTAGATCAGTCATTGCACGGTGAACATGTCCGGGTCAGCCTTTTCAAAAGGTAGCGATAAATGACCCACATGCAATGAGGGTCGCTCTAAGATTCACCAGCAAGCTTGCGCTTGCACTGTGTCAGTGGAAACATGAATTGCTGATAACTCGTTGACTCATGCATGGAGTATAACTGCTTGTAACTGAGCTGGTTTTGAATCAATGAATCAATCGTTTTGATTCAATGAATCCTCAATCCATCGATCGCGACATAAGTGTCTGAGTTTTTCCATCGAGCTATGAAGATGGGCAGCCACTGCAAGCGAAATCCAACGGAGAAAACAGGCGTTCGGATCCACTTGGCGGATATTTTTAGGACGATTCGATGAGAGAACAAAGAAAGCAAAAGTTTACCACGAGGGAGAGGAGTATAAACTAATAAATATATAAGCAAGTGAAGTCAGCGCGCAAAATCGAGGCAGCCAAAAACTGGCCCTGAAACAAAAACAAGGAGGACGAGAGTTAATGTTATCTATAGTTACGAGGCGCATTGAATGTATGGGAATATTTAGTATTCATGAGTTCATCTTGGAGGTCCGTTGCAATGAGTCAGAGATATCTTACAAACATTCGTAAATTAATTTATTAATAAATACTGGGATTTAGATGCTGAGACTTACCTTGAGTTCTAGCCCGCAACTTTATCAGGACATTGTCTGACTGGTAGACTTTTATTTTGAAAACTCTCTGAAGATGTCATCCCCCGCTGCGAAGATGCGGAATCCGTTTGCGGATACTCCGGAAAAAAAGTGGGAAGGACAGGAAGAAGTGGCAGGTCTTGGAGCTCCATTCACCGAAAAGGAGCGGACGTCACCAGATGCCAAGAACTCCAATTTCGATGGGGCGATAAGTACGCCACCTCCGAGCAAGACGACGGTGCACTGACCTCATTTGATATTTATGTTGACACACATGTAGCCCGCTCTCTGCGGAAGGAAAGAGAAAACCAGCTAACAAACTATGCAGTGCAAACATACAAGTAGCTATGTAGTACGTAGCCGCAAGGTATCTACTTCTGCTGACTGTACTTACTTAAATAAATTGGAACGAAAAAAATAAAATTAATATAAAATTAATGAAAGCACAACCCTACCAATCGCAAACTAACAGGATCATGATCTTGACGGGCCACGGCGCAGCTCGAGGAAGCGCAATTCCGAGTGCTTGTCCCTGTTCGGCACCCCACAGTCGGGATCGGGAGACGCCGCAAGCAAAACGACAGGTCCCCCGATGTCTCCGCGTCGCATAAAGTTCCCAAAAACGGGACTTTTTCCGAAACGATTGGGAATGCCTCGCTCTCGGGTACAAACTAGCTTTATAAATTCTGATGGGCTTAGCTTGGTGGACTGGTAGTGAATTTAAGAATGAAAGATGAAGATCCTGACTACTCAGAGCACGCTTTCTTATCTAACTATCAATGAGTCATGAATGTCGAAATTAATCTGATTCAAAGGTTGAGATGCAGCAACAAGCGGCCGCAGGTGATGAAAAGGCTTCTACTACTGTTAACGTCGAGCGAATGCAAGCGCCTTCGGCTAGCCAAGGGCTTATGACTGAGCAAGAGAAGGCCCAAGTGGGCCTCGAGTTGGACTTGCAGCCGCGTCCACTGGTCCCTTCTTCTACCCCAGTTTTGGCCGCTTCAGCTAAGGAGAATGGGGTCAAGCCTAAGGCCAAGCCGCGGCCAAAGCAGGTTCGATACCTGTCGAGCGGAGGAGTGTACAAATTCACACAGGTTCACACTGTTATGGAAGCAGATGCTTTCTATTTATGTTGGTCTCGTGTTAGTCTGTCAGTGCATGAATCAGTGCTAGCTATACATAGTAACTAACTTAGTTAGTTACTTAGAATCAATTCCTAGGAAGGTAGACCTCTTTCTTTTATTTGTGATAGATAAATAAATATGAATGATGGCTCTCACATGACTCACTTCTTAGAAGGAAGTTGATAACTCACCATGGCTCTCAGACTCAGTCATGGGCTCTAATTTTCATCACTATGATGGATCTTTATGTTTCTTTAGGATCTAGGGCTTAGGGAATCGCGTCTGACTGTATATTTATTTGCTTCATGTAAAAAGTGAACTCAATCCATCTACGCCTCTCATTTTGGCGGAGCATTGGGGAGCGGAGGACTTACCTATCTTGCCTCTAGCGGATATTCGTGGGAGGTCGCGAGCGTATTTGTATTTCATGAACCACGACGCTACTACCTTCAACACGCGTTGCATGCGTTTGTTCCGCGATGGAATTGAGTCCTACATGGTTTCGTTGTTGCGAAAGGCCACTATGCTTCGAAGCCAGATGGATAGAGGTGCTGTGTTCCCTACGTGCATAGAGGAGTTTGGAGGCAAGGACTTGGCCAGGTACAGACTGAAGAGCATCATGAGATCGATGTCAGAGGAGGAGGCGGACGATGCGTGCGGCATTTTCAGAGCTCTGGTCAAGAACGAGTGGAATCTGACTGATGAAGAAACCGACGAGAATATAGAACTTCTTCTTCAAAAGTTTGAGACTATCCTCGGCGAAGATCTTGGGTGGAATTATTTGCAGCAGCAGTTTTTCAAATTAGAATACCAGTGGAACTCCAAGAGATACTACCAGAGTCAAGTAATGGGATTGATGGATCTGAACGAGTACGCCGTGCACAACGATGAGGGCCACTTCGTCATCGACCCGAAAATGACAGCGGAGGACATGGAAAGCATCACCAGACTGACTAACTTGTATGAAGAAAACAACCCCATTTCTCAGATCACTGATCATGGTAGTAGTTCATCTTCGTCCTCTACTGGGCCAAACTTTCGAATTAAAAGCCGAGCGTCATTGGAGACTCACGGAAAACTCCAGCAGACGTACAACAAGATCGTCTCGAAGACAAAGAACAACAGCAAGACCAGCTCTTCTTCATCAGCCAGCGCTTCCTCGAGCTCCACCACCGCACTTCTAACGCCGTCTGACACGCAGAACCAGCATAGGATGCGAGCCCGCGAGCTGATTTTAAGCAATCCGATGCGACTTCAGGACATGGAAATTCCGGCTTTATCAAGCCCTCGAGACAAATATTAAGAAGATGAAGGGGCGCGTGTCTTTTGGTTAGTAAATGAGTGTATCTATCTATGAAATTAATGTAAGAAACAGAGCAGTGCAACTCACTGTCACTGTGAGAGTGGCGCTATCTTCTTTGGATTTATCGCGATTCATGGCTGGGGATGGATTTGAATCAGAGTCAGACCGGAAACAAGTGTGAAAGCGTGGCCCGACAATGCTTATCTAAGTAACGATGTTCGTGCTGTGGTTTTTTTGTAGTGGATCAGCATAGGCGTATCTTGTGTCTACCTGTTCATCTTGATAAATTCCAGAGCGCAGTGAACTGAGCCCAGTATCTATTATTATAATAAATTATGCCCTTTTCTATAGTCTCATCTAGTATAATCACGTAGACCTTAGACAAAAAAAGAGCTGACTTCTAAACAATCGCGATCCGACTCAGTCCGATCAACCCTGGCGTGCATACGGGTGATAGCGAGAATCCCGAAGCTTGGATGGAGAAGCAATTGGCCATTTGGGTGGAGGGTGGCTGGAGCTTCACAGACCGCGACTTGGCACTCATGGCACAGGGTGACGCCAAGAAGATCCTCTGTAAAAATCCACATCTTTTACCGGAGCGCTACGATCAGATTTTGGAAATGTTTGACGACATGTTTGTTGACGCAGATTGTAGCACCAGCAGTGACGACGCATTTGATTTCGAGGAGGATCAGATTTGGTTGAACCAGTCGGAAGTTACGGCAGGTGATCCATGAGAAACAAAGGGAGAGATACAATCATAGGCTAGATCTATAAATATAGGATATGGTCTAGTTAGTTACAGACAAAGCCTAGCAAGAGTAAAGGTCAAGCTCGATAGAGTTCTACTCGTGTTTTTATAGGTCTCTCCTACTGTTGCGATCGTGATTGTCTTGGTGGCCCCCATTTTCTTCTCCACTAACTATCGACTGAATCTCACTCCCTCCTTATATATTGCTTCATGAGCGACGAAGAAGATGACGCTGGTATGGAAACGCCATTCGATGAAATGTCGCCACTTCGGAACGCTTTCGCTGAAGAAGAAGATGAGAGCGGCAATTTGAGTCCGAAGGGATTCGAGTTCCTTGACAAGAAATTGTTCAGCGAACCTTTCACAGCCGCACGGCTCAAATCTCTCGAGGCTGCAAGAGAAGCGGCTCTGAAAACAGAGGACGCAATGAGGATGCAGGCCGTGCTAGATGCGCTTGATCGATCCGAAGAAATTCATAAGCAACTAGTCAGAGAAGAGCAACAGGAACGAGCAAAAGCGGGACTGAAGAGCGGCACAAAAGCAGACGAAAATCCGCAAGCTTTATGGGAAATTTTTGTGCGACGTACATTGATTCGTCGCTTATAAATGCGTAGATGAATTAAAGCTGCTCTTTATATTTATACTCGCTCATATTTATAGATACTCGCTCAATTTTGCTCGTACCTACTTGAAAAGACCCTGCGCAGGGATGCTTTTGGTTTTGGATGCGTCGTGTGTGAAGATGAAGGCGTGGGTGCTGCTATAACGTGGACAAGCATGAGACTGAAGATAGGGCTTTTCGTTTTTCTATCTTTAGTGACCTACGTATAATCTTCGTCTAACTCTGAATGCTGGCGATGGTATCGGGGGAGGTGCTCTCTCGCCTGGGCTGCAGAAAATGGTGGATGATGACTTTGATATGGAAGGAGAAGAGAGGCTAGTGGACCCCGAGCAAGAGAGGGTGCTCTCGGATCTGCTGAACGCTGCTGCGGTTCCGGGCGCTGTCAAGTCTGAGGTCGATAGTCGTGGCGTCGAAGGTGATACTGAAGATGCACAACAACAACAACTCAGGGGCCAAGGCAAGAAAAAAATGGGAAAAGCAAAAGGAAGACCAAAAAAAGCGGCGAGTGCGAAGCCAAAAGCCAGTGGTGAATCGAAGAAAGGCCAAAAGAAGAACAAGGCCGGGTCGCCTAGATCTCCATCAACCCTCACCGATTTTTTTGGGGCGCAGTCGGTAATGGATATGGACGTTGAGGGCTTGCAGGCAGATGTCCTTGTGGGACAGGCCGCTACACCAAAGGCGTCAGACCGACTGTCAAGCCTCCGTGGAGGTTCGCATCCGGACAGTACTAATGCTAAAGGATGGAAGCAACCTAAAATCTGGGATAAGAATGATCACGGTCCATACTTGGATACCCCAATCATCTAATTTCAAGCACTATTTAGTAGGCTCTAGCATCTATTTACGCAAGTTTCAGAGTCATTTATGGAAGTAGTAGGTCCTCGCTTCTCGAGGTGATGTATTTATTCAATGAATTGCTGAAGTTAGTATGTAATATTTATCAGTGATATGAGTTCAGCGCTGTTTCAGTAGCGCTAGCGACGCAGGAAGTCACTTCCTCGTGCATTCTTTAGGTGTGCCTAGAAAGTAAAAATATACATTCATCGGGTGGGCCTTGCCGTCTCTCTTTGAGTGTTCTTATGCTAGCTTCGGGATCTAGTTCACGCTTACCCATAAGATTCGCAATTTTTCAAGAAAAGGAAAGTAGCCAAGACTGTTGCTCCTAACTGAATTGGAGCCATTATTTAGCATACTAAGTATTACTTTTATATTTGTTAGTTAGATTGAAAAAAAATCTTGTCTGGGACGCGCTCATCTAGCGAGATTCTGTTGGAAGTTGAGCTTGAGCCGACAGCCACAGGGCTGATCTCGATTACAGCACTCTGCCCTTTCATACATTCGTTGTCCATTCTATTGAAGTAAGGATCATACACACAGACACACATAGCCTGGCCTATTATGGATCAATCAATAGCTCAACTGTGCAAATAAATAAACTCAGGAAAAAAGATGGCACTACTTCAGGCTGGTGCTACTAATGATTAGGGGCATGTAGAATCGATGAAGTTCCATTACTAAGAAAGGCCCGCTACCTAGTTTATCAACCATCGCAAAGATGCGGAGGCTTTGGCGTAGACCTAGACGCTCAGACTTTTCCATACAACCAAGCAAAGCGTGACCATAACTTACTTAGGCGTAGGCCTAAGCTTCACCTGATGCGTGACTCTTACCAACAGCACGGACAAGGAAGTCGTCCCCAGTAGACTCTACTTATATTTTTGCATTAAATTCGGAGCTTCCGTTCCAACATAAATATGACTTTGCATTAAAAAAATATCTTATGTATGATCGAATGACGAATGGAAGCTCACTCTCTCTTTCTAGCGATGAGTCGCGACTACCTAGCCTGAAGTAAGAAAGTATGTCTGCGCTTTTCCCTCGTGCAGGTTTTACTAAGGTATAGCGCTCATACTGAAAAAAGGAAGGGCTCGGGCATTCTCGATCGTCAGCAGCCTCCTGCTGCTTCATTTTCCCTGGGCGTAAGCCTGCGTTACTGGTGCATCAGTGTCATAGTTGATTTCTAATGACGCTCCCCGATTTCGCAATAGTTTTGATCTTATCTATGCTTATATATGAGTTAACTAGAGTGCATTACATACATAGATAGATACATAGATACTGCTCGTTATATCTATTATAAGTAAGTATGAGACTACCGCTGGGCTAAGGATTATTAAGAGAAGGCATTGCTTGATTTGAATCAGATTCATAAATAATATGACAGCGCTTGTTTATGAGTTTTTTTTTGCTAGGTTGCTTACAGCAAGGAAGTGCAACTTCAAGGAAGAGAGCAAGTCCAAGACCACTCCGCAGCGGCGCTCACACATATACTAATGCGTCGCTTCTTTCAGTATACTTAAGGTTAGGAAAGAAACAGGCTAGCAATCCGACTTAGATAGATTCTCGAATATGTTGTGTTTGAGGTTAAGCTATAAAGTAGATGCCTCTCACTCTGCGTCTGCTCTCGTCTAGGGTAATACTTTTCAACTTCGTGTGCGTCCATAAAGGGGAGGCATAGAAAGATAGTATTCGACTCTGGCGATATTTAGCCTCGGCTGTGTTAGGGAAAAGACAATGCATGGCTGGATTCATATTCATTTCCATAATTCAACACTACGACTACCTACTACGAGTACGACTAGAGGGTCGCGCATTTTTTTAGAATCAATCAGATTCGCAGGCTTTTTTGTATGTATCATGATAGATGACTCTAAAAAATTGAATTAGCTGTGTTGTATCTATTCTCGAAGGAATTTCTGATGAACTCATGGGAACGAGCTGGCTAGGGATACCAGTACCACATCGCGACGTGTTTCGTTGTATCTTCAGTGACACTACCTAGACTACGGAAATGCCATAGAGTCAGCGACTCTAACTTGAAGGGCGGCGTCGTATCTAATCGTCACTGACTCAAACAAGGGCACTTTTTGGGGGAGGATGAATATGGACTCATACATTGGGTCTGGAACTGGATATTCAATATTGATTCGCCTTTGAGATCTATCAAGCGAATACGTTCACAAACACAACCTTCATCATGCCGCTTATGTCTTGCTATCTGACTGCCTTGCTGTCAAAGGACAACCTTAGTTCGCCCTTGCTTCCCCATCTTCGCACTATGAATGTTCGGCTTCGAGAGAGGGAGAGCGAAACTGAGAAAAGTAAAAAGGGCAAAGCAAACAGAGAATTAGCATCATACATCCAAGATCAAAATGGGTTGGCGTCTGTATCTTTGTATCCACAGGAAGCTTTCATGAAAATTCGAGCACACGCACAGGCGCGCCCATTTTCAGTTATTCGATGGCACCTATCTCATACATAGGCCTTCATTTGGTAGTCTTACTTTGCTCACAAAAATAATGGAAGCCATGGAAGTAGAACAAGAATGTGACAACGACAACCCGGACAAATTCACCGAGAAGGTCAGGCGGTTTGTATCAGACGGGTATCTCGGGGAAAATGGTCCAAGTAACGTCCATCGAGTGCTCATCTATCACGCTCTCACAAGCGTCGCTCCAGCTAAAGCTATCGAAACAGCATGCCGAAGCATGCGACGCGATGTCCCGATTCTTTGGATACGGGAGGGTGATGGGTCTGGTAGAACATGCAGAGCCAGAGGTGGCAAGTTGATCAACAGAAGCGCGAAACAGTACTACATACGCAGCTCCATCGTCGGCATGCCTCAAATATCGAATAAGCGAACTTTGAGTAGAGGCGCATCAGTCGCAGCAAAACTTCAACCGGAGACGTATCTTCAGACCGAATTCGCGACTACCAGGACTTGTAGCCGATTCATCGGCAACAAACGAGAAAAGTACCCCCAGTATTGCAAGCTTCACATTCCTGTTCACATTCAGGACCAGCGGCAGGCGCAGTACTGGTCGGATGTTGATCATGAGGAATTAGTAGCATTCGATAAACTCTTGCAGCAAAAGAAGCAGGTGGGAATCCTACTGGCGCTGGCAGATACAGGAGGAATCTATGAAGTAGCAGATGCGGTTTTCAGAGTGCAGCGCGACTTGCGAATTAGAAACGTTCTGCCTTGCGGAATGAGATGCCTGATGCATCAAGTCGGCATTTCACAGCAGGAAACGTTGGAAGAATTTTGCAGATTAGTGGGAGTGTCTCAAAAACGATGGGAGAAAGCTATCTATATTCAGGTATGCCCATCTACTAGCATGGCTTATCGCCCCTGAGTTCTTTGTAGTAAGGCTTCGCTGTACTGCATGCGAATCAGTAGAAAGACAAGGTGAGGACTTTCTTGGTTTCGTCTCTACATTACTTGACGCTGAAGATATTTCATATTCCTTTCTGTAGGCGCTGCAGCTGCGAGGAGGAATATTGCGAGTGCGGAGTCATATTGGGGAAATTTTGCAACGAGTGCGGCGGGTGTGTCCTACAAATTTGAATAAGCGATATTCACAAGCAGACACTTTTGCGGAAACGGTGAAAGCAACAGCTGCGGAAGAGCTTCGTGGGAATGGGGGTAATTTTTCTTCAAGTAGAGCGGCCATTTTTATGTCGGAGAACGTGGAGTTCTATCACTTTGTTAGTTTCTTCTTGTTGTTACCACACGTCGTGCTTGCATCTACCTAGCGCCATTCTGGTCTTCAGGTAAAGTGGCCGCCGACATTTACAAACGACTTATGCGGGTAGCAGGAGAATCCGAGTTCTTCGTCCCTGACGTTTCTGTAGCGGATCAACTTTCAGAGCAGTGGATTGTGGACCAATATCGGCAAGTCACAGCCATGCGACTGAATAGGTACATGACCTTCGCTTCTGGCATACGGGCGCAGCTCCGACTGTGTGGACTTGGAATAGAGTGCATGCTCGTAGCTACTCGGGACTTGTACTTGCGTCAAATAGATGGGACGGCGAAGCGCATGAAGATTACAGTTTTTCTGATGGGGCAAATAATTGGATACTTCGTCCAGCTGCTCTTCCAACCACTAGACGCTGTGCATGGAATTCAGCTGAGCAACGGCCCGGGGAGTCAGAGACAGCAGCGAGAAGCCCTGGAAGATCGGTTGGCGTTCGTAACTAACATTCTGAAGGACCGAAGCCGAGTAATGGAAGAGCTGTTTATACTAACAGGACTGGACTTCAGCGAAGACCAAGACCTACAAGTAGGCGACGTGGTTGTTGTATATCTGCGAAAACAGGCTGAAAGAATAGACGGTATGCGAGTTGCTGCTTTATACTGCCTCCACGTCATGAAAATAGTAACTTTTTGGCGATGCAGTTTCTTGGGTCGCGGAGGACAGAACTCGCAGTTCGAATTTGTTCAGCAGTATTTCGAATTGCGGACAGAGTCTCTCCGATCTGCGATGCTCCAGAAATTTTTGCAGGCTCCTCCGCCAATTTGCTTAAGCATGGACCCAGGCTCGGTTTTCTTGTTCGATCTTCTTCGTCTTCTGAACGAACTAGCAGATGAGAACAAGCAGAGCGAAATCATGCGACAGATCCTTTTCGCTTTCGATCATATGGTGGAGGCTGATACAGATGACGTAGAGAAGTTCATAGGAAGAGCGGGCCGACGTCACGGCTTGAAACGAGATTTCAAAGGCCTATCACGGATCGACTACGAAGCAGGGATTCGCGACTACAGCAGCGAGCGAGGCCGACTGCGGGACCTCATCTCAGCGACCGAGGAACAACTTGTAGACAGAAAACAGAAGTTCGATAGTGGGCCAGTCTATGAAGGTGAACGTGATGCGTATCGGAAATTCTTGAAGAACATCAGAGGCATTTGCGTGCAGCAGATGAAGAACAAAAAAGGTCAAGAAAGTAGTGTAGCAGTAGAGAAACAGTGGAAGCGTGGCATTTCTCTCGAAGAAAAGCGGAAGCTGCAGGAGGAGGTGGAAGCAGAGAAAAGGCGACATGTAGAAGAGTGTAAGCAGCATGCCCTCACCGGAACATTCGAGGTAGACGAAGAAGAAGCCAAAATTTTATCCCTAAAGCCGCACTGTGAATTACAGGAGCAATACTTTGAATCCGTTGAGACTTGTCTGTTTGATTATCTTCGAAAAATACGCCGGCCGCTTCCTGGGAGGTTTCGAGAGATGTTGCTGCAGCAGTTGTTGGACCATGGTGAAGCGCATGTCTCCAATTCATTGCTTGCTGAAAATCATCCTGATGGCAATTGGTGGAGTCAAGCAGTGCAGGAGGCAAAAGATGCAGTCGATGATGATCGTATCACAACTTCCTCAACATCAACAAGAACCAACAAGAAAAAACCGCCGAAAGACTTGTTCTGGGGAAAGAGGCCTCCGCCTGGCAGACTAGTCAACCTTCTTTGTCGGTATGCAAAGACGTTCAAGGCCAAGGAAGGGAAAGTTGGCCAGGGTGTTCCAAAAAACATCGACTCTGCTGGATACATCGCTAAACAACAGCATGCGGCAAACCAAGGATCTTCCCGCGATGAGCATGACGACCACAGTGACGACGAAGCAGACGACGACGAGGATTCTGACTCGGACTCGGAAGAAGAACAAGCAGCGCAACCAAACAACGAAGCTCAACAGAGAGAACCAAGTAAAGCCGAACGCTTGGAGGTTGTGGCGGAAGATCTCCCAGAGCTGCTTATGTTGCAGTTTGATGATGAAAATGAAAAGGGTTATGTGGTTGCGAAGACGCTTCTAAAACCCTACATGTGGCTGGGGCAGCCAGTTAAACTCTGTGCTGCAGAAGGCTGCTACATTTTTACAGACGATGAGAAAGACTTCTTTTTCAGTACTGACCCTCATCGAGTTTTTTCCAAGTTCCGCATTTTCGACGTCTTCTTGGTGGATACTGATGCTGGTAGATGCTTCGACGATGTTGGTGTTGCTGTGAGGAGGGAAATCCAGATCCGTCTGCCTGTTCCGAAACCGAAATCAAAAGCAGAAGCGAAACATAAGGCGAAGCCGAAGCCACAGGCAAAGCTTGGTGAAGGGCTAGCTGCACAAGCAAAGCGTGCCCCTGCTCCAAAGCGCCAGCAGCTGCCTCTGCTATGTGATCCACAACCAGCTCCGAGCGTAGTAATTCCTGATGCGCGGGTCGGTCTTGCGTCGAAAGCAAAAGCGAGTGCAAAAGCAACGGCTAAACCAAAGCTGTCAAAGCCACGGCAACCAAAGCAGACGGTAAAGGCTGAAGCCAAACGCAGCCTTTCTTTGGCAGTGCAGCTGCAGGGAATGGTGAAAGCGCCCCTTCTCGTGCAGGAAGATCTTGTTGCTCTTGCTGCCCCCGCACTTCCTTCAGCAATTTCGGTTTCAGTTCCAGTTCCACTTCCTTCTGAACGATTACCGCCGCCGCTGCCGTTACCTGAAGCAGGAGCAGCAAAAGCAGATCCACAGGTGGAGACGTCAAGCGCAAGTGCAGTGCTTGCAGTTGTAGCTGCACCAGAACCAGTAGCAGTGGCGGATGCAGTGATGGTGGCAAGCCTCGCAGATGCCCCCATGCCTATCGAGGATCGTGAACCTGTTGAGACTGATCTTGCTGTTGTGGCTTTATCGGCGGGAAACGTTCCCAATTCTCATCGTGAAGCAAAGGCCTCGAGCGTTGCTGTGTCACCCGATGTAGCAGAAGCGCCTGGTATAGTGATCATGTATGTTGTGACTGGCCTCCTTGATGTCTTATGTTGATGTAGAATTAATACTCCTGAACAATGGCAGGCAGGCAGAGCGCCTCTTGAGAATGACAGTTGTCCTAAGAAAGAAGGTTATGTCATCCTTGTTTCTACTTGTCCCTCGAGTACGAAATCGAGAATATATATAACCATTGATTAGGTCTTCCGCCTGCGCCTGTGATGTCTGAGTCTTCTGGTCCGGTTTCGCCCTCCAAGCGTGTGCGAATGCCGAAGGCCAAACTCCACGATGTAGACTGGTTTGACGCAAGTTTTGAGAAGATCATGCAACAAGAAAAAGGCGGCTCTACTGCGAGCAAATCCAAGCAGGCGAAGGCTAAAAGTAGTGCTGCATCTACGGGAAACGCCGCGATTCCAGGCGCAGAAACGAAGAAGCGAAAAAGAGCGTTAGAAGCTCCAGTGAAGACTGAGGCAATGCGGGTTAGTACTCAACGCCGGGAGACCACGCGACATTCTGCAGTAGATTCTCGCTGGGTCCCATTAGGGTTCTCAGTGGCACCACAAGGAGCAAGTCAGTACATAGCGCAAGCTTTGAGCGATGGCCTTCAGGAGCAGGTGATGAACCTCTGCCGGATTCCTGGAATGGACTTGCAGACGAACAGCAAAAAGGGGTTTCGGTACATGGGTGCGGATCCGAAAGATCCTGAAGACCAGAGTTACGCATCAATGTATTTAGCAGCATGGTGCGTTCGAGTGGACTTCTTCACCCGCGTGTTCTACCGCAAACAGCATCAGGAGGACCTTCTTCAGAAGTGGCGCGATAAATGGAAGAAGGACATCGAAGAAATCCAGCAAGAGCTAGTGAAGAAGGGAGTTTGGGGGAAAATCAGCGAGAAACAGCAACTGATTTTCAACAACTTGCTGGTATTGGCGCCTGTCACAGCGAGGATGCTACGGATTCCAAACCTTGCTGATGACGCTTAGGCGAGACCAGGCTTTTACTCTTCGCATGGTTCTTGCTATAATCATGGGAATGTCAAAAATACATAAAATGTCTCTCGCAGTGATTAGATTTCTGTATTTTTACTACTTTAATTGATAACAACACGAAAATACAGCATTTTGATTAATTTTTGGCCAGTTTTATGTATTCTTGTTTCTGCTCTTGAAGAAAGTGCAGCACTCTTGTTGATAATGAAGAAATACAACATTTTGAATTTTTTTGATCAAATTTCTGCTTTTTTGGAATTAAGCTTTTCACTGAATGATCTGGAACTTTTTGGCCGGATAGAGATTTAGTGCATTTCTGCAAACGCGGGGTCTCAGAGCAGCATTTTGACTGATTTTGGCTCAATTTGTTGTATTTTCATAACTCTGGTTAGGAAGTGCAGACTTTTTGTTTTCTGAAGGTTGTTTTCGTGTATTTTACGGACAAGTTGACCTTTCCAATATTTATTATAAATGATATAGTTTGGCTTTTAGTCCTAAATCAGGAAGTGCAGAAACTCTTCTCTGAGTTCCTGGATAATATGCTGCAAATTTCTAAAACTCAACGTCCAAATATGAAAATACAGAAAAGACCCCATGTTTTCCATTTTTGGAAAATTATCGAAATTAGGGCACAAAAATAGTCAAAAATAGTCTGTAAATAGCTTGAAATAGTCCGTAAAATAGTCTGTATTCAAATAGGATACAGACTATTTTACAGACTATTTTAATTTTTTCAAGCTCTCGTGACAGACTATTTGACAGACTATTTTAATTTTCTGAATTATTACCCCATTGCTAGGAAATACAAAAAAGGCACGACAAATCGATCGTTTTGCTGTATTTATTGATTTAGTATCTCTGACTCGACTTTTTTGACGCATCCATGTGTCCCAGGATTAACTGTTTCCCAGAAATAAATATTAGAAGCTTAGTTTCCAGATTCTGAAGTCCTCGAATGGCCTCTCAGTCTTTCCTGGGTTTCTGGATGAGCTTGCGACCTTCGATTTTTCTACAGCGTTTGAGAATAGACTCAACTTTTTGACTTTTTTGGAGGCATTTTGCTGTATTTTTGTCTATTAAACTATGTTGAGTGCTATTTTTATTGATAATATCTGAAAGACGAAGCTCATAAATACAAACTTGCTATGCTTTTTTGAAGGTTTTGCTGTATTTAGTGTTTATCTAAGTTGAATATTCATCACTGACTTAGCAAGAATGAAGGGGGCATCAGCAATGAATAGAGCGTCCATGCGTCTGGCCGGGCCTCCGGCTTCACTTCTGCTGGAGATGGCCGATAGCCGATCAATAAGTCAGCCGAGCTGGAGTTTGGAAAAGCAGAAAATTGTAGTTTTTTGGGTGTTTTGTTGTATTTAGGTCAAATAAGGCAACAGTCTTCTTTTTTTTGGCCGTATTCCTACCAGCTTTGCCTCTCAGTTTCTAGTAAATACAGCAAAAGCATCTTCTACAAGGCGTTTTGTTGTGTTTCTTCCGAATTTCGATAGTTTTACTCTATAAATATATAAATATATATGAATATTTAATATTCCCTTGCGTCATCTAGCCACACGTGAGCCATTACTACACGGAGTAGGTCAAAGGACAGGTCAAAGACGGTAACCGAGTGAAGCTAGAGTAAGTTGTTAAAGTCGCTGTCTTCGTCGAGTAGACCTTCAAGTAGTTACGCAGTAGAAGTAAATGAGCTTGATAGAGGAAGTGGTGCCGTGTATGTTATGCAAGTGAAAGGTATCGCAGAGACCACTAATAGCATCCTGACTATTGAAGAGGGCGCGCGTCTGCTTACATCTAGCAGCCTCCTGACTCGGAAAAGTTTTTCGAAGAGTTAGCCTTTTGCTTGATGCTCCATGGAAGCTGATGGCGAGAATTGTGTCGCCTCCTCGTGGATGGAGATGGAAGTGTTCACCGGTCGCAATTCGAACTACGCAGCTGTAGTCGCAAATGGTCCACAAAATCGCGAAGCTAGGAGATCTCTCTGTCTACGCAAAGTGTTAGGAGTCTCAGTCAGTGAGTACGTTGATTCCTCATCCTTCCCTGTCTTTGGTGCTTGGTGTGCATGATGGGTAAATTAATGATTCATTGACAGCTGGATGGCAGTTCTTTGCTTCTTGAACAGCCTCCGCATGCATGACCATGAACTAGCGACATCTCCCTGCTGAACACTCCATACATAGGCTTAATGATCGACACAGACACAGACATCGACTTAATGAAGTCTATCTCTATCTATGTATCCACTCCTCACTGATAAGATTGCTGACTACGAACGAGGGAGTGGGTGCGTCTATGAATTTATCACTGATAGATAGATAGATACACTCACTCATAGGAGAAAGACAAAGAGAGCAGCGGTCCTCTCAGTTTGATTGTTGAGCTCTGCAGCATTAGCTAGCTGCTCGCACTGATTAAGTACTAGCTACACCCACAAGGAAGAGGCTAACTCACTTGCACCAGAACGAAGCAGAATACTAAGTTGTCTGAAGTCAAGTTGCTTAGTCTCCAAGGATGGAAGCGTCTGACAGTGGGTCTGGCGGGGCCCCGTCGATGAAAAAACTGTCTGTGCGTCAGGTATGGGCAGGCTGGACACCAGAGCGCAGAGCTGAGGGGCTTCTGAAAGATCTAAAAATCTCAGAGGATGTTTCGGGCTTCAATGTGGCGGCGTCGAAGATCAAAGAGGATATGCTAGATGAAGCAAGACGCGGAATGCCAGATCCCACGTATGCTGCGGCCCTCTCGAAATATCAAAAATTCGATGAGGTGAAAGCCTTACGCGAATCTAGTGGATTGACAGGCAGTAGCGAGCAATGGGCAAACGCCGCTGGACGATTCGATGCCCAAATGAAGCTGCTCGAAGGCGCCAAAGCCACCGAGAAGCTAGCAATGAAGAGAAAGGCGCCGGCCCGTATCAATCTCTTCGATGCTACAGAGGCGGACGTCCGAACCATCGTGGTTCATTACATTACCTACGGGCTTTCTGAGAAATGTACATAGATACACTCCATGCATTTACCATAACAAACAAACTAAATTACTATGGCTATGCGTCAAGTAGCGTCCTCTCTTAGTTTCGGGCAATGGTTCTTCATTCTTCATTCTGATTTAGACTTTGTTCTCTTCTGATTTTAGGCTTTCATCTCACTCTCTGCAATGGTTCAAACAAACTTCACTCAACAGAACGACATCATCGAGAAAGTTGAAGACACGTCTCATTGCGAAAACATCAAGACGGCCTATGAGGCGGTAAAGTCGCACTTGAGCATGCCAAGCTCAAAATCCAGACTCTTGGCTTTGAAACCCAACAGCAGCCGGCTGACAGTTCTATCGCTTCTGTGGTTGACGTGTTTTGCATCAAGGAGCAACCAATGCGACAATGACGAAGAGTGGCAGAAAGAAGTGTATCTATCTATCTAAATTTCTTACTGTGCTTGTTGTTTCTTGTAAACAATGAATTATAAATTTTATACTGAAGAATTATGTGAGTCTATCAATGAGTGCGCCACTTTTTCTAGTTCCAGTTCCTTCTAGCTGTAGCAACTACCTAGTGCTCCACTTGAAGTCATATCAATTACGGGGTAGCCTACCGCTGAGTTTCAAGCTGGGTCCTATTTGTGTCCACCTAAAACTTACTACCAGGCTGGATATGTGCGACTTGGAGCTGTTGATGTTTTGCGGTTTGAAATCCTGGCTAGACAAATTCAAGTACGAGCCGGCAAAGAAGTTCTCCGTGGGACACGATATGAGCAAAGCAAATGAGATCTTGGACAATGAGCAAGGCTTCCCGATTCAGTGCAGCGCTCTGCTGACGCTGAAGCTGGCTATTCGCGGGGTACTTCCACTGACTTCTAACAAACTACATTCATTTCGGAAAGTTTGCCATCTATTCTTGTTGAGGAATTTTGTGAGAGTGAGTGAGTTAGTATGTAAATTAATTCCTCTTTCTTAGTCATGCCGTGACTTGGATGGAGATTGAGCGGCCGTTTCATTCTTAGCATCTTTATTAATTTTTCATTCTCGTAGAAGATACACTAGATCAGTGCGTTTATTGGTATCAATCGCGTATCAGTCTGCGACGCATGGTTTTACTTTTGTGCTGAAGCTGCTTCTTTTAGGTTTTTAGTTTTTCAGTGCATGTTCTGGAGAGTGTGTGAGAGTAAGTTTTTACTTCACACCTTCACTCTTGGACTCACAAGGAAGTCTCTTCAAAGTGCAAGTTCAACTGGTAGACAGGAGCGCCAACTTTTTTTACAAGCTTTCCTTTCCAATTTCAGTTCGTCGAAGCGAATGTGCGGAAGTTAGAAGCGGAAAAGAAGGAGAAGACACTTGTTCACGCAGCGGCGAATACAGCTGCGTCCGAAACGGACAAGAAGGCCCTGATGAGCATTCAGGAGAACAGGATGACCCCTTTTGACATTTTCCGGCTGCTAGCCAGAGTTGATAAAACCAAAGCGATGGCTGGGAACAAAGCAGCGGAAGAAGCGAATGAGCTGCAGCCTTACTTCGAGTACAACCTCGGAACGTGGATGCCGATGATGGCACCGGAGCAGGTATCTAGAGGACTACTCTGCTCAGCAACGTGTTTTGTGTCTACGTTTCTCTCGATTTCAGAATCTCAGGATGCAAATCGCGTTCGTTGGGCATCATCTAGGTAGACGCTGTCAAATTTATTGCTACTTAGTATGACATACTGTGCTTGTTTGTAAGTATTATATTTATTAATAATTGATATTATCTTCTCCACCAGGTTGACCAATTGAAGGAAAAGGCAGAGATGTTGCTCGGCAAAGCGGAAGCAGAAGGATTGACTTTGAAGTCTCTGGAGAACTTGGTGAACTTGATGAATGTTTTGCGGAACTACTACGATAACGCGCTGAATCTTGTTTGCTCGAGTCACGTGCCGGCAATTGCTATGATGGAGAAGGAACTTCCGCGCCTTGCGTCTAGTGCTAGCGTGAGCCTTGAGAGAGGATGGATCGGCTACTGCAAAATGCTTCGTCGTGATGTTCTTCAAAAACTTGCTAGTGGTCACGCGATCTGGTCGACATTCGCCTTGTTCGATGATACGAAAGCAACAGCACACGCGGATCTGCAGATGTTGAACGAAGCTGCAGCCGTGATCAACCAAGAAATCCTGGACCACAAGACCCAGGTTGAAATCACTACGCAGATGGCAAAAACCTGCGCGCGCAGTTTGATCGATTGGGAGAAAAGGACGAAAGACATTCATCCGAATATGGATGTCGGCAAAGTAGCTCAGGGCGCAATTGCGATTGCCAAGGCCCGCCTTGAGAGCGCACCATGGTACAGGCGAGCTGTTGCCACTCTGGAGCAGGCAGTCAAAAGTATAGCTTACTTTTACTTTTCTTGATACTTTAACTTCTCGGACTTTTGTCAGCGCAGACGGCAGGTCCTTGGCGTGGCCTGCTCTGCATCGCCGTGCGCTTCTGGATCCGCTTGCTGTGATCGAGAAAACAGATGGGGGCCGAGTTCGGTGCGCCCGCGCGCGCCCGCTGTTTCTTGGGGTTTCGGGGACTCGTGGCCGCCGAGTTGGGGAAGGATGGCCAAGCCCCGCGCAGACTTCCCCCAAGCGGCGCACAGCCTGCAGCGGTGCCCGAGCCTGCGACGCTCTTGCCCCCCCTTCTGGTTTTTTGCTGATCGATGGGAAAGCGGAAAAAGGTGACCGGGCTGCTCCGGCTTGTTCACGTGCCTGCGCCAACATGCGAGCGCCCCCGAGCTGACCGCTTGCGTGTCGCTTAGCGGGAATGAATTGGAGGACCCGCCTGCTCCGTACATGCGGAAGCTGCAGCAAGTGCGCCGCCGGTGGTTAGCTGCTCCACGAGGCGACGCGCCAGATTCGTGGCGGCAGCAGGTTGGCAGATGGAGCGGGAGGAGCTGGCAGTCCCAGAGCCGCGACCGTCAGCGCAGAGGGGTGGCAAGCTACAGCGGCAAGCATTTCGTCAAACTTCAAGCAACGGAATGCGCGAACGAACGGGCGAGCAACTCGCTGAATGCAGTAAGGCAGCGGCAGGGAGCGGGCGCCGTGCTCTGCGCGTGCCAAGTGCTGCGCCGCCCCGTTTATGCGCGCCGGGTGGCGGACTCCTTTCGCGGCGTGTCGCCTGGGCGTAGTCTCCCAAGAAACTCGGCGGACGGCTGAAGGAGCAGAGCGGAAGGCGATGGCCTGGCGCTACTCGCTGGCGGACAAGAAGAGGCGCCAAAGGCCAGGCCTAGGCTCGTAAATGCTGGCAGGGTCGTCGACGACCAGACGAGTGAGGAAGGAAAGTTGCAGACGTGTGCCCTCGGAAGTGCTGCGCGTTGGGTGATCTGTGGGCGGCTGCGCTGGAGGGGGAGACGCAGCGCGCAGGGCGCCCCGGTCAGATGTCAGGCGCCGCGAGCGGTAGCGGCGGCAGGTGGGGCGTCGGGTTGCCTCTGATTTGGGGCGGGTGGCGTGCGTGAAGAGCTGCGCCATCTTTTGCCGGATCTTTCTGAAGCCAGCAGCAGCAACGCGCGAGGAGGCGGCGCCGTTCCGTTCTGGGTCGGACATGCAAGGGCTGCGGCAGCTTTCTGCGCAACACTGCAGGCGTTACGGAAAGAGAGGGCTGGTCGCTGATGCGGATACATAAGCGCGCGGAGGTGGGCTGCTCGGAGCTAGACGAGCAGGGCGAAGGCTTCCCGTCGGGGTTCTCTCCTTGGAGGAGGCGGGTAGCCTTGTGCTGCGATGTTGGGCAGCTGTGGAGACTGGCCGCGAGGCAGGTGCCAGCGTGTCAGCGCTGAGAAGCCGGGGGGGGTCTTCTTGCTTTTTTGGGCCTCTTTTCTTAGCGGATCCGTCGCTGCTGCTTGTTGTTCTCCGCTGGGTGGCTACTAACTTAGAAAAGGCCAAGCATTGGACTAGCGCAAGAACGCAAGGAGGCACGGGGCCAACTAAGTCAGAGGCTTGCCCGCGCTTTAGCTCAGGGCTTTGGCTGCGTCGCTCGTAGCTACTTCCTTAGGAATCTACGAAAGTAAGGGGCGGCAGCTTTCTGCTTAGCGCAGGGCCTGGAGCTCAGTTGGTGCGTCGTCGGTTATCGATGTGCCCCACTCAAGGGCCTCCGCTTTGGGCTTTTGTCTCGTTCGTGGCAGGCTTGTGGTGACTTTTTTTTTTCGGTATGGATGTGGATAATTCTCGAAGTTTTCGGGGCTTCGCTCTTTGTCGTTGCTCTGTCGTCGTGTGTGTGACGGGTGTGCCTGTTTGGTGTTGTCTCGTCTTCTTTTTCCTTGTTTGCGGGTGCGTGTTTCTTTGTCATTTTGTCACCTGTTGGCGTTGGATAGGTTCGCGCGTGCTCAAGTGACTGCGTGGCAAAAAGTGGGGGGGGGTGTTGCTTCTTGCTCTTTGGTTTCTTGTCTCTCGGGTGTCGGCGTGGGCACTTGTCTGCGCTAGGGGGTCGCGTCGGTGTTTCGTCTTTGTGTTTGTGGTTTGTGTGAGTGTGGGCGAGTTGTGGCTGGTCGATGTCTTGGCGGCTGGCTTCGGTCGCGTTGGTCTTTTGTTTTGGTTGTGTATTCGTGTCCATTTTCTGGCTTGCCTTGGAATTGTTTACTTTGCAAAGGAAAGGGGTGGCGTGCTGCAATGTGGCGGATGCTGGCGCGGATGAAGGTCGTGGGCGCTGCTGGTCTGTAGCGAGCAACGCGCGGGGGGGCTGCGCCGTTCCGTTTTGCTTCGGGCAGACACGGGCCGCCGCGGCTCTTGGCGCAGCGGCGCGGTAGCCTCGGATATAGTGGCGGCAGGGGACCGCGTTACGCAGGAAAAGGGCCCGCCGTTCCTTCTTCTGGGTTTCCACGTGGTTAGATAGAGTGTTCGGCGTGTCGGCGGGCGCGTTGCTTGTCGTCTTCTCTTTTTGGCGCTCGTGGCAGCAAGCTGCGCCGCTTTTTGCCTTTGGGAGGGGGATTCTATTGCGGCCTCATCTAGCAACGAACTGCAAGCAACGCGGGCGCGCAGGTGGCGCGGGTGCTCGTGATAAAAGACGCGCGGGGGCTCTCGCTGGAATCTGTAAGCGTAAGGCAGCTGTGGGACTTCGGCGCGGTCCTCTGCGCTTTTCAAGTGCGAGCGCTGCGCGGGGGCGCCGTGTGGGTCCGCGGCGTCTCTGCTGCGTCGTGGTTGGGAGAGGGCCAGGTGCTGCCTCGGGGTCCGGCTGCTTCTGTGTGAAGTGGGAGGGGCTTCCGTTTCTTTTTTTGCGTAGGTATTTGCTGGCGTTTTTCTCTGGCGTGAAGCAATCCCGTAGCATTGGCGGGCCCCTTCCTGCAGGGTTCTGGGTGTCCTCGCTTTTCTTAGAAGCGGCGGGCGCGCTTGTGCGTGGCCTCGGCTGGGCGCCTCGCTGCGCTGGCGTGATCGGGTTGCGACTTCCTTGCCCAAGTGTGCCTGGTCATTTGTTTGGCTTGTGGGGTGCTGCGCTGCGTCGTGGTGGGGGCGGTTTTGATGGTGGAGCAGGCGGGGCAGGTAGGCCCAGCGCCGCGGCCGCGGGGGGCTAGCGCCGCAGGCGTTGGACCCCCGAAGCGTGGCATGTTCCAGAGCATGCCAGGGGCGGCAGCGTAAAGTAGTAGAAAGGAGTGAAGAAGTGAGAAGGGGGCGGCGGCGGCGGCGCCTTCCTTGGCGGAGGCTACGAAGTAGAGGGGGGCCGTTTTTGTTGCGGTTTCGCTGCCTTTTGTCCGCTTTTGGTCCATGCTTGTCGCCGGCGTGCTCCGTCTGGTCTTGGCTCGGCTGTTGGGTTTAGCGTGGCCGTCGGGCTCGCTTGTGGGCTCGGTCGCTTCTTCGTCGCTCGCGGTTTCGTGGTGCGCTTCGTGCTTGGGTCTCTTCGTTCGTTGGTGTTCTCTTGCTTTAGAGGTTGCCCCTTTTTGTTTGGTCGTCTGCTTTCTGGGCTTTTGCTGGACTTGGGGAGAGGTTTGCCGCGAGGTGTCGCGGCTTGTGATCGATGAGAAAGCGCCGCAGGATCGCGCTGGCGCGGAGACTCAGGGGGGCGGCCATGAATGCAGTCGCAGGGCCCTCCGCAGCTCCGTACAGTGCGAGGCAGGGGGAAGGGAGAAAAAGCAGAATGGTGGATGGAAGAGACTCCGGGCGAGGCTGCTGCCGTAAGTGCTTCGGCATCTTCCAGCGGGGGCCCCGTGTGTTTGCTTTGGGGTGGAGGGTGTAAGTGGTGAAAGGGGGGCTGTGTGCAGGTGTGTGCTCGCTGGCTTGTTGTCGCTCCCTCGTGTCTCCGCCCGTTGGCGTCTGGTTGCCGTCGTCTCGCAGATTTTCCGATAATAGTACCCCGCTGGGGCGGGGAGCTTTCTCGCCGTGGTTCTCTGTGGGTGCTTGCGGGTTTTTTTCTGGTAGGTATGTGCCAACTCTTCCCCTGCGGTGTTGGGTGGTTGAGGTCTGGCGGAGTCTGGTGGGAAGTGTCTCCGCTTCTCAGTGAGGATGGGCGTCGGCGTTGGCGTGGGTCGTGTCTGGTTTTTTCTTCGCAGATTGGTGGCTGAAGCTTACGGGCGGCATGCTGCGGCGGTTGCGCCTCGCGGGCGGTGGTGTCGGGTGTCTCTTTTTCTGCTTCGGGCTTTCTTTGTCTCTTAGGTGGTGTCGGAGTAGGGTGGAGGGGTGGCGCCTGCGTCTGGTGTTCCTCCTCTTGCTTCGGTGCCGTGTTCGTTGTACTTTGTCGGTGGTGGATTTGGTGCCGGAAGTGCTCGGGTATTCGTGCTGTGGGGGTTTGCTGATTGAGAGACAGGCAGGCCTCCCTCATGTGGGTAGTCGGGTGGCTGGTGGTGGCTTGTCTTTCTCTGTGTCTTGTGTGGCTCTTTCGTTTAGTCTGACTATGATTAAGTGTGTTAGTTAATTTGTATATTTTCCATGCTTGCGTCTATTTTCTTGGTGTTCGTTGGGTGGAGTCGTGCCTATCTTCAATGAGGCCGTATGATGGGGCTCGTACTTTCATTATAATATATACATAGATACATATCTATGTCATAGTCAGTAAGTTGATTAATCAGCTCGCCTTTATTCCGTTATATATGGCGTTAGCTAGTCTGTGGCGCCTCGACTTAGTTTCCATTTTGGAGTCAAAGACCTCACACTAGTAAAAACCTTCACTCACAGCGCATGAATTTTATGCGATTCGTGGCGCGTTGGAGGGTAAGGATGGCAGGTTGGTGGAGCAGCTTGCGGGTGTCCGACTGGCATCGAGTTTTACGCTTTTGCGAAACATGTTGAATTTGCGTGGGCGCCTGGACCCGAATTCAAGCACGCGGAATTTGGGCAAAGAAGCCAAAAAATCACCAACAGAACTGGGCGAGATGAAACTAGAGGACTTTCTGCTGAAGCACAACGCGAGGCCAGCAGCTCCAAATCCCGGCATCTTGGATAAGCAAAAGACCAAGGATCAACCAGCTTCTTCAACATCTACATCCCCAAAAAATCTTTTGCCGCTTCTGGACGGATCAGCATCAGCTACAAGTACAACACCTGGTGCCAAAATTAACGATGCTGCCAACTCTGCTACTTCTGGCGAGGCTAACGCTAACAAGCATGAAGAAAAACCCCACAGCGAAGAAGGGGAGAATAGTCTTGGCCTTGCTCCTACAACTACTTCGGCGAGTCCTGCTCTTGCGACTACATCCGTCAATGTGAACGATGCCAATCAGCCAGAGACGAACGAAGGGCCGACGGCAATGGAAGTGGAAACTAGTACAACTGCAGACCAGAATACTGGCGCGGATGGTAATGTTGCGGCGGCTGGTACTACTACCACTCCGGGCATCGAAGCTGCTATCATTCCGGCTTCTACAAATGCAACTGATGCCCCAGCTGGTGCCCCAGTCGCTTCGACTTCGCTTGTGGTTGGAGAAGAAAAGGCTGAGGCGAACCCGGTGCCTACAGGCGACAACGCTCCCGCAGCTTCCCCGGCGACTGCTACGGCTACGACTACAGCTACGACTACAGCTACAACTACATCAACTACAACGATTACAGCCGAGAATACGGGCGCGCCTATGGGTGTTCCAGCCGCATCCGCGACAGCAGAACTCGCCCCGGCAGGTCCTGTTGTTGTGCCTGACACTGAAATCCCGGGAGTCGAATCTGAAAACCCGTCTGCGGCGACGGTCACCACTGTCACTGAAGCGGGCGTCGAGGCGACCACATCTAATACTACTACGATGCAGAACGTGGACACGACTGGGGAACCTGAGGCTGCTGGTGGAAACGCTGAAGAGCTAGACCTTGGTGGTGATTTGCTTGATTTGATCACGGACCCGCAAGTGATGGATCCGACGAATCAGAACAATCCGTTCTCCAACAGCAATCCTTTCGAGAACAACAAACCTTTCGAGAACATCAACCCTTTCGAGAACAACAACCCTTTCGAGAACAGCAACCCCTTCGAGAACAGCAACTCCTTCAACGGGAACAACCAGACGGTTGACAACCAACTTGGTCACGACGACTCACCACCGGCAGCAGGCTTGATCGAAGCGCAGACCTCTCTGGATTTTGGCGAGGAGAGAGGCGACGACGTGGTAACTTCTATCTTGGATATTCCTACTCCCTCGTAAGCTTTTGCTACCGTTGAAGTAGCTGGGAGCATTGCTAGGCCGTTCCTAAATAGCTTCTGCTTGGCAGCGCTATGGATAGTTTTTGGTTGAGGTATTTTCATTGGATTTAGGACAAGGGTTCGCAGACTGGTTCTCCATGTTACATCTCTCAACCCTACCACCCAGATTGTAACTCCGGGCGAGGAGCTGCCGAGTAAGTTCTGAGAAACTGGCAAACGCAACCGCGAAGCTGCCGAAGAATTTGCCATGGAAGTAGAACAGAGCGTCGCAGGCTTGCAACCTGCTCTCTCTGTAGAAGGGGTCATTCAGCTGACGGATTCTGAGGCCGATGAGGTTATCGATTCGCCGACGAAAAAGCAGAAAGGTGCCTACTCTATCTCTAACTTCCCGCATTTGCATACTATAGTTACACTTTTCGGAGGTCAGTTTTTTTATCAACGTGGTGACAATTATGTGCTATCTATCAAGACGACAGAGTTCCTCTATCGATTGGTGTACCAGTCTAAGGGCTTTTTCTTCCCTTCGTATGCATCCATGGAAACAAATTCGCAGGTGGCGGCGACAAATTGAGCCTGGATATCCCAGATTTTCCGGACATGGAAGAGGAAATGAAAAAAGCAGAGGAACGCAATAAGAAAGTCACGGCTGCAGTCATGTCGAAGAAGGCAGCAAAGCCGACGAACGTGAGCATGAGCAACCCTAAAAATGAGGCTTGAAGAAATGACCTATAGATACATAGATAGTCGCGTAGTATCTATGTATACGCAACAAGCAAGGTAGAAAGTCACAAGCTTCAATTTAAATACGAAGCAGCGAAGTGGAAGTCAATGGCTTTTTTATAGGAACTTCGGTCTTGTGTATTACATGACATTCATTCCATGGTAGACCTGGCGATCAATCTAGTCGTTGCTCGGTGGTATAATGCTAGGCGTACATATACAGCACGGAGATCGTGCCTTTGATTTCTACAGCGAATTCGTTCGATTTTCAAACTCAATCATTGACGTTGCCATACAGCATATGTGTAACGATTTCAAATACTTGCGGCGATTTCTCTCCGGTACATCCGCTTCTTCATGCTTGTGCGAGCGAGTTTTTTTAGCTAAAAATGTAGGTCAAACTGGGCAGCAGAATGTCATCGATCGCCTTTCAATCGACGAACTCTCATACTTATATTTATAGGATAAATATTTATTATTAAGACATGGATGCACTTACTTAAGGTTTTTTTTTGCGGCGAAAGTAAGATGTCTGAAGTGGGAACCTGTGTAGGATCTATGTATCATCAATCTATCACTCTTCGTTCCAACCAAGGAAAATTTTAGTGGTAAGCTGCCTGGATGTAAGTTCATGCTACATGCACCCCTGGAGAATTCTTCCGTGCAAACTCATAAGTCAAGCAAGTTTCTTCACTTCAAAACCAATTTTATTTCATTGATTCGCTCTAGAGTAGACGAGAGCCGCGTCTTCGCTTCCCGCCTATTCTTTTTTACTCCCCAGTAGCCAGTCAGACTGTCTTTTTTGCTAACGTGAGATTCATTGATAGATAGAATGAAAGTTTAACTTCCAACTTCTTTGTGCACTATCTAAATACCTGAATGCATAAAAAAATGTAAAAATAAAGATCTTCATAGATTGAGGGAGAAATATAATAAATAAGCTATCTTCCTTGCTTCTAGCGAAGTTAAGACATGAAACCGAAGTTAGGAAATACAGGACAGCACCAAGACACTGAATCATGCGTGTGTATATAAATATTTATCAGCACTTTCCTCCGATGTTGCGCTACCGAATCACTCGGAATGGGCGCAGTTTGTTTTCTTGACAGAGAAAGACTCACTTTTCATCTTGATAGCTGAAGCAATCAACCGAGGAGCCGCCATGTGATCGATCCTCTTACAGACCTCACACGTTTCCATGTCTCTGAAGGCTTTTACTGAGAAAAAGAGTTGGACTCTGATGCTTCGTTTGAGAGTGGCGCGACTTGCAGCCTTCGTTCTCTCGAAGACTGGTGAAGTAAAGTACATGGATGAATAGGCGTTCGATCTTTCTGAGACCACGAGCGAGCTTGGGTCAATTAAATTGAATCGCAGCGGGCATCTGGTGTAAGTATAGACGTCGTCTGTTTGAGAAGACCAGGTCAGGATCCGTGAGAAGAGACGCGCGCGATAGAGAAGACGGAGTGAGATCTCGCAAATTCGAAAAGGTCTATCCTCGATCTTATTTCTCATCGTAACTTCGTCAGGCTCTTTAGCTAGCTCTCTCCCGTAATCTAATTGAAATGGAGCAGGAATCTTGTTGGAAAAGGTCCCTATCCCACTGCTTTCACCTATCTCCGCTTGGAGTTCTATTAGAACGCAGAATCAAAATGGAGTGAAAGACTGCTAAGAATTTGAAGTGCAAGGATGGTAGGCGTTGACTTACGAGGAATTTCAAAGGCTTTATCTATGATCACTTTCTTACTTCCGAAATTACACCTGACAGGGCTAAGATGTCTGGCAATGGCCCATATTTATGGTAGACGGTCGTAGGTGAGTTGTTTTGTCGAGCTCAAATTCTTCACAGCGTTTTCAATTTTTGCAAGGAAGAATGAATGGCTGCACGATACTCGCTGTTTTCTTTATTTCGCTCACGCGCACGCCTTCGCTGTGCTTTCAAGGCCGATGCCGGGATCCTGTCTCCGACTCCTTGCCTACACGATTGGCGAAGCAAGCTGTTACTTCGCTCCCATGCACTCACTCACTCATACCCACACTTTCCCCGCGGATGCTCACTCAATTCCTCGGTGTTCGGATGGATTAAATCCACAAGAATTGTGGAACACATCATCGCACAAGAACTTTTGATCTCAGTGTTCGTTTTCATTTCGGAGTGTCAGTGAATGCAACTCCGAAGTGCATGAAAAAGATCCAAAAAAGATCCAGAGTTTTTAAATTGTAGAGCTATTTTCCACTGTGAACAAACTATTTTTTCTTGACAGGTATAAGGGCACTTCTACCACAAGTATAAGCTACAATTATCCGACAGGCACAACGGTTCAGGAGAAGAAAGAGCTCCAGGAGCAGAAAGGGAAGCTTGCAAGTGCTCTAGCGGTTGGGGTAGTTGAAGATTTCGTGGCAGGAAATGTGATCAAGGGGTCGGTTGCTCCGGAGGAGGCCGACAAAGTTTCAGAGCATATTATAAGCCAGCCAGGCCTTGTGGATAGTCTCGCAGCGCGCATGTTATGTAGAAAATGAAATTATACCAAACTGGAGCTGCAGTTCCAACATGTCCATCCATCCAGACGAAAAAGGGCGGCTGAAATCTGGAAGTACTACTTAGAAGTAGAAGTACTATTAGTTTACCTGCTCACGAATAGGCACATGATCAAGATCAATCAATCTGATGTACGTGTACGTGTCGAAACGGAAACAAAGTGTTGAACTTGAGCGATCATTTTCCTTCCCGAAAGATTTAGACTATTTTTCCAGACACAGACTCTCCACAATTAAGTAGAACTACTAGATTTAGAATTAAGTAGATTGATAGGCGATGCCTGGCTCAGGGGCTCTTCTTGTTCGCGTAAAGGAAAACAGCCATGTCATTCATTTTCATGCCAACAGATGAATGCGATCAGCGATTTCAACATAGACTCATATGAAAACAAAGCGCCAGTCTTGCCATCCTCATGTAGTAAGGTGTCGTCTAATGTGGCAGACTTTGTTCGGCGGTACACAGAAGCCCGTCCGAGTGACAAGGACGCAACTAGCGACAATGCGAGGCCCTACAAAGAACGAAGACGGTACGCCGAGGAAATACTCCAGATTCCGGGCGACGGGTCACTCCCGCTACACAGCAGCCGAAGTAGATGAAGAACCAAGAGTGGACGTCAATCAAATTCTTAAGGCAAGAATGAAACGCAAAAATAGATCGGGACTTTCAACACTCCAGCATGATCATGAAACAGCAGCATAAAAACTTAGCAATAAATAAAGTTGTCGTGAGTAGTACTTGTACCACTAAACTATGAAGCCTTGCTCGTCTTCCTTGTCGTGGTTGTGCACCACTTCCGTCCAGCATGTACTTGACTTACTACGAGGATAAGTAAAACAACTTCTACTCAACGCGCTGAGAGGTACAAACGGGTTCCACTAGATCTAATATAATAATGTCACCGACTAACAGAGGGAAGCAGGGCGGCAACCTCTTTGACTTGGAATCGCCCGATCCTCGAGGACCAACTTCTGCAGAGTTTGGGCACGACGAACATGCGGAAATAAAGCTACCGTCTCCTGACACTGTGTTACGATTTATTTTCATACCAGCAGTTGTTAACCTACAGGAGTAGGTCTCTGACTTGTAGTTCAATCTTCTTCTAATGAAAAACAAAAACAATAATCTTATGTCCTCCTTCGAGTTCGAACGATTAAATCAAAGTCAAATAATCTTCCTATTCCTAGTTGTCGTTTCGAAGAGTCTTCACTTAATTGAATCAAAATCATACAGCTAGATAATTAATAGTCCTCTAAGTCAAATGGAAGAAGTGCAACCGATCCTACAAGACGCGCTTTGGAATGCACTCAAAGAAGACGACGATGCTCATGTTATGCCTACTTAATTGTTTTAACTTTGTTTAAGTAAGTAATCGTTTAGGAGGTACAGGGAGGCTGAAAGGCCTCAATACCGTTAGTCAGGACGGAGACAGAGGTATCATGACATGACATTAGCAGTAGGACGTGTTCTAGGTTCAAACTTTGAAGTAGTAGACGTACTCAGCAGGTGTACAAGTGTTTCATGATCTTCTATCAATATCATGCTGTTGAGAATGTTCTTGCTTGACTGAATAAAGAGCGGAGTCATTTTTCAGGGATCGTGACTGAAGGGGTGTAAGAACGTCGTTAGTACCCATTGTCAATTTTTCTTATGATATCTGTACTACTACTAGAAGTCTAATATGGCGCTGGGGACTGTATATATATTTATAGAATACACTTCTTCAAGCGAGACTTACTGTATCGCTCCATAGTCATAGTTGAAAATAGATCGTTTTAGTTTGATTCATCAGTTCCGAAACAAGCTTATGGTTATGCTCAGTTTCAAATGGTGAGGCTAGAAACTTTTCTAAGACAAAGAACAACTACAACCATCAAGAGGAGAACGAGAAGACGTCCCCAATGTCGCTGAACAAGAATGAGCAGATGGCGGCTATGTCATTCGCCGCGCCACGGAAGAACATGGCGGAAGGGGAGGCTCATCCATCTCGCAACGGTCACAGCAGGGCATCGCGAAGTAGCTATGCTCATTACCAGGCTGGTAGAAAAAATAATGATAATTTTGGCAGAGGCGCTGGGGCTGGCGGACGAGCAGGAGGACGCGCGTCATCAATAGGAACAAAGCCACAGTTCATGTTCATGTCCGATCCAGCCACTGGGCCACAACGATTCGGTCAAGACAGCACAGAGCGAAGCGTACAACTAGAAGCCAACAAGGCAAAGCAGCAGCACCAGCCAGAAAGAGTTTTAAGGCAAGTAAAGAAGTTTTTCCCGTCGTAGTAAGTTGTGGAGGTGCTGGGGTCTCGTAGTATACATATGCAATTACTTGTTACTTTTTTTGCTGTTTGCCTTTGCGCATGCGCTTTCTGATATGTTATTGATACAGCTAGTGGGAAGGTGGAGCAGGTTTATGAGGTCGAGTGACTCATAAAGCAAAGCAGATAGATAGAGAAAATAAACGGACGAGTAGTGAGCTTGCGTCGTCCTACTCCCTTCATCCAAAATATCGCTAATGCGATTCTCATACTCTCGAAGCGCAACAGATGATTTAGGCTGAGGTAGAGGTAGACGAGATACTGCTGGTGGTGGAGCAACTACTTAATCCTACACGACACAGCCTGTAGCTTCAGTTTCTGAAGATGAATAGGAACAATCATTTGATCAAGGATGGTGTCTAATTTCACTTTCCGCCGAGCTGATAAGTGGTGCATTTCAGCGGTTTCTCGATGCAGCAGAGCGTCTTGAGAAACAGGTTTCGGCTCATCGGGCTCTCCGCAAAGTTAGCAAGCTTGGAAGGATTGATGTTCAGCCTGGTATTGAATCAAAAAGCAAGCTGTCTTCGACGGATGATGATGGTGAAGATGAGTCCGTCGAAAAAAGTCAGGATGATGATGTCGATGCGCCAGCAATATCAACAAAATATCCTGAACAAAAGAACGGAGTAGGAGAACGCGAAGATGGACTGGCGTCCTCGCACAAAACTAGCAGTACAAATAGAGAGCAGGCTGATCATGATCATCAGGAAGATGGAGACGAACCTGGTGGCTTTTTTGCTGTACTAGAACAGTCTTCGAAGTCGTCCACTAACTCTGTTCGCTCAACGAGAGCGTCCAAGAACATCAAGATAGAGAGCAGCAAACAGCACCATAGCTCTTCCGCTGTGCCTTTGGCTGGTGATCTACATCGTGGCCACTCGTCAACCGCCACCAGCACATCATCATCTAGGAGCTTTGAGGTTGAGGATGGTGCGGGAGCTGCGGCTGCTGAACAAACGGCAAATGCCGCCCGCCTTGGAAAGCCAAGTAAGGAGCAGAAAGATTATCTTCGCAATCGCACTGACGACAAAAAGCGTCATTTTGATAAGGATTGTCTCTCTACTGCTGGCGCTCCGTCTGCAGCTGCAGTGGACGCCAGCAGACCTGTGGCTACTCATCTGTCTGCCACGACGGGAGAAACGAAGAGTGGCATGAGGACGACGGTAGAAGTTTCTTCTCCTGCTTCTTGTAGCAACGTACAGGATCTTATGTCAACCTCCGCCTTCACAAGCGATATGTTGAAGGATATCTTGGCCCGCAGTGTTGTCGCTACAACAACCCCGTCTCCTGATAAAGAAAGCAGAGGAGCAGTTGAGCGCACATCGCAACGAGAGCCGTTGACTTCTTCGGTTTCTCTTTCAGCACCGAGACTAGGAGAGCTACGACCTCAACCTCTGCGCGCAGACGATGACAGACGATTATCATCATATCAGGACGCGCTCGCACATGCTGCACATCAGCAACAATCGCAGCAGCTCCTGGGGCATGACGTAACTCTTGATAACCAAACGCGAATGATAGATGGACTTGGACATGGAGGACCTCCACGAGGCGCGGATCATTCTTCGAGTGGTCATGTCTCCCGAGTATCGCTCTCGGCTAGCAGCTCGGCGACACAACCCGCCGTGGTGGAGATCATTAGGACGTCGCAGGAGCACCAGATGACCTATAACGACGTCACGTACAACAGCTATAGCACTAGAAGCAAGAACGCTGGTGATGAACATGGTTCTTCGGCGGCGCCTCTTCGGGAGATATCTTCAACATCTTCTAGTTCGAGTGCTGTGCTAGACGAGCTGAATGCGCACGTAGCAGCGGGTGGCGTAGTTCAGCCGCGCATCGGCGAACCATCTGGCAGCGATCTCTTGCCGCGCGCTCGCCCTGACACGAGTAGTGGTTCATCAGTTTTCCAGCATTCAGCACATGCAGGCTCAGGTGGTGCTTTATCTGGCGCAATCGCAACCACTGCAGGTCCTTCAACGATGGCGTCTTCGAATATAGTATCGACATCAATAGCAACTCCTCCGTCTGACCATCATCCATGGGGCTCCGCTCCGTCCGCTGGCGCAACAGGCGTCGAGGATCATGCTTGGCTATCTTCGTACCGGTCTGCCACAGCGACAGCATCTTCCAGCACAACAATTGGGGGGATTGGGAACATGTCGACAAATACAACAAGTACTAACCCTTTGTTGCAGAAAGCATCAACGATGCGTAGCTTGTTTCTCCAAAGGCCGGGAATGACGAGGCCAGGGCCTACGAGTAGCTCGTTGTCTGAAAACGCTGATCGTAACCAGCAAGTAGTCCAACAACAACAACAAGCTAACGCGATGATGTCGAGAACAATTGACACTGGTGCTGCAGGTGGTGCACCAGTTTTCCGACCACCTAGGATCGGGGCTGTTGCTGCCGACAACAAGCCTATGCGGCCGACTGCATTGCGATAAAAGAAGAATATGACCACCGACGTGCAGTTTCAGTACCAGGGAGTAGGCTTGCAACTATCTAAAGAACTTCAGCTGTAACTGTAAGGAGTTGTACGACTCTACTAGTTGGCATTTACGAGGTCCGAGGTCCTGTGCTGGTTCAGAAAGGCTTGAATTTCTCATATGTTGTCTACATCTTTGCAGCAAAGATAGTGAACTTGGAGTTGTTGACCAAAATCATGACAGCACTACTTGTTTTATTCAACACGATTAGAAAATGAAAATCAAGCGCGTAATTTTAGAGGACGTAGTACAGCACGCAGCTGGATATTGTATTCATCCCACCATCTATTACATTCTTCTATCATTCCCATAGACGGCACTGTTGACTAGAGTTTCTTCATTCTTTGTCTACAATTATGATTATCCACGTACGAGTTCGAGTAACGAGACTACTCCTATCCGTGTAAGTAAGTAAGTGATACATAGCTAATCGAGCAGTAGCGAAAATGAAATTAAATACTAGAAGATTGCCGAACAACAAAGCCCTGTCATGTTTAAGTTGTAGTATGCCCAGTGGCTTCAGCTTCTTTTGATAGCCTTAGCCTCGATGTTCCTATCAGTCATTTATTCCTCGGTACTAGCAGCTACCTATGAAACTAATCAAAAGTTAAAAATAGTGAAATAGCTGGAGTAGGGACTTGTATTAAAGTTTAAACTGTTCAAATGATCACGACGATTTACCACCAGGTGAAAAACTGGAACATTCGTCTTCATCATCTATTTCTAGTAATTCCTAGAAAAAAAGGAAATTTCTATAGTATACCAGAATGTTGCAAATGCAAAATGTTGAGTAGAATGAGTGTATATGTAGCTCGTCCCTTCACCTGGATGTCATCAAAAACAAAATGCGAATATCATGATGCTGCAAAAATAAGTAATTGGAAGTACAAGTACAAGTGGAACAAGAAGTAACTTGTTGCAGAGTGTTAAGTTTACGTTTACCATAATCAATACATAGAAGTAGTTTACTAGTATCTCAGTCATTCATCATGTTGATTATGCTGAAGAATATCACGTCTACCAGTAGTTGTCGAAAAATTAGTAGACGAACTAATCATGATGTTGAATTTGAAACAGTACCCATTCCCAGTCGTCTTGTCTTCTAAAAGTATAATCGGTAAGGACAGTAGCCGCAGCTGACGTCTCTTTCTCTTAATATTATTTATTATCTTGCATCATGTTCATGTTGTGTGGTCGTTTGCGTTTCTCTATCAGTTCGCGGCTTCGCTCTTACTTGTTCTCTTAGACAGTAAGATGAATCATGTCGGTTTCTCTGCTTCTCGTTCTTCCGATTCTGATTGTTGATTCATACGAAAACGACACTGAAAAAAAGTAGGATTGTTCTCGTTGCCACTGACTCATCGACAAAGGCAAGGTTCTTTGTGGTTATTATATGCGGCATAATGCCTTCAAGAACATTGGGGTTAGTAGGACTGTGTTCTGACTTTGGATACCTTAATCACATATGGAGGCACGCCATCGGGTGGTTGTGGCGCAGGAGAACCAGAAGTTACAGCTTCAGGCTCTTTTTCCGCAACCTTGATCTAAGTGATTTTGAGCAGCTTGAAGATGGTCGGTCGTGAAGTGCCGATCATAAAAATGACATCGGTCGTTTTTCATTCGACCTATGGGTAAGTATGTGAATGCGAAACAGATGAGGGACAGGAAGGACAAAGGAGTGGAAAACGATGGTGAGCAGTTTTTTGATCAATATAGAAGATTTTATTGTGCAGGAGTTTTTTGGAGCTTTTTGATCAAAATTTAAGAGCAAGTACGTTGTTTGAGGACGACAGCTCAAGAATAAGGCGTGCGTGTGTTGAGATTTCAGAGTTCGTGAACGAACGATCATAGATCGCGCTTGAGCTCTGTGTCTGTTGAGTTCAACAATTATTATGATGGTGAGCAACGTTGGTAGAAGTGGAAGACGACATAACAAGGATCAAATTTTTTTTTGGTGGTTCTCGTTCTTCTTCTTACGAGGCTAGCCAGCACTTGGATCTCTTTTTGTTTGAAGAGAAGAAGATTCGTTGCGGAAGCTTCCTGCGAGGCCATAGAGGTGACTTCTGCCGATCTTCATCATATTACTGATTGATTTCGTATTCATTCATATCCACACACACATCTTCTCCCATTCCTTCGTATATACACATCTTCTCCCATTCGTATACACACACCTTCTCCCATTCGTATATACAAGAAGCCTAGAGGAAGAAATAGATAAAGAATGTTCTTGAGTGTTACCTCCATTGCAAACTAGCGTCCACAAGCTTCGCCCGGCTCCAAATACCGCACTTATTCGCCCACGGGCTACAGCTAGAGACAGCCCGCGGGCTTGGTAGTGCACCTGGATGAATTGGCTAACTAGGGCGAGAATGCTGGCAGTCGCATACTTAGCTACGTCGATCCCCAGAAAAATGAGCGGGCTGCTTTCGGTTTTTTATTGGACTACCGGGGAGGTCACGGAAATGCTGCAGAATCTGCAAGACCCCCACGGCAGTCCAACAAAAAAACCGGAAGAGAACCACGACCAGAAACGCACAAGGGCCCGGGGGGCCCAGCCAACGCTTATAGCCGGCTCGCGGTGGCAGGCAAGAGTAAGGGCAGGGGTGCCTTCCCTTGACGGGCCAAGAAAGAGCAACGCATGGCCGCGCTGGCTGGGTCTCTCTACGTGCAACCGTAGCGCTTCTTTCTTTCGTCTTTCGTCGGTCAGAGAGGAGCCGCTTGCTGGAGGGAAGTCAGCTTTTCGGAAGACCGACGTCTTTCGTCAGGCCGACGCTCTTCGTCAGAATGTCGACCTTTCTTCTATCGTCAGGCTCAGGCCGACGTCTTTCGTCTGTCAGGCTGATGGCGTTCCGTGTCGTCGGTCGCCCGATTTCTTTCCTCAGACTTCTATCCCCAACTTGCGCCCCTACCGTACACCCGTCAGGAATTTTTCCGGCTTCTTTTCTGGAAGTATGCCCGGGGGCGTTCTCGTAATTTCCCGCAGGAAAGCGGCCCTCGGAGACTATCGGGACTGGAGCTGGGGGAGAAGGGTTCGGAGGCTATAGACAATGACTTCGAGGAAGGTGCGGGCGTCAGGTCTCCCCTGGGCTAGGCGGAGAGTTTTGTGGCGGTGATCAGTGGGGTAATTTATCCTGTAGATATATCCTGCAGATAATTTCTGCTTTGCAATGTTTTAGCGTTATCAACGAACCTATAGCAATTTTTAACTTTATGATGATGATCAATTAATAGGAATGGAAATCGTTCTCGATACTTGTAGTTGCAAATTGTATAAAAAAAGTAGAAAAAGATATAGGGACTGGAATTTGATGTAGTTTTAGGAAGCATTTCTGGGTGAGGGAAGTCGTATCGACTTCGACATTCAGGACGAGGTGAGTCGATAGGTCAAGATCCTGGTTAGTAATAGCCTCGCGTCATGATGTGATCGTGAATTATGGACTAGATCGAGTGACAGACGAACCTCAGAGTCGGATTGAAGCGGAAGAAAAGCAGAGAAGGAGACATAGCGGAAGGCACAACTAGTACCACGTCGCTAAACATTGCATCTTGTAGTTGGCATCTTTATATTTCAAGCCACGACAAAGCGTAAGCGGCAAGCGGGAGTAGGAGAAGGAGTACACCTTTTGTTGTGAGTTTTCATCGATTCCAGTGGGTGCTGTGTCAACGCCAAAATAACTTCTATGGACGGTCGCCCCTGACAAAATTTTGTGCGAGGTCGTTGTCAAGATACGCGACGTCATTGACCACGTTGTGGCTACTATAATAAAGAACCGCGACCACGCGACGACGTCCTCGTCGAGTGGCAGCTTCGTCACTACTGTAATTCGGTGTCGCACCAGATCGGAGAAATATAAGTTGCACAAAATTGTTTGAGTCGTGCGTCCTTGGCTTGTTGGTTCTTGGAGAAATTCGAGGCTTGCCAGTGAAACATGTCGGCTTCTATTAATGTACCTAGAACAAGTGGAGAAGATGTATCTGCTTCATCATCCTCTTCTCTTGGTGGAGGATCGTCGGGTAGTACTGCGACAACGACAACTTGCGAGGATGTGTCGTCGACGACGACCCACAGTTCGCCTACAACGGCCTCTACAACTGGTGGTACGACAGCGGCGTCAGCATCATCAACATCGACCTCGTCTAGCGTTGTTGTGAGAAGCGCATCCGGAACCCGGACTAGACTCTTGACACGATCTCCCTGCGCGCCTCGTCCCGTCTCGTCGCAAAATTCCGCTCTGGTCGCTTTTTTTGAACGAAGACTGGCACAGATTCGCGCCTTGACAGTGGACCCGATAGTCAGTATGCTGAACTACATCAACATTTGAATCATGTAAAACTAGCCTCCACAAGCTTCGCCCGGCTTCAAGTTAGTTCAGCACTTTTCTGCGGCCTCCCACGGGCTACAGCCGCTAGAGTAGAGACAGCCGGCGGGTGAGCTGATGCACCCTACGAATTGACTACGACAAGAGCCGAGTGCCGGCGGTGGCCGACTCAGATGCGTCGACTCATGTGCAGGGCATTGCGCTGCCTTCGGTTTTTTTTTTGAGATTGCCGGGCGGGTCATGCAAATTCTTAAGAATTTGCAAGACCCCCACGGCAGTCCAACAAAAAAACCAGAAGAGAGCCACCAGACACGCACAAGAATCCGCAAGCCCCAACGCACGCAAGCGCCTCGCGGTGGCGCCAGGCAAGAACGAGGGGCGACCTTGATGGGCCAAACAAGACAAAGCAACGCAGGGCCGCGCTGCTTGGGTCTCTCTACGCGCTTACACCTGGCGGGGCTTCTTTGTTTCGTCAGATGTCTCTCGTCAGAAACAGGCGGGCGCACTTCGCGGGGTCGTGCGGCGTCGCGCTTCGGGCTGTGGCTGAAGCCTCTCGGCTGGCTGACGTCTTTCACCAAGCTGGAGACTAAGGCTCTCCATCAGGCTGATGCTGTTCGTCAGCCCAACGCTCTGCGCCAGGCTGGCGGCGTTCGTCGGGCAGGCCGGCGCCCCTCGGCAGGCGTCTTGGGTCAGGCTGAGGCTTTTCGTCAGGGTCGGGCGACGTCTCTCGTCAGGCTGAAGCGCTTCGCCTGGCTGACATTCCTCGCCGGGCCGAGACTCACGCCTTTGGTCAGGTTGATGGCTTGCTTCAGCTCGGCGCCGTTCGTCAGGCTGATGCACTCGCCAGCCAGGTGAGGCCTCTCGCCAGACCGGCGCAATGCTTCGCCAGGCGTCTGCCTTGCGTCGGAGGGAACAGGCTGAGCGGGGCCTTTCTTCGGGCTGCGGATGTCTTTCCTTCGTAAGATTGACCCCGTTCTTTCGTCGGACTGACGTGCTTCGCCAGATTGACCGCGTTCGCCGGACTGACGTCCTTCGCGAAAGGTCTTCGCTATCTTCAAGGGCCTCGCGCCACAGGGAGGCCTCGCGTCAGTTTTTCTGGCGGAGGTCGTTCGTCAGATGTCTGCTGTCGCGGGTCTCACTCTTGTCGTGTCGGAGGTCTTGGGCCCAAAGGTCGTCTTTGGTCCACGCACAGGTCGCCGGTGGTCCACAGGTCGCCTGTGGCCCAAAGGTCGTCTTCGGTCCAAAGGTCGGCTTTGGTCCAGAGGTCGTCTGTGGTCCAGAGGTCGCTTTTGGTCCAGCGGCCGTCTTTGGTCCAAAGGTCGCCTTACTTTGGTCCAAAGGTCGCCCTACTTTGGTCCAAAGGTCGCCCTACTTTGGTCCAGAGGTCGAAGGGTCGCCTTACTTTGGTCCAAAAGTCGCCCTACTTTGGTCCAGAGGTCGGCGCACTTTGGTCCAAAGGTCGGCTTACTTTGGTCCAAAGGTCGGCTTACTTTGGTCCAAAGGTCGCCTTACTTTGGTCCAAAGGTCGCCTTACTTTGGTCCAAAGGTCGCCCTACTTTGGTCCAGAGGTCGCCGGGTCGCCTTACTTTGGTCCAAAAGTCGCCCTACTTTGGTCCAGAGGTCGGCGCACTTTGGTCCAAAGGTCGGCTTACTTTGGTCCAAAGGTCGGCTTACTTTGGTCCAAAGGTCGCCTTACTTTGGTCCAAAGGTCGCCTTACTTTGGTCCAAAGGTCGCCCTACTTTGGTCCAGAGGTCGCCGCACTTTGGTCCAGAGGTCGCCTGTGGTCCCGCGGTCGTCTTCGGTCCCAAGGTCGTCTTTGGTTTCAAGGTCGTCTTTGGTCCCAGTGTCGTCTTAAGTCCCAAGGTCTCCTGTGGTCCAGAGGTCGCCTGTGGTCCAAAGGTCGCCCCTGGGTCAAAGATCGCCTTTGGGCCAAAGATCGTCTTTGGGTCAAAGATCGCCTGTGCTCCAAAGGTCGTCTTTGGTCCAAAGGTCGCCTTTAGTCCGAAGATCGCCCTTGGTCCAACGGTCGCCCTTCGTCCAAAGCTCGTCTTTGGTCCAAAGATCGGCTTTGGTCCATGTGTCTTTGGTCCAAGGTCTTTGCCCTTTCGGTGGGCGGTCTTTCGTTGGCTGTCTCTCTTTGGACTTTTCTCCCCAGCTTGCGCCCCCACCCCCGTCGGCCATTTTTCTGCCTTCTTTTCTGGTGGTCTGCCACGGGGCCGCAACGTAAATCCCAACAAGGAAACGGCCGGAGGCTATCGGGCTTGAGACTGAGGGGAAAGGGCAGGAGACTATGGGCAATAGCTTCGCGAAAGAAGCTGACTAATCTCCGGTGGGTTAGGCGGGGAGTTTTATGGCGGCGATCAATGGCGAGATTAATAATATAGATTAATAATATAGATTAATAATATAGATTAATAATATAGATTTTTTTTTTGTTATGTTTTTTATCTATCAACTTATAATAATTGAAGATAATTCAAAGTAAAATTTTGTTATTTCATTTACACATCAGTTAAAAATTCTGGTTTTTATTTTGTTTCTGATCCAGGCACATCTAGTATCGAAGAAAGGTTGATATTCGTGCCTTGTTTGTTTGTCCTTCTTCTCCATAGTAATACATACTTTGCTGTTATTTATCGTTCTTTTTGCCCTTGTTGTGCTCGCCTTTCATTGGTTACGCCTACACCATTTGGACGGAAAATGCGGAGTTCGTGCGGATGTGCAAGTACGCGGCAACGACTTTGGGTACCGTGACTCTGGTGCTCCTACTCAGACGGCAGTACCTTCTTACTCAGAGGCGCCGTCTCGACGCACTTAATATTATGACCAGCAGTAATATAATAGAAGCAAATAATTTTTGAACTCTCACTGTCACTCCATGGCTTTGCTTTTGGTTTTTGCCTTAGAAAAGGTATGCGTGTTGCAATCACATTCGTGCGTCTAGTATCACAACATACAGCGAGATCCGATAGGGCATACGGGTAAGGAGCGGTGGCGCTCCTCATAGTGAGCTAATCGATAGTCTTTTATATTCGAGGCTCGATCGGTTTGGTGAATAATATAGTGAGAGCAAATTCTGCACCTTCACGACCATAATTCTGAAACATTATAATATAGCGATCGTGTTGTATTTGTAAAATGATATGCGTCCTTGTTGTCCTTCTAGTTACGTGATGGACAACATCTAGTCCTGCCTGAGCATGTTGTTGACACCAAGATTGAGAAGAACAAGTAGGGCGTTTATAATTTATTATAGGTAATTTTGTTCCTGTTCCACGTACGACTGCATAGCCTGCTCCCCGAAAAAGGGAAACTTCAGGTACGACGAGGCACCACCGTGTCGTGCCCATCCCGTTTATTTGCAAATCCTCAATTGCTAAGGCTAATAGAGATGAGCGGAAAGACAACGAGAAGCGGCCTCGACAACAACGGGGAGCAAGCACTGGGCCTGGGCGACCGAATACATTTAGGGCTTTCGATCTTCGAAGAATGCTAAAGCAGATTTATTATAAATAGTTAGGAAGCGTTCGAGTGTATTAGATTAGTGTTAAGTTAAGGACCTAATAAAGATTGACTATTCCACTACCATCTAGAAAAACTGCATTATTATAAATAGTTATTGACATAATGCAAAAAATCATAATCATGCAGTGTCAAAATTCCAACTTAAGATCCTTAATCTTTCTCGATACAACAAAAAAATCTTCTAGCTCGAGCATACGATACCGCACCGATGTTAAGCAGATGCACCTGTACTGGAGGCACCAGAGACCTCTGAGGCTGTAGTTCTGGAAACGAATACTACTTCTATATATGATGTAGGGCTTGGGGCTGCCGGAGGTACCCCCCCCTAGCGTAGGGGGGGCACCGGCAGCCCCGGACCCCTTTGGGAGGCGTCTGCCGGGGGTGGAAGGCCTCAAAAGGGGGCCAAGTGGGCGCCTTCGCTCCCTTCCAGGTGCTTGGCTCTCCCTAGAGGCCTCCAACGTAAGTAGGTGGCAGGCCTCTGAAGGCTGCAAAAGCCGAGGGGCTGGACCCCCTGAGCCGTGCAGCTTGTTCCCTCCGGGCCGTGGCCGCCCTCGGCGGCCTTTTACCCCGGAGGCCTCCCGCCTGCGAGGGTCAGCAAAGGCCTGGAGGAACCGGCTGAGAGGCCCAAGGGGAGACCCGCGCCAAGTTTGGACGCCTTCCCCCACTAGATTCCGCGGCGAAATGCGCGCGGAAAAGCGCGCGCGCGCGCCACCACAGACAGACCACATGGGGGGGGTACCGTCCCGCCCTAAATCGTAGATAATATTATCAATTTTCGCTAAAAATTTGCGAGGTGGAATTCTCGTCGTCGGTCGTGACAAGGCATACGAAGACGTTAGTATCATGCTCAAGAAGCCGTCGAGTAATAAGGCTTTCGTTACTCAATCTTCGGAAGCATCCGCAAGAGACTTTTCAAGACGAAAAGACAACTAGGATGCATCTCGAGATGGATTCGGGTAAGCTCTAAGAGTAGCCGCACTACAACCAGTGGCGTTCCGCGGACGAAAAGGAACAAGATGCATTATGGGACGAAGATTGCGCGGCTTTTTCTCAAGGCTCTTGGTTATCGCAACAACGCTATTTTGATTTTGTTCAGGAGCACGCTTCATCATCTTTGACGCGTACTAGTCGCTGTCTACGTCTAGTCGTCCCTTCATCATCAGATTCATGAACGATGTGGAAATTCAATTTCCTCAAAGGACAGGAAAAGATCAGGGACAGATCATATTGACGGTTGAAACATTTTTTTACTTCTACAACAACAACAAGCATAATCATATCGCACTACCTATAGTGCTGTATTGAGGAATGAATTGTTTCAACCTTTGGAGACAGCCCTCCACTTCTACTAGTAAATATTTCAAGAACGAAAGAACAGTGTGCATCGCCATAGGTTACATCAACTACCGGATAAGAGTCGACGCTCCTTTTTTTGTCAAATCCTTAGTTCTATTAAATGATAATTTTTTCTTTCGCACTACAGTTTCCTCCAGGATGACATTAATCAATGTTGATTAATCGATTCTTGTCTTTTAGTTGTAGATGGAGATGATAGGATCGTTTGTGCAGAATCAACTAATAGACCGCATTGCCAGAGGAGAGTCCAGAGGACCTTTTGGATGAAGATGATGTGCTAAGCGTCGCCAGCACAAATAGTTACGACTACGAGCCTACCCTTTCCGAATTCCTCCAAGTGAATTCGTAATCGTATAGTCGAGGTATTAGTACGTGTCATGTTCTTGTTGAACTTGTTGAATATCGGATTAGAACACTACCACGCCACTGTTCATGAAGCACAACAGCGTCTACTTATGATGAGTGACATTCCTACCTCTGTTTAGAAGATTCAACACGCCTTATTGTCCTTGTTCCATAGGTGTGTAGGTGGCACGTCTAGTATAGCATGAGCAACATCATCTTCGTTATCTCTGCGGTCTACAGGAGGGCCCAAATCAAAAATTTTGATTTCCTTACGAGAACCTCTAAAGTAAAACTGCTCCTGGCGGAGGACCGCGATCAGGCGGAGGCAGTGCATTTGGTGGGAAGCCACGAGTCAGCGCCGCCCAGGACGAAGTACGAGAGACATTACTAGGTACAACAGTTGCGGAAAAAAACGACGAGGACGAGGGAACAACCACTCCGAGTGAAGCGAGCGAGCAAGTGGTAGAGGAGACACGACCAGCGGCAAGAAACGTTCACAGTGTTGCGATGGTTGCCAGCGATGTTTCTGGACTTCTCGCTGGTGCGTGGACCAGCATCGCATCTAGCATCTCGTCCACAGCGCACGCCGTAAAAAATACGCTTAGGATTCATGTTGCTTGTCCTCAATGCGTGAATATGAATAACAAGATTGATATAGATAAGGATTGGACGACATGTACTAGTTCATCGCGACGATGTTTACGGATTTTATCGTAAGATAAAATGCATAACGTATACGTACTACTACTATCATGTATAGATACGAAGTACAAGTAATTATTAGTATATCTTCTCAAGGTCAAGCTTACCAGTTATTAGTACATCTTCATCCTCATCTATGATAGAGGATCTATCTTCATCTTCCTGATTACTTAGAAGTTCTTCCTGCGAATCGGACTCGGAGCAGGCTTCGATTGTGATTGATATTGAACTATATTAAGTAAACTCTTCTCCTTTGCTCAACAGACGTGGAGGTTGTGCCACTTTAGATTCAGAAAAATCGCATTGCGTAAATGACCAATATCTCCCTCTGTTCTTACCCTTCTAATCGGAGTGCAACATCAAGAAGCAGTCCCTCCGCGGCCGATATCAAGAACAAGGTAGACGCCGACTCCTCGTCCAAAAGAGGTTGCGAGGAGTCTTCCTCAAAAACGGAATCGAGTTCGAGTACTATTCTGCCGATCATGCGCCCGAAGGCCGCTGTTAGTCGGTGTCGGTCGCGTGAGGGAGACCCAGGCGTGGTGCAGAAAATAGGCCTCTTTTGCGTACAGCAGCTGGCGAATGCCGGTCTCCTTGTGCCGAAAAATGTTTCGCTTGCAGCGAAAGAATATGTTGCCTCTCGAAGTGCGCCCTATTCGCTTGAGGACACGATCATTATGATAGGAATTTCATTTGGATTTGGTTCTGGAGCTAGTTGTAGTAAGTAGCGTCTCCCGACGACCGTGATCGTGAAAATAGGTAAAGGACATTCGCAATTATTCGGATCTAAGGTTTCTTGAGCAGTACGCCTCCTTCTTCTAACATGATAGTGATGAAAGAACTGGCGCGGGCGTTCCATTTCCGTTGTCGCGAATTTTGCGAGATGAGCAACTCAGTACGAGAACGCCTGTTCATGAAACGGATGTCGGTATAATTTTATATAATTATACCAGTTTGTTGTAGTAGTTTGACAGTTGTACGGGCATTCTTCATCTTCGTCGAGAAACGGACTGTGCCTGCAGCATCTCTTTGTGTGTAAGTATCGATCGTCAAGCTGGTGTTGAAGAGTGATCAAGAATTATCAACACTACGTCAAGTGGGAGGGGAACTGACCACGCAAACAGTTTTTGTTGGTTATTTGAACATCAACACCGCAATTTGATTTTGAATTCATGTTCTACTTCATCCTTATCGTCCACTCCAAACACTACATTATTTCTTGAAGAATATTAAAGCTTGAAGAATTTATTCAGTTTTGCGAGGACGAACTACGAAACCAGCTGCTTCATCAGAGTGGCGCATTGCAAAAACTGCAGGAGACTCAACGAGAGATCCTGGCGGAGTACGATTTGACGGATGTGGTATTTTCATCCAATTACTGCCTTATCCTAGTATTCTTTAAGATTTCAAAACCCTCTTTCAACTAACTCTTAGTTTCGGACGGGGGAGTTGATAGGAAGTCTTTGATCTTTGTTGACGTTCATTTATGATAGAAATGGACAGTATCAGTACGTAGCGGGGGCTGCGTCTGCAGCCATTGCTTTCGTCAATTATGTCAACAGTCATCAACTTAGCGTTAGCTGGGTGGTCCCAGTGGATAAGTATCTATATTTATGTGGATGGCCATAGTTGAAGTTGTTCTTTAATATCGGTGTCCGTCGTGAACTTACCCCCCCTCCCCAGATAGATAGACTTCAAGAATAGGCACGTCAGTAAATCAACTGTATGCGGCCGCCTCGCGAGCGGCGGAGCTGGATAGATTACCGGAGGAACTAAAATAGACCCAGTCAATCAATCAATGAATCAATTACAATCCTTCGCAAACTGAAGCAACCCTGCGCACACATCTTCACGACAACAGGAGATGCAAAAGTGCCAAGAGGTTTACTCCTACGACGAGACGATCGGGCAAATTTCTGCCAGTTTTTCGCAAATGTTGTCTGATAGCATACGTGGCCAGCTTCCGTTGTTGTCGTGGTATCCACCTCCGGCACTCGATGAGGAGGCCAAGGTATCTATCCAATCATCAACATCAAGATGATTTTTATGCATGATTCAGGGTATTCTGCTTAAGTACTTAAATTATACTTTTCTTGTTCTAGTACTTCTACTTTAGTTTTGAAAACAGTAGTCAGTCGACCATAATTGAAACCCAGTTGTTGGCGATTTGTTCGGAGATGCATGCTACGGAGTTAGTCGAAGTATGTCGTTTAACGTGGAACCGAGAGCAGGGACAAGAGCCTTGCTCTGTGGAGCAACTGGGCGATATCATAACGACAGCAAGACGGACTACGGAGACAAACACCTTGAAAACGATGTACTGATATGTCGATGAATATTTCTCCGTTATCAACATAAGTACAAAAGTATGTAACTGCTGAGCTTTGGCTCTAGCGCGCCATGGAGGCGCTTGAGACCTTGAGGCAGTCTGCTAGGCTGGTCCTACCTTTCACGCGCTAGATTGAGCGCGGAGCACGAGCACTGTAGTGCACAGCCCGCCCAACCCCGGGCCACCTACCTCGCCCCCAAAGAATTATATTAACTAGCACAGCAGCTGCTCTGCACCTACAGGGAGCTTTGTTGATTTTTAGTTGTTGAAAGTCGTGGCCTACTTTAGTACTTCTACATCATACTTTCCTCATTCTCGCACATGCATCTGATATGCACAAGAAGAAACTCTAACTCCATCCCCATCACGATATCCATGTCTTTTATTAGGTATGATGGCCGTTCAATCGAGGAGTTTTACACACAAATCGGGCACCTTGAACGCAGTAGTTCGGCTTTCGCATCCGAACGGCGGAAGTACATCCGCATTCATCGAGTCCGCTTGGTAGCTAAGCAACCATACTGCATAAATAGTTCGGAAGAGTCGAACAATCAACTAGTACTAGACTTACGCACCAGCACCTGCAATCTATTCACTTTCGTCTTTCTCTTTGCTATACTATGTATACGTATCTATAGAAAAAATTAGCAGAGGCAGATATTATACACTTACACAATAAAGCGTATACGTTCGATTAAACGATCGGGTGTGATTCTTAATTATGATGAAGGTCTGCTGAAACTACGGATGAATTTCTCCTTGTCGTGATTCATTAATGAGAAACAAAAAAATTTTAATGATTAATTCCAAGGAAGATCAGACAAACCTAATCAACGTCAAAATATCGTTATCGTTCACATTTTCTAACAGTTCAACCTAATGCGAAATACAGGATCGAGAAGAACTCCCTACGCTGTATCATCTGTAACCACACACAGGCTCAGTTGTTTCGTCCGGTAACTAGTGCACCAGCTGCACCAGCTCCTCCAGAACCGCTGAAGATAGCTGAGCTGGATAATAAAGAGGATCGCGCGAAAAGGCTTGCTGAGACGCTCAACAACCAGCGGGCAGTAGTAGATAGTTAAGGCTTCCTGTAGTTCTTAATTAATTATGATTACATAATTATATATATCTTATTAGTAGTTTTTTACTTATCAAAAATCATCCTGGTTCTTTATCAAAAATATCTTATTAGTACTTTTCTCCTGGTTCTTTATCAAAAATCATCTCCAATTGATCTTGATTGACAATTTCTAAGGGGAGTTGACCATGACAAATAGTGGATAATATCTAGTAGAGAGCACAGTGGATCATTGGCTCTTCGTCTTAAGCGAATGCAATACAGATGATCCATCCCTCATAGTCAAACGATCATCCTCTTTAGGGTAAGGAACGATAGCGAGCTTTTCCGTTTTCAATGGATCCGGATAATAGATTGAACGGACGAAGCCGACGAGACTCTAACATGGTGAAGCCTCCGCTGCTCGGGAGAAAATGATCGCAGGAAGGGTATTGGAGCAGCAGAAACAAGTTCAGCAGGTTCGCAAGATTTGATCCGTTTGGGCTGTTCAGTTTATCACAAGGCCGCCGATTATAAGGTCTCCTGCAAGAGCTGTTCTTGATGGACCGCGAAGGGTGTTCGCTAGTTTATCTATATTTAAGATATACCTGATATTTCGCATTCGCACCGGTTGGAGATGATGTTGATGTACTGATACTCACATCGTCCTCAATCTTTGTTCTACCGCCATATTGTTTGCGTTTAGATTCAAAACTAGTAGTAGTGGGTAGGTACTACTGTGGTTAAGCTCCTTAGTTTGATTTGATGTTTTATAGCGATAAATAATATAGCAAATAAATAATTACTGAAAAGCGACAAAAAGTTAATAGCGTAAAAAATGTTATTGCTACTCGGCCGCGTTTTGTTCTTGTTCTTGTTCATGTTGTTAGGAGTGGTTCTTATTTTCAGTTCGTTCTTTTGTCCATCTCCATGTGCATGATTTTCTTTCTTCGGTGATATCTGTACTTGCATGATGCAGCGTAAAAATAGACCAAGAAGACGGGAAGATGTACAACATGTAGCGAACAGTAACCAGCTTTATTTTTTCTTTCTTTTTTCTTCTTTTGTTTCTCAATTGGTATCTAAGCTCTCTCTCATGATTCTTTGAGGTATTTATGGTCAGCGAGGTATAGCGCGGATCCACATGACCTGACATGACACTCCTTCTCAGTAGAGTGCAATTTTGATAAAAATGTATCAATTTTGTCTCTCGCAGAATCAATATGGAGGACATAAATATGATTGTTTTTATTTGAATGTTCGGGATTGGCACCACGACGTGTCCAGAAAGAGTGCGCTACTTGCAGAAGACGTTAAGGCGTAAGATAATCCATTTAGTATCGAGCCAATACCTTGCTTGGCCTTTGCGTAATCGGGTAGCGTCGAGGGTGCGGTGTCGACGTGAAGAAATTACGTTCCTCTTGATCTTCTACTTCTTTCAGAAGTACAAAAAAAGTCTGGGGGGCGCTTAGTTGATCCCTTTTCTAATCGTCCTCGCCTGCTGTTTAGCACCTCCGCTGAACGTCATAAGATGATTGAATGAAATCGCTCTTAAAAATCTGTACAATAATTAAAGGCTAAGGCTTTTTTCAAGATTATAAGAATATGAATTTTGCTGAAACGTTGACTATACCTCTGCCGGAGCCGGTTGTAGTACCAGTGACCCATTCTTGGCGACGACGAGGATGAGTGCAACAAAAAAATATGATAAAACAACTTTTGTAATTTGTACAAAAACGAAGAGGATTCTTGAGTAGTTGGTTGAAAATGCAGGTAGTCTCTGAGGAAAAATCTTTTCACATTTGTCTATCAGTTTGTTCTACTTCTAGTTCTTTGTTTCTACTCGTTGAATATGCTGTTATGTAGTTCTTTCGAAGATGGGTAGTATAAGAATATGTATTTTCCTCTACGTATCACTACCTACGACTAGCTATATCTATCATTTTTTGTTCTTCTAGCACGGATTCGTCTGTTTCGGATGTTATCTTTGTTCGGGCGGGCCGGGGTCTCGCTGTCACTAGTTGTAGATATACAGCCTAGTTGTACTAGTTTTTACTACTTCTTGTTGTTCTTGATAATTTTCGTCAGAAATACACGTACACCCTCGTTTGTCGGGAAGTGGATTACCATGTTGTCATGCTAGAGGTGGAGGGAGTCAAGCAGGGGTCCTTCTGACGAAACAGAAGGGGAGGGCGGAGCTCAGCGAGTCTGGGGGTCAGGAATTACCGACACGAGTCAGCGTAGAAAAAAGAGAAGAGCGCTGGACTGAGGACCAGGGCGACATACTACAGGGAGACCCAAACTGAACTGAACTGAAAAAGAAAAACAGTGGCCGTCTGCGTGGTCTTATCTGAAGTTATTCTTTATAATCATACTTACTGAAAAATGAAATATAAGTAAAGTAATTTAGAAGTGATTATGGATTTTCTGCTAGACCTTCATCATCTTCAACGCATCAATAATAATCAAGAAAGCACACTTCTTTAGGGCTACCTACCAGCTCATATCTACATCATCTTCATAATCATACACGACATAAACTACAATAAAGACAAAAAAAAGTACGTTGAGCATGATAACGATAACGAGAAAAAAAAATGCACCGAAGTAGATTCGTGATTTACAATCTACTCTAAAAATTCCGTTTCGGGCTTTCAGAGAAATGAATTGAGACAATCACGACGATTATATAATCCATTTGTCGCGTACTTGCGTCATAATCTTCCACGTGAAGGCGTGATATTCTTAAGAAGTCTTTTAGAAAATATGGGATAGTTTTTCAGAAAAGATGATTGAATGGAAATGTGATGATCCTGCTTGCAAGGGACTTAAGAACTCGTTGAAGCGCCCGTGGAAGCGCTTGTTCTTCAGGACAGAAAAAGAGATGTTCATTCTAAAACGCCTCCGGTGAAATTGTAGATCCTCGTCCAGTCGGGGGAGGGCATACTCATTCACTTGCTCATTCACTTCTCATCTCTACTCTAACCATGCTTTACAAACGTTGGCCGCAACCGATGTGAAAATTTGCTTCGACGGAAAAGCAAGTTCTTGTTGAATTTGGTTATTTCCATTTGATAAATCACGATCGCAAGCAAATTCGTCGGTCACGTCGAATCGTCGTTCACCTGGCTGGCGCAGACGCTCAAATCTCTGTTGAATTCCAATCGCATACATTGCGGAACACACTGAATCGATCATTACAAGGCTCATCTCATTCTTGAGCTGTCTCTGTGTGTCTGTGAAATGTTTGCTTTCTCTGCGCCCACCACTGCTGGTGCGTCGAACTCTTCGAAAAACTTGTAATTGTAATTGTAATTGGCGAGAGTGTAGGGCTTCTAAGGGCTAAATCTCCTAGTGCAACCAGGCGGAGTCAACATGAATGAATAACCATGATGATTTCATGTTAAGTATCTCCTCAATGAAGATCCTGCATCTTCTTTTTTCGAATTTTCAGAGGACCAAGAATACATTCCACGTTCACCACGACTAGTACCATTAAAAAGTAAATCAAAATCGAGATTTGTCGAAACGTACCTTCCTCGTCGAGGGCAGATGGAGTCAAAATGAAACCTTCACAGTTCGAGGTCCGTCGCATATACTTAGGGTTATGCCCACCACCGTAGAAGAGAATTGTAGAATCGAAATATTTCTAGAAAGAAGCAGAAGTCACTCGCATCTGTAATCCATCGAACATGAAAAAGCAAAAAAATTCAAATGACGAAGAAGATACTCAAACTCATCTTGGCGGAATAGAGGGGGCAACAATAATTAAGTGGCGGATGATAAAGTTTAGTACCGCTTTTGGTTTTTTATTTCATGATCATGATATTCCGCGTCGTGCTCGTGTTGTCGTGGTATTTTTGCTTTTGTTATTTAAGATTGATACGAATAATGTGAGAAAAGAATACTGCAGGCAGCCTTTTCGTTCTGGGTGGAGGACCTACCAGAGCCAGAGGTTACATCAAATAATAAACTAGGTGGTAGGTCATAGAGTTAGAGATAGAGGACGAGCCGTGGTTGAGGTTGATATTATTTGTTGTTCCTTCTTCTAGTATCAGAAGGAGAGGTTTTGATTCTACTTCATTATAAGCACATTGGATGCGCCAATGAGTGATAAGTTCAATTTTGCTTATCGTTTGACGTTTCTATTCGGCAAAGGCAATCATGGAAAACAGCACACAGACACACGCTTTTACAGTAATCTCTTTTACGCCTCCTCAATAGCACGGACGAGCATGATATCTTGACCCCCTTTTGCAGTGGATTTGTCGCGACGTGAAAATACTGTGAAGGTACAACTCTACGAGGACGATCAAAAAAGTCGAACCGATCTTCTTGTTGCCTCGCAGTGATAATGTCGATTTTGGTACATAGGTAGGCGTAGGTAATATCTTCGTACTTGCTCCACCTCCTGTACATCATCAAGAACTCTTCGTAGAAGTTCTGGCCAGTCGCCGCAGAAGAGAAAGGAATGATTTGAAGGCTCGCGATCTTTCATCTTTCAGTGTTATCAACTTCTAGGAGTATATTGAAGGTGGACTACCAGCGCTTGAAAGAGAAGAAGAAGTAGAAGAAGTAGTAAAGAACAAAGACGAACTAGACTGATTTCCAACATCGTCCAAGAGGGAAAAAATGCTGTTGTAGCAGTGAACAGTAAAAACGACACTAAGGCGGAATAACAATAAAAGAACGACGCACGACGACACGGACGCACACGGTGATTTCTCTTTTCAGATCAGTTTTACGCGGCTACCTAGTAACGTGGTCCAGAGAAGCAGCATTCTGAAACTCAACATCTTCGCGGTCCGTAATCTACTTGTAGTTGTTGAGTTTTTTCCTAGCATTGCTGGAGGTTAACGTCGTTAGTGGCCGCAGGAGCAGCTTCCTCATCAAAAACGAACATCTTCTTCTTTGTCTTTCCTCTACTTATTCATCTTGAGCCTGTATTCTTCTACAAGTACAGATAAAAATGGGAAAAAGCGAAGAGAGCGCCTACCGTACGGGAGACTTTCTTAGTACTGAAAGTGCTGCGGAGGAGGAACAGGACGAGCCCTCTTCGTCATTGTCTTCCTATGAAGATGACTCATCGTCTGAGGACGACGTCGGCGCGGACGCTTCGAATGAGTACGAGGACGAGCCAGGTGGAAGACAACGAGGAGTTCCACGTGGAGGTCAACAGAAGCGCGCATCACGTAATGCCAACGCAGGTGATGGTGGTGCCTACGAGGACATCAACCCCAATCCAATTAGTACTAAGAGTAGGCGCGTAGGCGAGTCCCGTAGAGTGAGTAACCCGTCTCCATACAATGCGACAACAACAGCGACATCGTCAAAAATATTAGACACGCAGATGAAAACGACCAATTCGTCGTCGATATTGAAAAGCAGGAGAAAAAGCTCTCACGCTCCTGGAGGCGGCGACGGTGCCTCCGGAAAAGGGAGTGCGGCATCCTCGGGTGCGGCGTCAAAGGATAACAAGGTTATGAAAAATAGATGCGATCAGAAAACACGACGAGGCAGCACTTACGACAGACGCGACCAGAGCAGTAGTAGTAGCACAGCCCCAGCGCAAAAGACGCATAATGATGGAAGCGCGACGTCTGCGCCCCGGTACATGGTCGATACACTAGTCGGCCGCGGTGCTTTCGCGGAACTCTACAAAGTCTATTGCACACGAACGCAGCGGAATTACGCAGTCAAAGTGGAGAAGAATAGGGGCACGTCAAAACTAGAGAAAGAAGCCAATATCCAAAGAGGGCTCGATAAAGCCCTGAACGAACCTGAGCGCAGTGGAGGCAGGTACACATTCAAACAACAGGCTTCGTTTGACGCATGCAGTAGTTTCCTGTTCGTCTTTGTCGAGTTCAGCTTTGTAGATAATTGTGGTGACACGCCGTATCTTCTCCTTTTCCTTATCCATCATCGTCATCCATCAATGCTTAGTATGAATGTCACTCCACAAAGTTTCATGCTTTACAGGTCTTATGTTCCACGCTTTTACGGTTTTCATAACCTGCGAGACAAAGCGGGCCACGCTGGGAGTTCGCCATCAGGGGAGCAGAAAACCCAAATCCAGAGGAGAAGCAAACAGGGCGCCTTTATGGTGCTTGAGTTGCTTGGTAGAGACCTTTCGAGGGTACGCAAAATGGTAAAAAGGCATAAGTTAAGCATTTGCAGTGTTGGATTCCTTGGGAAACAGCTCATCCACATCCTGCGAAAGGTTCACGCAGAGGGCGTCATACATCGAGATATCAAGCCGCAGAACTGTACTCAATCTTAGCCACATTTTTATTTTGTCGTTTATTATTACTTAATTTGATGCAGGATGAGGAGGTCAAAGATGTTGAAGATTGATAGTTGCATCAACTCTCTTGCTTCGTGACTCCATGATTTTTTGATGACGTTTACTGTTTCTTTATCTCTTGCATCGAACTAAGTATTTTACTGTCTTATCTTGCCGTCGCCGTGGTGTACACGCCACTGCCACAAGAATTTCTTTCCACCTTTCACCACGATAGGCATGCTCGGCAATGACCAGAACACGAAGCTAGATCTGCATCTTGTCGATTTTGGTCTGGCGAGAGAGGATTTCTATGAGGAAGCCGTCGGGCCAACCCCAGCTAGCAATGTTAGCTTTCGTGGCACTGCTGCGTACGCCTCTCTTCGCTCCCTGGAGAACATCGAACAAGCAAAAAGAGACGACCTTGAAGGCGTTTTCTGGGTATCTTTCTTGAGGATCATCGTGGTCATTATCGTTTACCGACTTGTATATTTGCATCAACTCACTTCAACTAGTATCAAATTGACGAAAAAACAGTCATAATGAAAGAAAACTGCACTAGAGCGGTTGATGACGAGCACGACTTACACACAGAGTCAGTCGTGGCAATCTTAATCTACTTTTGTCATCGTTTTGGCCCTGATCATGCTGTGCTATGCGAGATTGTAGTGCCTCCAGATCTTTGGGCCGACTCAGAGCGAACAAAAATAGGCTGCAAAAAGTGCGAGAGATGGCAAATAATTGACTTGTGTCAGCGAACGACGACCCTCCTATTCCTACTCCTCCTACTCCTCCTACTCCTCCTACTCCTCCTACTCCTCCTACTCCTCCTACTCCTCCTACTCCTCCTACTCCTCCTACTCCTCCTACTCCTCCTACTCCTCCTACTCCTCCTACTCCTCCTACTCCTCCTACTCCTCCTACTCCTCCTACTCCTCCTACTCCTCCTACTCCTCCTACTCCTCCTACTCCTCCTACTCCTCCTACTCCTCCTACTCCTCCTACTCCTCCTACTCCTCCTACTCCTCCTACTCCTCCTACTCCTCCTACTCCTCCTACTCCTCCTACTCCTCCTACTCCTCCTACTCCTCCTACTCCTCCTACTCCTCCTACTCCTCCTACTCCTCCTACTCCTCCTACTCCTCCTACTCCTCCTACTCCTCCTACTCCTCCTACTCCTCCTACTCCTCCTACTCCTCCTACTCCTCCTACTCCTCCTACTCCTCCTACTCCTCCTACTCCTCCTACTCCTCCTACTCCTCCTACTNTACTACTCTTACTACTCTTACTACTCTTACTACTCTTACTACTCTTACTACTCTTACTACTCTTACTACTCTTACTACTCTTACTACTCTTACTACTCTTACTACTCCTACTACTATTATTAGGTATTTGCTGACCTTCTATGGGGAGGACTGCCTTGGCGACGGCTAAACCTCGGCAAAAGTCGAGAGCGCGACCAGAAAATTCGTGCTGGCAAGCTTGTGGTTTTTGATGCCTTGCAAGAGGTCCGCGAGGGAAAACAGGCACTACAGCACAATCTGCCAGCGGACGGCGTTTTCGCGGGGCCAATCGACGCCAAGGGAAACTTCACAGTGACTAGCGCCACCGATGGAATCAGTCTTCTGGAAGCCTTGCCACCGCAAATGATCACTTTCCTCAACCATCTAACCTGTCTCGAATTTGACGAAACCCCGCGCTACGACATCTTCGAAGCATGTTTCACAGACATGGAGCAGAGTGGTATACTACAACAAGAACAATGTCAAAGTCAATGATGAAATGAAAATTATGTAAGTATGTTCTATCAAACTTCGTGATTATGCGGTCGTAGAAGAGTAAGAAAAGTTCATCTCCCTCTCCACCCTGCTTCAATTATGACCAATTCAAATAGTACAGACCATGACTAAGACGATGCTTGATGTTGAGTTGTTGCTTGTTGAAGATGTTCAATATTGGAGTTCTTGACCGCCATTCATCCATGCCACGACCAGGTGATACGGATGCATTCCGGAAGCACTTTCAGGGACGCCACAAGGAAGACGCAATATCTCGCGAAATTCATGGGGATAACACCAATAAGAAGTTTTTCAACGGGCCTTCAGACTTGAAACAGCTGCAGGCAGCAGCAGCCCTAAATGCCAAGCGACAGGAGCAGGAGGAGCAGCGGCAAACAGAAAGGGCTGGAGAGGACGACGAGGCGCGACTAGGGGAACAGCAGCCAGAGTATTGCAACGGTACTCCAACACCAGGACTACACCATCCTGGAGCTGGCAGAAGAGACTACTTCGCGGACGCTAATAATCAAAATCAAACGTCGCGAAAGCGAGCCGGCGGGGAAAGGTCTCCGGCAACAGACGAAGAGAACGAGGCTGATGCTGGTGGCGGTGGAATTTTTCTTCCCCCTGAAGTGCGTGGCACGCAACCCGGACACGACACCTCACCGCCGGCGGGGCACCAAAATACCCATGATTCTAGCAGCGCACGAGTGGCTAATACCCACCCCCAGCAATCTCGTGACAAGAACGCGAATGCTTTTCCTAGGGGTGTGACTGGTGATAGGGCCATGACCCTCTATGTTACCGATACGCGAGGCGGACCCGTGCAAGACCACCAGCAGCTCCAAACGCAGCGATCATCGGGCGTAGTTACGCGCAACGACGCGGCTGGAGGAACAGGGAAGCCCAGAGAGCAGAGACCACCCAAATTGCAAAAGCGATCTACAGCACACCATCATGGTCCTCCATCATCTTCAGGAGGAGGAAACACAGGAGCCGCAGCTTCCTCCTCCTCGTGTGCGGGCGGAACGAGTCAGTCCACCCACTGGCAGCCGCAGACAAGCCGATTCGATAAGGACCCCAACCCATCCCATAGCGGAGGAAGCAGTCGCCAGTATCATGATCATCAGTCAGGAGCAGGTCCCGGCCCAAATACTGGAGGTAGTGGAGAAGGTGGAAGTGCTGCCTCTTCTTCATCTCTTTTCGTTGGAGCCTCCAGAACAAACAGCGCACGTGGTGGAGGCTTTGGTTTTCATAGTCGCGATCAGTACAGCTACGAATCGGCTGGTATGGCCTTGACACCAAGGGGAGGCCTAACACGGAGAAACAAGAATCGTGATGCCGCTTTGGATCAGGCACCCTCGACCTCCGCTAGCTTCCACTACAGCCAGCCGTATTCGTCTTCGACTGGAGGTCGAGGAGGTGCAAGTAAAGTAGTGCTGACGAGCCGCAAAAATGTAGGAGCAGCACTACACCATCAGCATGATTACCTTCCAGCCACGTCCTCCAACAGAGTTCCACCGACATATGGTGGAGGACAAAAAGCAGCAGCGGGCTCTACTGACCAAGACGGGCGAGACTATTCTCCAGTTTCGGGTACAAGAAAGGAGTCAGGCTTATTTAGTATGACAGCCGCTTCTAGTAGCAGTAACCATCTTGGAGGACGAGGAAATGCAGTTGGTGCATACATCAATAGTGGAGGTCGCTCCTCACCCATAAGTACCAGTACTAGTGGCAGAGTACATCAGCAAGTAGACGCCTCCGGTTCCTGTAGAAATTACCTGAACAATAAAGCGCAAAGAAACGGGCATCACAATATGATGGGCAGTAATCACTATGGTGGATCGACAGCGACGACGTCTGGGACGAGTGCGTACGTCGCTGGACCGTCCTCTAGCTACGATCATTCACGACCAACGCGCGGCGCGCAGAAGATGCCTGCTAGCTGCTCTCCGCCCGGGCCCCCGCGCAAGAAGATGCTGAAGAGCAGCGACCGCGGTGCACCGTCGCGCCACTCGCCCTCAGACCATCTGCGGCACCAGCAGCGAGCGTTGCTCGCAAAAGCAGAGGAGCGAGAAAGGAGGGAACAGGACCTTGATTTCCCTGTTTTAGTGCCATCCAAGGCGAATAACATCAAAAGATCACGAGTAGAGTTCAACAACATGATCGGAGAAACAGATTATAATCATGACTTCCAAGACCGCGGTTCTTTCCACAGCCGCTACAATAATCATACAAAGGGTGTTTCACACAGACGCGACTCGGGAAGGAGTAGCTACCACATGAACTCAGGAGGAGGAGGCGCGTCAGTACAGCATTCCTCGCTCTATTCGCCACGTGAGCAGCCAGGAGTTGGGGGAAACTCATCCGGAGGAACTCTAGCACCTGGCGGAGGGCACCGAGGGACCACCGCTGCGACATCCCCGAGGCATCATCGAGACGTCGAGCGTGTGACGCCGCGGGGCGGCCCAGTGCCGCCGGATCGCGATTTGTGCTCGTCGCGCTGGGATGCTTCGCCAGCAATGCGTCTGCCTCTACCGGAACGAACAGACAACTGGTGGGGTAGCGGGTCATCGGGGGATCGCGACCGTCGCTCTCCGGAGGAAAGGAAGAAGAAATATAAAGGCGAAAGTGGCACTGCTTCCTCGACAACGACGACTTTTCCGGCATTCGGTTTTGCATCCCTAACGACCACGAACGCCTCCGCAGCAACACGCGGCTTGGAAGTAGACCACGCGGACGGCCGCCAACATGCAGACTTCGACTTCCACAGAAAAAGGAGGGCAGCAAGTGGTGGAGGTGCCGCAAAACATGGCTCCGGCGATCGCATCCACCTATCATCTGATCATACTGGAGGTGCTGGTGGAAGAGAGCATCATGCTGTACCACGAACAGCAAGTAAGAACAGAACATCCTCCGGCGACTCTGCTGCAGCGCCGTTTCAACCACCATCGCGATCGAGACCTGGACCCCGGAGGCGAATGCCGGCGCCCAGTCCTCGAACGATTCCAAGCGCTGAGCATCTGTCCAAAGTGCGCGCCGCAGTCTATAGTAGCTGCTACTAGTACAGCTCCTCCTCCTCCATAGGTGGAGGTGGAGCGGCTTCATCGGATGGTAGCACGTCTAGTAGCATGATGCCGACAACACGGGGAGGCAACGCGGCTCGGACGCCATACACTCGAGGACGCGGAAGACGTTGAATGCTATCACATTGATTTGCTGGTGATACAGATTTTATAGTCATGAGCCATGAGGCTGAGCAGCGGTGCAGTGACTGTCTTAGAAATATAAACATGAGGATTCGTGCTCCGGATGTCGACGCTTCGTCTAACTATAATAGACATGAAGAAGAGCAGCACATAAGCTTAAACTTGACGAAGATGGAACAAGAGAAGAAGTAGCATGATGCCTAAGTTGTACTCTCCACGTACTACCAAGTTGCGTGATCTTGACGCGCGAGATGCACGAGTCTGCTCGCGCTATCGAGGTTGATGGGTGAAGAGTATGGCGTTTGTCTTACTTCATTTTTGTAGTCTTTCACTTACACATTAGATATAGATTGGAGCTGAACGGCATAATACGAAAAGATAGAGTAGATGCCGTACTCTTATCGAAATCAAACGATTTACTTTGTTTTTCTAATACTTACAGCTCAAATTCTTCTAACACTTTTCATTTTCTTGATGTTGAATGACCAAATGAACCCCTGACGACCAAATAGGATTTAGCAACCACGTAAAGCTTTGAACTCGAAGGTTTCAGATTAATTCCATGCTCCACGCGACGATTCCAAAAATTCACGAAAATTCCTGCTTCCGTTGTCCTGCGTTTTGTTCACCCATCGCATGCATTATTTTTGCCGCATCAAAGTGGAAGATATTTCTCTGGGAGGAAATTAGAGATTCGGCTTTGCTCTTTCTCATTCAGTACTTCTTCCACGTCGTCAACATTCTCCAATTCCATATAATGTGTAGTAGGTTTCGCTTGCGGACTTTTCTGGCTATAATCAAGGGGATATCCTTCACATGCGTAACATCAAGAATGGAGCAGAAGATGACAAGAAAAGAGTAAATGGCGAGAGTCTCTTCTTGTAGTTGAGCGCATGTGTACTGGAGATGATGCTTGTCAACTAAAATTTGGTTGGTATGTTGGGAGTTGTAGGACGACATAGACATAGTGGATTTACGCAGCAGGTGATACATCTACACCATACGTAATAGCTACTTCACGTTCGAGAGCAAAAGTGGTGTCGGGCTTCACTGTGATTGCAGTATCGTGTCGGGAGCTTCAATATACCAGTCTTCTTCATGGATGACCACTAAAACAAAAGTCTTCGTCGATCTTTTTTTGTACCACTTACTACGACATCTAGTGAACAAAATGAAATTGACCGCGAAGCTTGAGGAATCCTCTACTATGCTTGTCGTATTTAACTCTGCGCAAAAATTAAACGTTGTAATGACGTCGTTGGAATTAACAATGTACTTAAATGTATAAGATAAAGTAGATGCTGATGAGCGTTTTTCTTGAAAATACCTAAGCCTCCTTCTCCTGATCATCCTGATGGCGTTGCTCTCATAGTCGATTTTTTTTCGAAAGATTATATTCATATAGCATCAAGTTCAGGAAGATGAACATACTTAAGGTTAACTTGTAGTTAGCATCCTGATCCTGTGGCAGTCGCGTGATTGATCATTGTCCCTTCGTTCTTGTCCTTCTTTTGGTTCATTTTTGATTTGATTAATATATATATCCTTGTCGACCAGGACGAGACGTCATGGAAAGAAATATTTTTTTCTGGATGGAGTTGGACAACACACACTAAAAGTCGGCCTCGTAATCTCACATGCAATGAACAGGAGGTCATCCTTTCCTGTTGTTCTTTTCGCCGATCGTGGATCACAGCCAAAGTGAAACAAGTGGGGCACGACTTCGTCGTGGCCTTCGCGTGCTTCGTCGTTTTCTTGGTAGTAGAAGAAAGAAATTACCCATGCGCTAGAGCTTCTATCATGAGTGGTATGATTTCGAAGTTGACTATTTGACTAGATGCATGAAGATCTCTCGCACATTCACATGTTGACTCTTTGCTAGAGCTATAAGTGACCGTTACGAGGATAGGTTGTAACGTAAGTATTCAAGCAGCAGCACGCATCTACTCCGGCTGGATACTACTAGATGGACATTACGATCGTCGTTAGTTTTTCTGGCGAGAGAGGACCGCATTCCTCGTATACTTCTTACATTAGAACAAGTACTAGTACTATCTTGCTATTGATGCTGACGATCAATGTCAATCATCCGAATCGATGTAATCTACCCATATTCGCAAGAACTAACACAAGAACTAACACTAATATCCCTAATATCAACGACACAGTATCTTGGTCTTGGTGATGAGCCAGGGAAAAGCATTTCATATTATCCGAGGAGAACCTCCGCCTCCCGACGAGGGCGACTACAGCATAGGCTTATATCAAGAGGATCGGTGGTTTCCACATGCAGAACTAGAAAGCAAAAATAATAAGAGCGACAGAGCTGAAGCTGGTTTTTGGAGACGCTGCTTTTGTTGTATTTACTTGATATACTTATTATATTGTCCTCGCTCCTGCTGGCGTCATTCGATATTTCATCCTGTCTCAAAAAATAACGATGAGAAAATGCAAGATAGAGATCTCAATGATCATGCTAATGCCACTTGGAAGGTCCCATCAAGTCGCGAGCGCGACATATAGCTGAAGAAAATAGTATGAAGATTGAACGCATCCTACTATTAGGAGGCGCCTCTTGTTCGTCATTCGTCTTCAACTTCATAGTTTTTCACCTTTCTTGATGGCTAGAAGAGGTGTAGATCTCGACCTCGAGTGACCAGGACCTGGGGTACAAGGTCGATGGACGCAGCACAGAGAAAATGTTGAGTTAACAAGGACAAGATGAGGAGCACCAGCAAGGTAGAAAGAGAGACGTAGCTTCGATGTTGCCTGAAGTACAATGTGAAGTACAATGTGAAAATACGGAAAACAAAAAGGTTCTTGTACTTGAACAAGTTATTATTTAATCATGAAGAGTAAGAGTTAGTGCTGTTAATAATACAACTTTTAGAGGTGTGCTGCAAATCTTGATTGGCTTTCACCTTTTGGTGAAGGTTTAGGCCCAGCGGCGCTCAAAGCACTAAGTAAGACAACCGGTTAGTTTTCACCTCGACAATATTAGACTTATCCCGTGCAACAATATTATAATACGTCATCAAAATGGCGCAGAGGTCATCGCGGCATCAGGCTGCAAAGTCCGCTCGTACCAGTGCAAATCCGAGACCATCCTCGTCAGGAGGGCTTCCAGCAGCCACCTCTTCATCTACAGTAGCACCTCCTGGTACGTCGCCTGTCACAGGAGACCCTCTGGTCCGCTCACCTAGAGTGCTAGAGCAGCAGCCGGGGGCAGGAGCTGCTACCCGCCCTCCCAGTGTTGTCGCACCGCCTTCGTCTTCGTCGTCCATGGCATCCTCGATGAATGTGAACTTGGGCGGAGCAGGTGGTTCTCTCGGAACGAATGCAACTACTAGTCATTTCCAACAGCCGCATCAGCCCTTACAACCCTTATCAACGACTGCGTCTAGTGGTGTCGACGCGCCTCATCTAGGAGGTTGGAACACCGCGTCCTCTGGGCCTGCTGGAGCAGAAGCAGGAGGACCTCTCCTAAGCGCAACAAGTAATGGTATGAAAAAGTTCGAAGGTGGCAGATCGCTAGCAGCGATGGAGCGAGCACAGATGGAGACGGGCCTTCGTTTGTATGTCATGGACTTGGTCACCGGTATTCGCGCAGACCTCCAGGATCAACTCTCTACTTTGAACAAGTGGCGGCAAGACGTGACCCTCGAATTGGAGGGCGCTGGGGCGACTAGATTTGTTAACCGTGAGCTGAGTGGTGCTGACGGTGGGAATAATGATTTTCGTGATCACGATGCGAGAGTTGTTAGTGGGGATGGTATATTAAAAACCCGTATAGAGGGCCATCCTACTGGAGGGGGTTGTGAAGATAGTCCTTTGACAGAGGAAGAGCGGCTCCGGCGTGCAGTGAGTGATGTTTTAGCTACCCAGTTTCGCGACGAGTTGCGTTCTGCGGTGGGCTACTTCGTCACCGGACAGGAGGGATTAGATCCAGATCTTTGTGCGGAGGTGCGTTGCCTCAAGTCAGAGCTGGGCAGTATGCAGGAGACACTTACAGCTCAGATAGCTATGCTGACCGAGCAGATGAAGGAAGCAGCTCGTATCAGAACAGGTCATCATAGCCAGCAGGAGATGAACGATCACGATGGTGAGGAGCCAACCCTCTTTGGTGGAGGTGGCCGTCTTCAGAACGCTGGCGGAACATCAGGAGTTGTTAACAGCATGGAGATGGAGCAACAGCAGATAATTACACTGCTGACCCAGCCTGATGGAGGAGCTGCGCCAGGGACCAACAGTGCGAGTCGTGTAGACAGCAAGAGCAACATAGGTAGTAGCCCGTGGAATCTGACTGGATTCACGGCGAGTTCCAGACCGGGCTCTAGAATGGCCTCAAAAACCCAGATTGCTATAGATCCCAATTCAGGGGCGCCTGGTGGTAATAGTAATAGAAGACCAGGGACGTCAACAGGTGCTACAACCATGTCGCCTCCTGGCATGACTCATCGAGAAGCGCGTGTGATTGAGGTTGTGCGTGAGCCACCAGCCGCAGTTCACAAAGGAGGTGACTCGCCGGCCGATGCAATTACAAATTCGGTGAATTTCAGCAACATTGCAACAGGGGGTGGAGAAAACGCCATCGAAGAGGCAACCACATCATGGTTGGAGGCTGCACGCCTAAAGTACCTAGGCTTTCGCTTTTTTGGATGTCCTGGCCTAGATGAAAGTTGCTAAAATAGATTCAGATTATCGATCTCGAAGTGGACAACTCGTACTACGAAAGATTAAGATTCGGCGCTCCTCTTAAAAAGAAGGACTTCGAAGATCAATTTAAATAAATACTTAAATAGATCTTCACCATTTCTACGGTAGATCTGAGTCTCGTCGTCGTGCAGAGGAAATGCGAGAGCAGCGCGAATACTTGGATACAAAGGTCCAAAAGTTGCATGCTGACTTCGCGCAGTTATCACGCAGTGTGGGTTGTAGCCTAGAAACGATGGACACGAAGATGAGCATCCTGGAAAACGCTCAAGCGGAAACGCGACTTGAAGCTGGCAAATTGTTTACCCGATTGGAGAGCCATATCCAGCAACTTTTGGCCCAAGACATCACTGTTTCATCTAAAGTTGAGGGTTCCCACATCCTTGCATCCTTTACTAGCGTCCCTGACTCTTTATCGTCCAGTAAGAAAGAAGTCAGTGATGCTCGGAAGAACGCAATTGATATGTCGGAGCCGCTAATGAAGGTTTTGGCGAGCCACCCAGTGAGCAAGACCAGGAACAAGAACTGGTGCCCAAATGTGTTCGGTCGAATGCAGGGGGCGATCAGGGAAGTGAAGACCATGTTGCTGAGCAAGAAGTTGAGCATGTTGATGCAAGTGAAGATCACATCATGTCGGAAGAAGCAGGTCCTCAGATCCACGGGAGCAACAGCTATTCTGGTGGCGTTACGGAGCAACCACCTGCTTCTGCGGAACTACTACAAGACGTTGATGGTAGAGCAGCAGATGTTTAAGGGTGAGCGTGAGATACGTTTTATTTTACCATGCGATTCCCATGGATTGAAGATTCATTTAGACTTACTTATGTAGTTGTAGAAGATGACTAATAACCGGGTGATGGGGCGCGATATTTCGCGTAGTTAAAGATGAAGCTAGGCCAATTCCCACCGGGGGGGTCGTGATGGTGAGAAAACATAATGGTGCAACTATCTCTAATTCATCAAACCTGATGAAGAACAAGCGCATGCGCAAGCCGAAGGGAGAGACGAACTTTTCCTGCATCAACAAGATCAGTGGAACAGGCAGTGGGAGACGCGGTCGTCTGTCCTAGAACGTTTGGAGGAGCGAATCTCGCACTTAGAAAGAGAACTAGAAGAAACACAGCTGAAATTGGAAGACAGAACCCTGATCGTGGAGAGCGGTCTAGAACGCACGTTCAATCGATTACGGCCAGCAGCACCAGAATCCGTTTACGGACGAATTACAGGTCTAGGTGAAACAAGTAATGAAGCACGAACTACTCCTGGTCAACATGTCGTACTCGATCCTCATTCAGTACTACAAATACAATCTGGGAGAGGACAGGCGCAGGTGGACGTGCTACAGACTGGTTCGGCTGCCGCTGTCGTAGGTGGGACCTCTTCTCTTTTTGCTGCAAATGAACATGGAGGACAGTTAGTTCTGGACACAACAGATGGCCGTGCGCTGGAAGATGCACCTCCTGAAGATGATGTCAGTAACAATTTGTAATCGAAATTCTTGAAGAATCCTCACAAACTCAAACGCAAAGATTCTTCTCTTCCTTAGCACGTCCATTATATAAGACTAGTATATTTAGTGTCGATAAGCAGAAAAATGTGGATTTTCCATGTATATGAATGTATCTATAGTCTAGTGTTGTAGTAGACGTACTATAGTCCTCTAGTGGTCCTAGATGAACTGACTAGGGTGATTATAATTAAAAAAAAAAGTTGAAGTACTACTTAAGAACTTCTCAGTTGTCAAGTACAAACTTAAAGTAAGTTGATGCAAGTCTTTTTAGTCAACTGATGTACAAATTATGCATCTACTCTTGTTGAAAGTAGAAGACATCAGAACAGCCCCTGCCCGTTGTTCTAGATAGTACTAATAAGATGAATCACTTTGCGATAGGGATAGCGATAATTTCAATTTCCATTTTTTCAGCTGCACGTATATGCAATGGACAGGCAAGAGATAACATTCAATGCGTCTTGACGGATGCGTCTCCTAAGACCCTCGCTAAAGGTTTTCTCATTTGGGTTCGAACCTGTGATTGTGAACTGGTCTCACAAGCGGTGAAAGCTTTTCCAACTTATGTCCTTGATCCATCCATGAAATCTGTAAATAAATCTGAGTCCTTAGTCGTTCTGGTATATAATCAATGGTTGATGTCCATGTCCATGATGTATTTTTAGAGAGGCTGCCACAGACTACAATTTCCTCAGGACCCAGTAGAAATCCACGGAGCACATGGTCGTGATTCTTGCAGGGTATGGCGATCGTGAGAACGCCTGACCCCGTGGGTGAAGCTCCTGCACCAGGATCGTCATGCTGACCTCCACGGCGAAAGAAGCACCCCGACCCTTTTGGGTCGTTCCGACCATGCGCTCTCCGGCGCTTATTTCTGCTTTTGTTCTTCTCTGTTGTCCCTCGTCTTCGTGTGCGCATAAAATCGTCCAGCGAAATCATCGGGGTCTTCCTCGTCGATCATTCAACAAAACGCCAGAAGATGACTCGTCCGTAGAACTCAACATAGCATTAGGATCCTCTGACGCTGGCGGTGGCGCTGCATCTGGCGGAAATAGAACTACAACCTTTCCACTCTGCGAAGAACATTCGCCTCTTCAATACGACTGGAAAGCACTCTTACGAACTGACGTTTATGAGCGAGATACTGAAAAAGCAGCCAACGGGGGGAGACGTACGTAAGATTTCTTACTGCTCGTTTCGTTGTGAAGAATATTTTTCCAATTCATCTCATAATGAAAATGATTGAATGAAATTTATCAGAAATAGAGGTTTCCCAACATTAGATCTTTAGTTCCGATAACATAAACATTTTAGGAACATCTTTAATTTTTCACTCGCTCTAATACCTTTACTTAGTACTAAGAACTTACCCTCAACATCAACCCCACATACAACAGTGACGAAGCCAGAACAGCAGTTATTCTACCTGTTTGAGTGCGAGGCGGAACTTCGTTTACCTCTACGCATTTCGAAGCATGGCGCAGTGCCCTACTTCAGTCTCTTCAATGTCCAGAAATTGGGAGGCATTGGCGTTGGAAACTTTTTTTTATGGCTGCTTCAGTCACTGTCTTCATCCCTTTTCTTTTTCTGGTGGCACATGTTCTTGTTCTACAATTTCTAGTTCCTTGAAATGGAACAACCGTTTTACGCTCAGGAAGTAGTTGTGGTCTTTATTCAACATTTTCATTTTCCAACTCTAATCTTATCCGGGGACGCAAGCCGGCTTGACGAGAAGTACGCTCTGTATCAGATTGCGGTGCGATGGCCCGCCGAGCACGCGTTTGAAGGTTGCGCTTCTTCCGCTGATTGCATAGAGTTGCAACTCTTGCACGTTGGCGAGGATCTTTCTCAAGCATGGGTGAGTTTCGGCTTCAGCCCGGCTGTGGAACCGGTCACTCCGTCATTGCTGGCGCAGTTGTTTCAGATCAATCCGGCAACGGGTCAGCGTACTCAGCAAGGGGAACCCGAGGACGTGCTCAGCGCCGAGTTGGCTGTAGACGAAGAAATTCCTATCGGCCAATTAGACTTGGAAAGCCTCTTTGTACCGCTAGACGATGACAGTGATGCAGTCCCGGTCCCGCGGCCGATCGGTGATGCGGAAAGAACGTTGATAGAAGGCGTTTTCGGCGCAGATAGGTCGCGATCTCCAGCTGAGAACGCCACAGCTACAGCCGCTGTGGATGAGGAGGTTGCAGCAGAGGTGCTGGTTGTCAATGCCACAAAAACACAGGCAAGCGCAAAAATGGCGGAGTATTTCGAGATGCCATCTCGCAGCAACGCAGCTCGAAATTTCGGCTCCGCGACAGGTAGTGGACTTGGATCGTTAGGCTCATCCACGGCTGGTGGTGGGAGCCGTGCGGGGGCTGGATTTTCATCCCTCGGTGGTGCGTCGTCAAATTTCCCACGGAAGAGCCGATGCTCAGGCAGTCAAAGAAAAAAGACGAATGTTACGGGGAGTTGCTCCTAGGTGTAGATATCTACTAAGCGATCATAGATGACGAGACTCCCTGTGGTTATTCATAGAGACCTACGGGACTCCCTTGGTATTCCAATTTAGTACTCATCTTAGGAGGACGGTGGTGCATTTGTAATTGTAGGTAAGAAAAACTAGGTCCTCTAATAGTTCGACTTCTTCACCTGTGCGTTTCCTGGAATACGAGGATGCAGGTCGACCAGGCGTGGCGGCTCCCTATGGGCGCACAAGGTGGTTCGTTCGCACCGATACCGTTTTTCCCGTGAGAACTACCGTTTTTGAAAAAATCAAGGATTTCATCAAACAGAAGCAAGCAGATGGGAATGCACGCGCTCCTTTCGAAGACCCTACGTTTTTTGCCTCTTTATTGCCAGCTCCTTCAACTGGCAGTGGTGCGGCTGGGTCTGGTTCTTCGGTAGCAAATGCTTTCGGCAGCACCTCAACTCATGGATCCACCTCTTTACAGGATACTCCACCACTGCACGCCTCCTTGTTAGTGAAGAACAAGATTGCTACAATGGCAAAGACGAAGTCAAAAACCTTGTCAAAAACATATAGGAAGCAATCTACAAGTACATCATCTTCTAGATCGTCTAGAAGCTATGTGCACATAATGCGCTCGGCGATTTGGAAATTCAATCAGGACGCTGTAAAGAGGCTCGTGCATCGCAAGAACAAGAAGACCATGAAGAGGAGAACCTCTGCTTTTGGGTTTCTAGATCAACAACATCGCATCCAAAGCGGACTGGACGTCGACCGCAGCAGTAGTACGACAACAAAAACTATATTTTCAAGCCGGCGCGCTTTTTCTAGAAGTGCGACTACTACTACTCAAAAAAACAAGACCACGTTCGTGGACAGCCCACCAGTGTGCCGAGCCGCCAAGGTAGTTGCGGCGACTGCCGCGCGGCCTCTGATAGCGCCTGCAGCTGTTGTGCCGGTCAGCGCACGTATGCAGAAAATTGGTGATTTGTTAAACGGGGTGATTGCGGAAAATACGACGGGTTCCCCTTCCCCTACAACGGAAGCAGCCGCGGAAGTTCAAGGAGCGACTTTGGCAGAGGCAGCGTCGTCTGGAGCATTGTCAGACGATGAAGAAGAAGCCCTTGATCCTCTCGGCTCTCAAAGCACAACAGCTTCTTTAACACATGCCACCGCGGCTCCCTCCTGGTCGAGAGCATCTTCTTCTGATCAAGGTCAAGGAGCTACTAGAGCACTACCAGAACAGCAAGAAAACGACATGACGATCGATTGCACCTCCTGTGGGCCGATGGGGATCGCCTATCGACATCCCGACGTCGTAAGCCGCTCCAAGACTTCCCGTTCACCCTCTGAACTTGCCACCCACTGCATTCTTGTCAATTATGAGAAACAAGCTACTTATTTTAATAGCAAGAGCAACTCTTAGAGACCGTCGAGGACCTATCTTCGTGCCTCATTAATACTTCACTTCTTGATCATCATCAACATCATCATCCATTAACGACGTCAGATGTTTCTCGGTTTCTAATGAAAGCAAGCCGCACGGGCAGCGAAGAAATTGCGTGAGCGTACCCTGATGCTTGGTGTAAAGGCCGCACGGTGCCAGAAGGTACTCGCGGACAATATTTTCGAGCCCTTTGCCCAATACGCTCAGTGCCACAATTCGCGTCAACGCATACTAGACGAGCTGGCGTCAGCGCGAGAAGCCCAGCGGGTCGCTGACCAAGAGGTAGCCCGGACGCAAGAAGACAAAGGAGTTGCTATCTCTCGAGCCCAAGACATCTTGGAGCATATGGAGGCAGCGGCCAGTCGTGCCAGATCTACCACGACAGCTGGTGCAACATCAGGATCAGCAACCTCGTCGACCGCATCATCAGCTAGCGAGACCATAGAAGGAGGAGGTGGCGCGACAGGAACCACTACTGGTGAGTCATCTTCTGCAGATATTGATATGGACAACTCGCCTTCATCTGTATCGAAAAGCACAGGAGAAAGTAGAACAAGTACAACTTCAGTTGTTACCATAATTTCACCACCTACAGTCGTTGACGAGGAGGACAAGGAAGCCGCTGAAAAGGAGGCGATAGCAGTTCCGGCACTTGACTCTCTGGTTTGCCCTGACCTCGAGCCACCACGGACTGAAATGGCCTGCGCACTCAAAGCACTAGACCCTTTCACCCGGGATTTACGGCACCAAACATATTATATCTTCTTCCTTCCTCATCGTTCACGTTCTTCATAAGAACCCTTTAACAACTATTAGCAACTATATCTTTTCCATAAACACAAATTAGAAACCAAGAAAAAACTCAACAAAAGGTAGTTCTCCACCGTTCTTGTTGATCATGAGACCAGGGCTTTAGAATTTTCAAAAACATATGAAATAGAATATGCAACTACGTTTTCTAAATTCTGACGCCATGGCGTGCGCAGGAGGGGTCTCGGCCGATGCCATCTTTCGTTTCGGGGATCCTACTGTGGTTGACGATGAAATGGATGCGGCGTATGATGTTGAATAAAACGATACACACACATCCTCCATCAGGTGTTGAAGTGAAGTCTTCTTCAACAGGATGAGGATGACTGCCATTCTGCTTAGTCTTTGCTAGACGATTACAATACACTGCTAGGGGCTCCCGGTAGTGCTTGACGACAAGAACGTACTCCTCCATGTCGACAGCTCCTCCATGTCGACAACGGACTTCGTGTTAATATTTTTTTCTTGTTTTTTCCCTAAATTTTTCTTCAACTGCAACAACGTTGTAGTTCCGACCACAGATATCATGATGGATGCCGTGCAAAAGGTTTCAAGCTCTTGACTACGTACTTGATGGCGGAGTCTGAAATCACGCCAGGTCGCCTTGTGTCTCCTCTGGTTGAATCGTGCCTGCGACTGATGTTCATGTCGACGTTTTGCAACAATTACAGCGAAAGTTGAATGTAAGATCATTAGAAGGTTATTCATGATTAGGTAGTGGTCTTAATACTTAGAGCATAGAGCGAAATACGAGATGACGAGAGCAGATTAAAGTGGAAATGGAAAACTGCGATGAAAAATCCGATCTTTGCTGGGAGGCTCCACTGGTTCAACTGTTACTAGTAAGTCTCTCTTTCGTAACTTGAGATAATGGGAATTTTGCTCCCGACAGCATGTAAAAAATGAAAATGTATGTTTGTATCGGGTTTCTTGTGTTTCTAGGTAGTGTATCTTAAAAATCCTTATGATCACGATCATCTTCATTGCGTTAACAAGTTGTACTTCTAAATAATTAATCAACATCAACAACGTCAAGAAGTATGATCTCTTTCTAGAGCCTACCTCTCGATCTCTTTGGTTGTTTTCGAGAGGAGACGAGAGACCGAGAACTATTTCGGATCTTTATTCGTGACACTGTGCAACAACATGATGGAGTTAGAAATCAACGATCCGCGACGTCATGAGACCCGCAGGGAGAAGCAGATGAAGAAGACGTTGATTAAGAGAACAATGAAGAAAGCTGGTATCTATCAGTATCTTTTAAAAAAGAACTAGAACAAGGACTTTCGAATTAGCTTTTTCATCTAAGTTCTTCGGTGACGTTTTTTAGAACTAGTAGATCTAACATGAAGATGATCATGAAATATTCTTCTACTAGTCAAACGCAAACTTCTAACCACTATTTTATTTACTACCTACCTCCTCTAAGTCAAATGCGCGACGCAACACCGACTACGTCGCACAGCTTCAGAGGCGCAACTTCGAGAACCGAGAAAAGCAAGAGATTCGTGCTGAAGATGCATTTTTTCCCTCAATGGATCGATTGCCTGCCTACCCCAGTCCCAAGTCGCCTGCAACTGGTAACGGAACACTGACGCTCCTTTCTGAGGAAGAGGTGGAGGACGAAACGTCTGGCATATCTAGCACATCATGTGGCTGTTCGTCGGCGAGTGAGTCTGCGTCAAGAGTTACGGATCGATTTTCTTTATTATAATATCCTCGGTAGTATTATAAGTATTAGAATTTGTAGCTTAGTTCTGCCCCACCAGTCACGCTCACCTGTGACTTCACAACATGCTGTTGAACGTGATATACCAGGAATCATCTTCATCTTCATCTTGTTGATTTTTCTCATTATCAGGGGTACTAGAATAACCATACGTGAAACTCTTGGTCAACAGCGAGCAGGGGTTTCGCGACTCACGCCCATCGGAATAATGATTGATGAAGAAACACTACAACAACATGTACATGCTCTTGCAGCTTCATCTTCTAAGGCATAGTTGTCCGCTTCGTTTACCGCGGGTCGTCGGGGACTCTCACTGCGGGAGGCGCCTGATCCTGAAACTGTGGCAAAAGAAGACCGAGAGTTGCGGTTGCGAGAGATTTACCTGCAAAGAGGAATTGAGTTTCCTACTCATCTGCTAGGAGGGGCTCCCCTGGTGCCACAAAACAAGTTAAGAAATATGATTTCAGTGTTGTGGCCTACCTCTCGGGGTTGTGCCGCTACGAAAAAGATGGCATTTCATTCTAAGTACATATCCAGTGGCTACTTCTACAATCTGCTTGATGAGTTTCGGAAAATGTATGAGATTTGTTCGTCTACTACCATCATGTGCGATTACCAATACTATTAGATGATCACTTTTTACCAAGTAAAAGTCGTGCAGGTGCAGGACGAGTAAGAACTACTTACCTGGCTATGTTGACCTCTAAAGAATTCGGCGATATCCACCACCTCTTCTACGAGCGCGTCGGTGCAACATTTTACCTTAGAGGACGAAGAGGAGGAGGAGGAGGATAGTGAGAAAGCCGAAGATGCGGAACCATCGCCAACTGCGCAAACTTCTGCTCACATTGGAGATGGAGAGCAAGTACAACAAGCGGCAAATGAAGCCGAAGACAATGATACAACGAAAATAAATGAAAATAAACCTAAAAATGCAAATGGCGGGTCGATGGTTCCTCCTGATGCGTGCTCGCGGAGCTCTAGCTACATCGAGTGCAATAGTGATGATCTTCTTGAGCTGAATACACCTAGTTGTAGTAGCAGTAGCACCGCGAGAACTGCAAAAACGGCTCAACTTGAAGATCGGCAGGCGGAGGGTAGAGAGATAGTTCTTGGTAATTCCTCGTCAGCTTCATGGGGTACCAGTACCACTTCCACTACCGGCAAGCTGCAGGCGGAAACGACATCGGCCGGCGGTAGTACTGCAGCGAGCAGTACCACAGCCTCGTTGGCTTCTTCCTCATCGTCAACGCCCATCGAGGAGCAAAAGCGAAAGGAGGTAGAACCAGGAGACGACGTACTAGTCACAAGGCTCAACAACGGCCTGACTTCCAATGCTGCATCTTCAACGTCCAGTTCTTCGACTAGCATCTCGCCCAGCAGTTCCTCCTCAAAAATATCCCACACGGCGGATAGGGGCACGACGTTGAATCAGCAACCTAATAGACAGAAAAATTCTGGCCCGCATCATTATCCTCCTTCCACTACTTGTGCATCCTCTTCATCGTCATCTAGCACGCCGTCTCTGCAAAGCGCTAGCGCAACAACACTGGATCATGTACTGGGCAACAATCGCAGCAGTAGATGTCCAGGCTCCGCCACCAACGACGTGTGCGACCCTTCTTTAAGACGAGTATACGTACCAAAACTAGAATTAGTAGAAAAATTGTAAGTCATCTACTAGGTTGTAAATATGTAGTTTCATGGTGCTTGATTTTGATTTCTGGATCTGGAAGACACATTTTTGTTTCCCTGAAAAAGATTCCAGAATTATTTTCCCGTCCAGTTGTAGTTAACATCAATTGTTACAACCTCAAGTAGTGGATGCTGTTATTTTTCCGTCCATCAACAGGAAATCTTTATTGTGTTCCTATCCATTGGCATTAGTTCGTTTCCGTTTGCATGGTCTCCCACTTATCGTTGTCTAATTTTGCCAATGTCTGAGTCTGGAGTCGGAGGTGGCTCACATTTTACATCGCCGGCGTCATCGTACAAGACCCCCGTATCCATACAGGCATCGCCTGCACATCACGAAGTAGGGTTAGGGCTGACAACCACATTTTTTGTATCATGAAGTTAGACAGCTTGCGTTCCTTCGTTCCGAGGGAAAAACGCTAGAAGCAGGTTGTTTCTTCAGAGTGCAAAAGCAGGATAATTTACTTGGTGAGCTGGTATCTTACTAGCTACTTAGATTACAATTGCCGTCCGAACTTGATTTGCATCTTCCTTCGTGTGTGTTACTCGTCACCAAGAAGATTCGTGATCTATGTTCACGAGCTCTAAGAAGAACAGCACCCGACGCGGAAGTTGAGGTCATTAACAATGATGAACAACGCGGATCCCCAAAGCAAGGTGAAAAACTTAAACTAGATGAAGGCGTCACTGTGGACGTGGAAGACAGCGGAGTTGTGATGGGAGCAGGCGTACAGATGATATCTGGAGGCAAGAAAAAGAAACCCGGACATCAGAGCTACAAGTGCACCACAAGTAGCAGTTAAGCGTAACGCAAACTCTTCTAGTTCTTCTATTTAATATCTTCTTTTTCCACTCTTAATCTTATCACAACGACTCTTGTAATTTTTTTATTTTCATTCGACTCTTAATCTTGTTTTTAATACCTCAGCACAAGGAAACGCTACAGCTTTTTTCCCTTGATAATCACAAATTATGCGTAATACCTGTTCCTTGCCAGCTCATTAATGTGCTTATTTGCTTATACTGGTGTTCCTCATCTTCTAAAAAAGTGTTAAAGGACCTCCGGGAGTGACGTTGTTTGAGGAGACGCATCGCTTACCAAGTATCGAGGAAGACCCCTGGTGGACAAAGCCGTAATGTTGGAAAGAAATGCTCCATAAGCTTGCCTTAGCCTCCTTGAGCATCATGTGTCAAAAATATCCTGGATATCCACCTCCTACACTTCGTGTTTTGGGTGTTCCCACCACTACCATCTGCGACGCAGTGATGTGGAAGACGCTGAGACTCGCGTCCTGATATTTAGCCTCCACGACGACTCCTGGCGACTGATGCATCAGCCTAACTTCAACGCATACTACACTAAACTTCTTTTCTCGTGGTCCTTCACTTTGGTATACTTCGTGTCTGGTTTTCTTACTTTTGTGAGAAGGAGCAGCATGATGTTCATAACGTTGCATCAAAAGAACTACTAGTGCGAGATTAATACAAGCCAGATGTTCCATGGCTTCTTGCTCCTCCTCATTCATGTCCTTGTTCCTTGACTTGACATCAAGTCTGTTCCTTTCCTTTTGTTGTTGCAAAACGCATCATCTCTGTTGCCGCAGATAGAAGTTTCGGTTTGTAGTTGTAAAAGTTATCTGAAAGGTTTTACTGTATGTAAAAAATGTTTTTGCCTGATGTTGAGCTCCTATGATTCTCCTGTCAGCAAAGTCTCTGCTGTTGTACTTGTAAGAAAGGGAAATTTTAGGATGTCGATGTTGTGCATTTTAGCTTGTTGTTGCCTGTAGAATCTACATCGGACACTGCGCTGAATACGAGTACAACATAAAGCTAAGCAGGTGCATAATCAACACGCAGAAATCTACTTACTTTTATATATTCTTCGGGTAAAAAACAGGCTAAGGGAACCTCATATTGATTACATCCTGCTCCATGAGCATACTACTCAATTTATTACAAGGCTCTTTCATCACTTCCTCCTCCGGTGAACGTGACGCGTCGTTATGGTTGTATTGACACACTCGACATGAGGACATGACTGCCTGGGCGTTTACCGCAGCACCATGTGCCATCTGTTTTCTATTTTTGGATGTATGTCGTGTAACTCTACCTATGTTGATCAAGAAGAAGGAGCAGGAGTTATAATATTATTACTTGCTTGTTCACCTTCACGACCACGACATGGAAGAGGAGCACAAGAACAGGCTTCCTCATCATGCTCAGTGAGTCCTTGTTCTTTTCGTTTTTCCCCGCGAGAGAAGGGGTAGTACAGAAGAGCGACGAGAACAAGTTACTTAAGATTACTCGAAAATTACTCGAAATGCAGGAGAAAAAAATAAGTACGCTATTGCGACTTAAGAAGTGGCGGATACAACCGCTTGTAGTGAGAGATTCGGAAATAGAGGAAAAGCAAGTCAAAAAGCAAAAGGGAGTACTAGAGGCCGGAAGTTTACTAAGATGAACTTCTACAAATTGAATTATCAGAATCAAAGGCATGACTACAGCAGCACCAGGCAAGTAGGTAAGATGTTGAGTGCGTTCATTTTGATGAACGCACTCAAAAAATTCTTTCCAAGAAAACCATGACAAATTGTTGTAAGAACTACAACTACAAGATGAAATGCGAGCACCCGACGTCCTCGACACCAAATCAGGTGGAGTTCTTCTTGTACTCGTCTGCCGGGCTACAAAGGGGGTAGAAGCACTGCAACGAACTAGTGCCCCGCTGCCACACACGAGAACGATATGAGTACGAAATCGAAGCCACGACTCCGTCAGGGGAAGTCTAAGGATACTTCGCATGCTGAAGTAGAACAAGACGCTGAAAAAGAAGATGGCAGCGGCAGTGACGTCTCCTCGTGTGGTACTATCAGTCGTTCTGCGTGTATTGTCTTGATATCAAGTCAAACGATGAAATGAAACAACTACAAGAACAAGAACATGAGCATGATTATTTCAGATGAAACAAAAACAGATACCATATGGGCGCCCCCCACGATACTCCTGGACTCGGACGGAGAGAAAGATCCGGATGAAGATGACGGTACCAGAGACTCGTTTGCTAATTCTCTCACTTTCATTCGTGGTCGTGGTGTAAGCTTCCTTTTTCTTTTTATTTTACTCGCCTACTTACACGGTGACTGTTAAGGGTTGGACTGTTGTCGTTATTGTTGCTATGCATTTATCTCCCTCATGAATTCACTTGATGCTATTGAGTACTAATATATTGAAAACATTTGGGAATCTATTTTCAATTTCATTTCAAAACTAAAAGATGAAGATTCATCCGGCAGCTTCTATGCCTATAACGTCATCAAGATCTCATCGGCAGGTTTCATCGAGAAGATCCCCGAAAACAAGGACGCGACAGCCGGCGTAGGAAATCCCAAAGCAGATCTCTTGTTTTTCTTCACGTTGCCAAGAGTGGTTTTTTTTGCATCATGTATGTTTATTGCTGGCATTTTCTGTGGCGGAGCAGGTTTCTTTCTCTGGGTCCGGTTGTATGCTCCCTCTGGATACAACAAGCAGATGATGCAGGAAGAGCACGTCGAAGACGTGACGGCGCCACCTCCAGAAGAATTTTCTCCCTCCGATGGGGACGATGAAGAAGATGTCTCTTTTTCCTTGGAATCGGAGGAGGCAATCGCCGTTGAAGATGAAGTAAGCTTCGTGGAGATGATGCAGCTACGAGGTGTTCGATACAAACTTCGAGTAGAGATCAAGCACTTCCGCGAAAAAGTTCAGAAAAGCCCAGGCCTTCAGGACGAGAAGAGGAAAGCGAAGGCGGACAAATGTCTAAAGTGGATTGCCCGCTACGTGGAAAAATTCAATGAAGAGGATCAGAACCAGTGGCAAAAGAACCCTGATCTGCAGAAAGCTTACAACATGCTACCGAAAATCCTAGGCGAAGATACCGACTTACTGACGGCATACAATACCCTGCTTGAGCACCTTAAGTCGTTTCCAGATGCCATTCTTGCGAACCCTTACGGCATGGGATCATTAAATTATTTTCCAAATTGGGTGAAGTAATCTGAAGCTGAACTGGAAAGAAGTAGTAGTAACAGTAACTACTCAACAACAAAAACAGAACAAATTCAAATAGATGATAGATACAAATTTCAATCATGTAGTTTTTGCACCTTATTGATTGAGAACGAAGTACAAGTAGAAGCAGAAGCAGTTCGACCGTAATGCAACTTCCGTTGTCAACGTCGACGTGGCATTCATCTATACTATTGAATTATCGAGACTACGCAGTAAGTCTAAGTGTATATGAATTGAACCATTTCACATAAGTTGTACACGGTGAAATGATTTCGAATTCGAGTCTAGAAATAAATAGATACCGCATCTTGTTCTGCATTAATATTCTTTCATGAGAAACCAGACGGCGAGACGGAAGAAATGAAAGCGGACCGAGTGAAGAGAGAGAAGAAGCATCAAGAAGAATATGGGGACGACCGGGTAAAAAAGAAGAAGGAGCATGAGAAAACGAAAGAGAATCGGAAAAGAAAGAAGGCGCGAAAAAAGAAGAAGGATAGCAAGAAGAAAGCGGATGACAATGAACAAGCAGATGCACTAGATAAGGTTAAGGATGAAGATGGGATGGATGACATCAATAGCCAAGAAGATACAGATACGGATAATAAAGATGGGACTGAATCTGCAGTAGCAGACCAAGAAGAACAAGACCAAAGAGAGCAGGACCAGGAGGAACAAGACCAAGGCCAGCAACTCTTGATGAAGAAAGTAGTGTCTCGCTAGTGCTAAAGCTAATGAACAACTAACCCCACCGCCTCTATACACGTGTATATTCCTTCTATGTATAGTAAGTGTGCTGCAGTGACAGCTCTTCTCAGAAGGTACTACTTTACTGAACGGCCTCATACATAAGTAGACGCATAATGCTATACAAGAGGCACCATGACATGACAGCAATCTGCATAGACGACGTACTAGTAGACGCACAAAGAGGCTCATGCTCGAGAGCTCTAATAGATCGATGGGCGCTACTAGTAGATCTGCGGAGGTGAAGGCACGACAGCACGCAAGCGCTGCTAAAAACAAAAAGGAAGAAAGTGATGGATGTTGTTCGTGTTCATTCGCTGAAGAATGCTCGTCAGCCTGCTGCAGCTTCCTGGATACTCCGGTGCAACACTATTTATTACGAAGATGAAGTTGAAGTTGAAGATATACACGGAAGTGGAAGAACTACAATATGCTATTTCTTTTTACTTGTAACAAGTCTATCAACTTTTTTGTCACCGGTTTTTATGAAAATATTGAATCATACACCATCACCACATGTTCGTTCTTTGTGTATCGCCACTAACGAGCTAACAATTTTTACCGAAACAAAGAAAATTCATGTTCTTGCTCCGTCTAGATTTTCACCATATTCTTGATATTAATATCGAACCACACACAGGAGGAGACGAACGAGGCAGAACGGGAGAAGGAAGGGAGTACTAAAACAGGAGTTGCAGGGACAGGGAATTTGCGTGGGTCTAGTGACGGGTGGACCTCCAATTGGGCAAAAATCCCACGATGAAGAGGATCGTGATATTGGGTTGCACAAAATTTCTTTCCCATCAGTATCAGAATTGAGAAGGATCCTCATCCTCTGAAGATGAAGCATGGGAGCGGGATCGATATGCTAATTGCTTACTCATTCAAAAAGTCGAAGTACTTAGAAAAGAAATCTGAGATGTAGAAGAAGTACAAAACAAGCAAGAACCTTAGCAATGTTGGTGCGAACAACGCTGAATCCATGTGCCTGTACTATGAGCATATGCTGAGTGAAAGACTACTCTTGATGCTAGGCACATCGTCATCCTTTACTATCCTGTGGGTGTCTATATCCATTACCATTTTGTCCCTATACGTATTACGCACATGCATCAGCACCACTTGGCGTAGTTGGGCTTTGTGTTGTTGTGTAGTACTGAGTTCATTTTCTGGTAGGGCGGACGAGCGGACAACACCGTTTGTCTTTGTGTGCCAGCACCTTATAATAGAGGATTATCAGAACTTCAAGAAACAAATGCTAATTTCTGGACCACTTTGGCACCCGACATGAACATGATGTAAAACCGTTTGCCGGATGGAAAAATCTGGGTTCCATCGCGACATGATATAATCTTAATCCGATCAAATTTTCTATCATGGTCATCATGATTGCTCAACAAGGCATATACAGCAAAATTGAAAAAGTGTAAACCAAAAATGCTATAGTCATCAAGCCTTTTGGCTTTATTTGTACTAGGATTCGGAGCATATACTTGAGCAGCTCAAGTATGTTGTAGAATCTTTTTTTGTGCTTCATCAATAGAAGAAACACAGCAATTACTACATGATGATCATGCGCTTACCTTAGCCCTTTACCCTCCTCCAGGCATTTTTAGATACAATCAACGCTTATAAAAGTGTTTTCCGTGTTCTCATAATCTATAGTCATGCCTTGTTGGTGAACATGATGAAATAGAGCGTGGTGAACGTGATGAGAAAAACTGAAAACAAAAATCCGTAGTCGACAACATGAAACGGCATGCTTTGAAGTTTGTGAAAGAGTTGATTAGTTTTGAAGAATTTCGAAAGCAATATGAGGGTGCTGTCTTGCCGTTCCGCCTGTTGTTTCCTGCCTTCTCTGTTTTGCGACAGCTCCTTCATCTTGGGCAGTGGGATGATCTCAAGGTGACGACATTGCCGAAACGACCTTCACCAAATGCTACTCCTGGAACATCAACAAGTATAAGCAGTGGACGACAGACACCAGCAGTAGAGAGCGAGGACAGAACCGGTTCTACTTATGCCGTTGTAAGCGGAACACACAAGCTCTCCCGACACGTGGAACGTTTTTTGGCTGTGGACGGCTGTTGCGACAAGGAGCGTGTCGATCTCGCACTCGGATTCAGTGGTCCTTCAGGAGCGACAATCGAGCAGGTAGACAAGCTGGCTATCGTAGACGCCGACGGCCTCGTTGTGATCGTCGCAGTTGGACCCTCGCAAGCTGCTAGAGATCTTTTCCACATTGCGAGTACGGAAGGAGCGTCGCCTAGTACCACTCCGACTTTTTAGAACTAGAAGAAGTGGACACGCACAGCATCATAATTTTAGTTCATCACCACACGAATTTGAGCAGCTGGGCGCCTTTGCCGTTGATACATCGAGCTGGAGAAGCACTGCCTTCAATATACAAGTGGAAATCATTCAAGATGGGGATGCCGGTAGCGCCGAGCTGGCTTACGGCTCTTGTGCGCACGCACAGGATAGAGGTCCTCACCGCTATTGTGATAGGACTCTTGCTGATATGGTTCTTCTTTGCGTCAGATTCGGACAAGGGAGACGAGGCGGGGTCGCGCGGCAAGCGGTCGAAAAAGGAACGCCTCGTTTTCTCCTTTTCTTTTGACACACTTTGCGAGGGTTCCGCTGAAGATTCCTCGAGTGTTTTCAAGGCATTTTTGCAGGAGTTTGTAAAGTTCTACGAGCATGGAATGAGACAGCGAAAAGACGTGGAATTCGACGTATACGCAATTCACAGGCTAGAGGAAGTAGTCGCTTCTCCCCCTGCTGCAAACGGAACTGCGCCTCCAGGTGCAGCAGCTTCTTCATCGTCGGCAACGGGAAGAAGTACACCTTCATCTTCCCATCAGCAGGAAGGACTAGTGACGCAAAGCAGTGCCGCACTAGCAAAGCTGCATCCTTCGTTACGGTTAGCAATATGATTATTCATCATAACTGATATCTTCATCTTCTTGGCGTTAGGAGTAGATCTCTGAATCAAAATACTGATCAGGGACACTCCTGCCTAGGACCAAGATCTTGATCTGCCTAATACAAAAATGAGAACAGCAAAATCTTTCTTGGAATTGTTCCTGCTCATGCAGAAAGTGTGTTGTTGCTGGCTGTGCCAAAATGATATGAAAATTCATTTTGATGAAAAGATGGTATTGTTATTGATAAACCACGATGATAATGATATCATTCACTGAGCATCAGCATGCAAGAAGCCGAGGAGGAAGAAGTTTTAGGAGCAGTGTGCTCTTCTAACTTGTATTCCCAGCCACAAGCGAGAACTTTTTTGCAGCACTACTGCCGGTCGAGTGTCGATGGTGAGGCAGTTGCGGTCGCATGTGCATTTCGACTGCAATAAATCTGTGGTCGACGCTTTGCAGGGCAAAATCGCTCAAGCTGTTCTCCTTGAAGCTCCACGTATTGATTTAAGACTCCCCAACAAAATTCGATATGCATCCGGCTCTATTGACTGTTTGAGAGAAACGAAAGGAAGTCGTTGAACTTCTACTCAAGGAAGGAATTAATAACTAAATCTGATGAAATGGAAAGCACCTACAATCTAAACAGGAGCTTCATCATCCTTCATGGTTTTTTGTTTGAGAGAATATATAGATCTTGGTCTTCTTCGGTTTCAATCAATATGCATCCAGATCCAGTGCATCTGCATCTCTGAAATAGAGTGACTAAGTACTACCTATTCTTTGAATTTAGGATAGCGACTCTAATTCACGCGTCCAGTACAACTGTTGATGGGGATCATGATTATCTCATGAAGAGAGTAGCAGACGCCGTAGATAGGGCGGTGTTACGCCTTCTGGATCCCCAAGCGGCGGCAGAAATGGAGAGCCGAGAAGCTACTGAAAGCGCAAATTCCAGCAGTGGAGGAGGCGTTTCGTAGCTGATCTCCACCACCAAGCTTTCAGATAGATTGATCGACTATCAGGATGTTTGACGTTGGGAAATGTTGTTCCCTCGCTGTTCAACACCTGGTGTAATGACGCGCTTTTCAGATTGGTGCAGGGTGGCGTTTCCTAAGATCTTTTCTGGGGATTTCTGTAATTGTTTTCTGACCCCGTGATTGGACAACCGGTGTCGTGCCAGCCTTCTAGTAAAACGATATATATCCTTGTCCCTCCTACTCCCAGCCCCAGACCTTCCCCATCAGGACGAGCCTCTTAGAAGTTATTACCAGAAGATTATCATGTCAAAGGCAATCGTCATATATGTGTATCGTAATCGTGGAGCCAGCCCTGCAGCTAAAACCTACTTCAGAATGCTCGTCATGTTGAAACTCAAGGAGCAAACGACTATCTTCGTGTGTGCTACTTTTTCTACGTGATGAATCTCCACTTCTTGGTCTTGCCTGTTCGTATCTACCCTCGGAATCCTGAGATGGAATTGGAACTGTAACTTTGAAACGATCGAACAACTACACTAGGTTGTGTGCTGGATGTCGGTGAAAGTTTTTTATTATTATTGTTCTGTCTAATATTGACGCCTCAACTACAGATGCAAAAGGTGGACACCTCCATCTGAATTCAAAGCGGATGAACCTGCAACTGCCTCTCGCCTTCGGAAAAAGTCTCTCTGGTCTCGGTCAACAGTCAGTCAGACGAATGCCATCGGTCAACAATCGGTTATGCAGTTGCTACAACCACAGCTGCCATTGGTTGTCGGAAAGAGCTATCGTGTCTGTCGTGAGAACTGAGAAGGTCGGTTTTATTGTCCACAACTGTAATAGAGCCCATCCCTGTCCCTATGCCTTCATCTACCTGTTGAAGTTATCCTCAATAATTACAACGACTAGCACTAGCACACCGCGCGCTCGCAGTCGCATCTTATTGCGAGTGCTTAGTAGCCTGATAATTAACTACTTTCTTTCGAATTTGTAGTTGTTGTTTTACAAGACGAATGTGGTGCATATTTTTACTAGCAGACACAGCCTCAACATCGACTCCGACTAAAAAAAAGATTTTTACTGGAATTTGCGGTACCACTAGAGTGGCCCTATTTAATGTCATTTCAGATCTAAAAGAGTGTATGTCTAAAGAGTGTTGTTGGACTACGGGAGGGACAGAGAGAGAGCTCAGCAGGTGACGTGCTCACTGGCGGTTAGAATGATCATCACCAGGGGGATGTAATATGTTTTTATGCGTGTAGGATCGGCAACTACAACACGACTCTGACTTTTGTTGGACGAGTTGGAATGAACTTCTCCTGTCATCATCTTCTCCCTCAGCAAGATGACAAACTCGAGGAGCATAAACCTCCAGACCCCTGCGCCGGGAGATGCACTTCTCGAAGAGGAAAGACGAAGACGAGATGGTGATGAAATTGGACAAGTACAACTACAGGAGGATTATCGCCTGAGTGCTAGTGCAAGTGGTGGTGGTCGTATGATGAATCATGAGATCATGAAACAAGACGCTGTGACGCCTTCAGCGGCCTCGAAGCTCCTGTCATGGCAAAGAAGTAGTAAGCTGAGCACTGCATGTCCAGGATCGAGCACGACGTCCATAGGTGGGACGACAACTCTACTTAATAAGGCATCACAACGAGTGCAACTTATACATGCAGATACAAGTCGGTTACTTATAATATCTTCCAATTACACCTAGGCGGGAGTACTCCATCAACTACATATATAATTCAGATCTTGTTTTTTCATCGGGTATTTACTTTTACATACTACAATGAATTATGTATGAAATAGTGCGTGGTCCCTCGTAGAAGACGTTTTTATTCTACCGGCAAGGTGCGTCGCAGCTTACCGTTGTTCTTGTTGTTGTACCCGAAACATTGCCCACACAATCACTGATCGATGACTGGCACTATATTACGAGCAGAAATTGTCAGCAAGTAAAAGTGTATTCCTTTCTAAGCATAGCAAGCACAGTGGTTTCTCCAGTGCCATGAGAGGTGCCTTTTCCACAGTGGCAACCAATACGGGGGGGCGACGCGTCGACGACTTACCTTCGCCAATCGCAGCCCCTGCGTTTGGTCTGCAGGAACAACGAGAAGAAGATGGTGCAAACGAGAAGGTAGTTTGTCCGGGTACTGTTGAAAGTTTTGACCACGCAACCGCAACGCCGAAACGATCGGCGCATAAAATTCGCACAAGACCAAGCAAAACCGCCACTGGATGGGTTCAACAGGCAAAACAGGCCAATTTGCCAAATGAACGTAACGAAAAAGTAGAAGCTAGTAGAAGTTGTAGAACAGCAATAGTTGTTGTGTCTCCGAGCAATCGCGCGCCGGCGAGTTCTGGAAGCGAACGATGTCGCGGGTCGGCCACTTTCCGAACATACCAAGAGGGGGGATCCTCTTCCTCAACCTCGGTAGTAGAGTCGCCGTCGAAGAAGCAGAAGACCGACTTTCCCGCATGGGCGTGGCGCATCGATGGAAGATCTCGTCAAACTTCGGCTGTCGTGGAGAAGCTCGAAGAGCAAGCATTGCAAGCGCATCAAATGTGGACGAAACCACCTCCGGATGATGAAGAAATACGAGGAGAAAGAACGGCTTCTCTATTTATCGACGAAAGGCTCGATAGTACGGCCGCTAGTCATCTCGAGGAGCTGCAGAAGCACTGCATCAAACGAACGGTGGCGGTAGCAGACGAGGATAAGGTGGATACGTCTACCATTTATAGAAGAAGCATCACTACGTCCAGCACGTCTTCATCGCATGGAGCAAAAGTTCCAGCACATGCGTGGTTTACCCTGCACGAAGAGTTGGACGAACTTCCTGACCGCAACAGGGGCGAGGTGACAAGAGGCCTGGCTTCACTGCCGCCACTCGATTCGCCAACAACAGATGAAGGACCGCCGATCAAGGCTTCGATAAGCACACGAGGACCTGCTCCATCGGGTAGTAGTTATACTTCTGCTGGAGGAGCTGCATCATCAACAACATCCCGAAGCGGGCCTGAAACTGAAAGTCAAGGTAGAACAGCATCATTGACGCTTGATGTGGGCACATCGGAGGAGGAACAGAACCCAAGCAGAGAAGGCGCGCGGCCGCCTTTCCGTAGTTGGGACACTGCCCCCACTAGTTGCACAACCTCAGGAAGAAAGGGCAAAGTCTATGTCCATTTGAGGCCAGCTGTGGAGTTACTTCCGAGCGCGCTTCATCCAGGGCGTGAGATGAATGTACCAAAATATTCATCTGCCATAGGAGCTGGAGCGCAAAAGCAAGGAAAAATAGACAAGGCGCCTGCTTATCTTGCAGATAGATTTCTTCCGAGTCGAAGGGGAACCAATCTTCGTACTGGCTTTTTAGTGATGGACGAGGAGCGGAACAAGAGTTCCTCGACCAATATACCCCCTGAGACGACGCAAGATGAGAATGCAAAAACGTACTACTTATTTGACTACTTTCCAGCATGATGTTGAATGATGTCCTCCTGCAGCTACTGGTGGTCCTCATCGAACGATACATAGGGTTGCAGATATATTTTGAGATCCGCGCGGTTCTTGCAGTATTTGCATCAACCGAATGAACATGAAACGTGCAAGAAGACATTGACCCTTGACGCGTTGACTGTCTTTATGCTATTAAAACCACCTTCAGCTACGCCAATCTGCTACGCAACGAACTCTTGGGCAATCTGCATAGTTCAGGGAACACTTGTGGTAGTGCGGTTGGAGGCTCTTCGTCATCTGGGGTTGGAGGCGCTACGCGACATCCATCGGAGCAGGAAATTGCTTTGCGCAGGAGTCTTTTCAAGTTCAAGTCTGCACCGCAATTACGATTTGATGACGCTTTTTCGCTGGCTCCTGTGCCTTTCGTTACTGATGCGAGCGAACAGCGCAGTCAGCAGAACCGCTGCACGCGGAAGATTGCTCGTGTGCCCTATAAGGTCCTCGATGCTCCCCAGCTGCAGGACGATTTCTATCTTAACCTAGTATTACGGCGTCTTATACACGAAGTAGCAGTTGATGTAACTGCTATTAAGTAGGTAGCTGTCGTGGAAAACTAAGCACAGCATCGACAGTTGCAGCCTCTATAAGGAGGCTGATGTGCTAGTCTCCAAAATACACATGTACATAAAGTTAAAGTACTAGAATTTTCTTCAACATTATATTTCTAAAACTCGACTGGAGCAGCTCAAATTGTCTATCGGTAGGCCTCTCGAACTGTGTCTACCTTTGGAGTGCTTGTACTAGCAGAGTAACGAAGCTTTGCGATCTGGGAGGAGAGGACACGGTATTCGTTTCTTAGTTTTAGAACGTGTCCGTGGGCCTATGATGCGAAGGGCTCCAACTCTGCAACGAGTTGCCAGAAGAAGCCTGACCCATCGAAATGGGGCCAGCAGGGCGGCGCGGGCACAGAGGTGCTTGCTCGGCATGCGGGGCGCCGTCTTCGCGACCTCCTTCGCAAAAGAAGGCCGAGGAGGCGTTGCCCCCTTTCGTTTGGGATCGATAGCGGCGCGCCGCTCCCGACTCGGTGGCGGGGAGCAAGTGCCTCGCCCCCCATTGTGGTTTGGTGGGGGAGTGTCAAACTGGGTTGGGGTTTTCGTCACGCTGCGCTGCGGTGTGAGGGGTTCCCGCCGGGGTGGGTTCGTAGCCGGCTTGCGACCGAAGGATGCCGCTGTGACATGGGGGAAAATGCGGCTGGGGTTGATGTGTGGGCGGGTAGCGGTGGGCGCGGTTTCACGTTGGTGGGCAGCTGGGTGGGCCGGCGCGGCACATACGTTCCACACCCTCCAGGGCCCCCGGGTTGGACCCTTTGCGGGCATTCGGCTGCCCCCACCCTTGGCTGTCAGTCTTGCATTGGTGGATGCCCCTCCTGCCGGCCCGCAGTGCTTTTGTTTTCTACTTCAACGTCTCGCCAAGGCTGCGCCCGCAGGGCGCAGCGGAAAGATTTGCGTGGGCAACTCGCGCAACTCCAGCAACCTGAGAAACTCGCCCCGATTAAGCTCTGCCTTTGGGGGTGTGCGAATTATGCAGATACATAGAGATCACTCGCGCTACTGGAAGTTGCTGGGCCAGAAGATTTTCGGTTGTGAGCCATCCTCGACGTCTTCACGCATTGTTCACTTGACAACATTTTCTCTTTCCATCAGGTGACATCCGTGTCTTGGACGCAGCGCGGGACGCATCTTGCAGTGGGCACACATAGCGGTGATGTCCAGATCTGGGATGTAGCTCAGTGTCGGAAATTGCGAACGATGGGTGGCCATCATGGTCGTGTGGGCACCATGAGTTGGAACGGGTACGTTTTGTCTACCGGAAGCCGCGACCACAATATTTTCCACCGGGACGTCAGACAACAGGTACAAAAATAATCGCGGGCCGCAGATTCTCTGCGAGTACTACTTACTTGCAGAAAACAAAATACTATAAATATCTTCTGCTACTACTTCTCCTGTTGGTTCTGGTGTACTATGTATGCGACGTGTACCGTGATTTTGATGATGTTGATGAAAACAAGTAGATGAAATCTGCTTTGTCCACCTGCGACCTGCTATTAAAGAGTTGTGATATGCATAAGTACATGGATCATCTTCAACAAGTATGGTCAACAAGAACATCGTTTTTGTTCTTCTTGTTGATCTTATTTGTTGATGTTTTTGTGGAGGTCGTCCTCATCTACAACTTGTCTCATGATCTTTAGGTCCACTACATGGCGAAGCTAAGTGGACACCGCCAAGAAGTGTGTGGTCTGAAGTGGTCGTACGACGAACAGCAGCTGGCTTCTGGTGGAAACGACAACAAGCTGTATGTTTGGAACTTGCGGAGTACGGAACCCGTCCTGAAATTTGCGGAACACACCGCCGCGGTGAAAGCTATCGCGTGGAGCCCTCATCAACACGGGCTGCTGTGTTCTGGCGGAGGAACTGCGGACCGCTGCATCCGGTTCTACAACACGATCAACAACACAAACCTCTCCTGCATCGACACGGGGAGTCAGGTCTGCAACCTAAGCTGGAGCACCAGTGTTAACGAGCTTGTCTCCACCCACGGCTACAGTCTAAACCAAATCATCCTCTGGAAATACCCAAGCATGCAGAAAGTGGTCACACTCACTGGTACTACTTACAACTACGACCAGCAACTTTCGTTTAATTAGTATCTTCAGATACTTTTACTTTCTGTTTATGATCTTATTAATATATCGGTTGTATCGTCGTGGTTAATAAAAAAATGATTTAGCAAGTCCCTCATGAGAACCACGGACCATAAGGACTTCCGCAGAATGAATCACAGATCACGAGGCACCAGGTCATGTTCGTGGTCTTGTTCAGCTCTACGACCTTTATCGCATTGCTTCATCTGACGCACTGTAGAGATGAATGATAAAAATCTACCTTCTTCAAGTTCAATCTATGCTACATCAGGCCATACGTATCGGGTGCTTTATCTTGCATTATCTCCAGACGGGCAGAGTATTTGCACAGGCGCTGGTGACGAAACCCTACGCTTTTGGAACGTCTTTCCCAGTTCGCAGAGTCGCACAGCTTCCCACTTAACTTCTCTACCTTTTGGAACAACCATACGCTAGATAAAGAAAAGCACATTTTCAGCGGTTTATGTCACGATCATCATCATTCAAATTCATTTTTATGACATCACCTTCCACATGACTGAGCATGGAGTAAGTTCTTGTTGAGTAAAAAGACCCTCGAGAAGCGAACAAAATTAACTCAATGTCTAGAAATATATCAATGTCAATGTCTCTTGTCGTGCACCATCAAGAACACAATCCTCCTGTACTAGCTATAGGTTTAGCATACTTGTTACTTCTTGATATTTAGCTGTACTTATCATCAACAGCATACGTTTACGCATCATGTCATTCACACCCAGGAACGAATATGATTCAGTGTGAGCACCTCCGATATGCCTTACCCATAATCGTAGACATTAGCACAAGCACGAAACAAACTCATGATATTAGATAACTTCTCATATTAAACTCACAGCGTCACTCTACTCCATCGTTCATACCTATCATCTTCTTCTCTATTGAATAATTATTCTCCTGAATATCTCATGTACAGGTCGCGTGCACAGATCGCTCACTCACTCACTTACATACAATGTTAAATTCATTCGAAGTAGCTTATCACAATCACGTTGAAGACGTATTTCTTAGCTTATTATTTGCATGTTGTTCATTTTCTTTTTCAACATCCCTCGACCTCGACGAGGGCCATTAAGTGAAATTAAATTTTTCAGTTGTACGGTTTACCGTTCACAGCAAATTAAAAATGGGTGAGCATCAGCAGGTTGTGTGGACATATTAAAGTCGTGTTTTTATTTCAAATCAAAGCATAGCCATACCCGTAGGAGCATAGGATTATTCATTGATCATACAAGCATTTTCTCCAGCACTGTCCTCCTAAACTTAGTTTTATAATTTAACACCAACAAACTAAGTTGGCAACAGGGGCATATGCATGCAAATACAAATCAGATCCTATCCTGTCTAGAGGATCTTGTCTTTGCACAGCCTCAATGCTGCCAGTCTCCGCATGAAGATATTCTCTGTTTGTATCTTTTTGCCAAAAACAGTAACAGGAGTTACGGAATACCATAGAATCGATCTAGTACTCAATGTATGCCTGATGCATATGACGTCAATTTTTGCACAGCATTGTACGTAGTGAGAAGTAGTAGTAGAATCCAGATTTGCATTTGCGCGTCGAAGTAGAGGCGTGGTGTTAGTAGTCGGAACTTAGAAGTTTGACATGTTAGTAGTTGGAGTGGAAATAGCCTGTTCCTGTTGAACTTGTAATACCTATTTAAGTATGAAAATCTAGTCGACGGGAAGCTGAAAGGAGGACCGACCACTAGTTGCACAGAATCACGAGTGGTAACCAAAGTAAATATTCGATGAATTCTTGTTCCTTTTTTTGGATGAGTATGTAAGTCACGGAATGAATTTCCTTCTTTTTTGAATTTTATCGACTAGAAATTGCACCAAGAAAAGGCATAATTAAAGTTACCTTGTTCTGCTTTTCGTTCTTGGTTTGTCGTTTTTGTCACAGGATGATATCTGAAGGCTTCATCCTCTTTCATGGATAGAAAATATGTTGTATGTATTTGTACCGGTCGGGCGCACGACTTTCACGAACCATCCTTCCGCACCCTCTGGTCGAGTCCTCCTGTGGACTGTTGTACTCGTACTCGATCTACTTTTCCAGTCCCCGAAAAACCAAATATTTTCGCTCCGAACACCCTTGAGAATTCATTGCATCAATAACCTTGACTGCACGTGCTAGGGAGCTTCGTCCCACAGCTTCATCGACTCTTCAAGAAAAAATATGATGCATGCATAATTACATACGAAAGCATGACGAGACATCGGCGAACGGTGCAATCTGGGGAGGATTGCATCACGTGAAGCACGTCCCTGTTGCTTGTCAACGATAGAAGTAGTCTATCTGATTGAGTATCTGAAAGAGAAGGCACAAATATTGATTATTTATGCCACTCCCACTTGCAGCTATTCGAATGGCAATAAAGACGCTACAATCGAGTGTCTGAGAGATATTTTTCCGCCGATGGATGCGGATTGGGCATGATGCTAAAAGAGCACAGACTGACACGTACAGCTTAATATCCGTGAAATGGTAGGAAAAAAGAAAAAAAACATCGGATTAGTATTTGAAGAGAGTCAGGCGTTGACGTGAAAAATTGCAAGAAATGCAAATGCAGGGGGGCGCAAGAAAAACTTCTGCGTACTACGATGTGTTGTCAGTCAAAGCAGAAGAATTACACATCAGACATCATCATGATCATCATGATCATCATCATCATCATCAATTTTCCACTATTTATTTGATGTCGTCGGTCTGCAACAGTCGTTCTTCCAGGAGGCGTTCGACCTTGCTGCAATAAATCTAAAAGATATTAAGAAGTTTCTGTTATAAGTACTCGTAAGGGATGTCTCGAGACTATCATGGCAACGAACGTTGACGCTTTTGGTCGTGGGGAGTCGTCGATTGATGTGGCAACCACAGCTCCGACGGCTTCACTCAAGCACCGCCAAGAACCAACATGGTAGTGTAGCAAGGCGGCCTTAGTAGAAGATTCCAGCAACAAGGTAGCCATATATCTCAAAAGGCTCCAAGAGCTGTTTTTGTTTTTGTCGGTTGGGATAAACCACCTTTTGAGTACTTAATCACAAGTCAACAACACAAGAAGTTCATGATTAAGTACAACTGGTTGTAAAGCAACAGTAAAAATACATTTTTTTACAATTCAAGTGTTGTTGATTTTGAAGAACATCCCCTGTCGATCTACTTCTTCACCTCGATGAACACGACCACGCCGATGAAGATGAGGCGCACCAACCTGCAGCAGGTCGTTGTAGAAAAACAGGTAGAGGAGGTAGACGAAATGAACCGTCGAGCGTGTAGAGCAACTAGAAGTCCTGCTCAGGCTAGAAGTCCTGCTCAGCATCAGCATGCGATGTCGTGCTCTTGGCGCACCAGATCGATTCTCCTTGCCGCTTCATCTGCGGCGATGACGAGGAGGAGCATAGTTTTTGTGGAGGGGCTGCAAGTCGGTACTTCAGATGCTGTGAAGATCGATCGCGCAGTCCAAGATGCCGTTACCGAACTCGCGAAAGAGTCTGAGAGCAACTCGAAGTATAGTCGTTTAGCAGCTCACGACGAACACGAAGTGAATGTGAAGAAGACAGAGACACGGAAACGGCATCAAGCACGACCAGCATGGAACACTGCTGCGTCGATGAAGACGGCCCAGCAGAATTCAGTTTCCGAAGATCCATTCGACTTGCAGGAAGACGGCAGACGCGCTGAGCAGGTGAACAAAAACATCGAAGAAGTGCACGCGAATGAGCTGGGTGACCTCTCCCCACATCTAGACCTTGGCCGACGTAGTACAGCTTCTTCCGCCTTCATCCAAACAGCCATGGCCTCCGCATCGACAGCAGACCTCACTCAAATTTTAGCGGCAGCATCTTCTCCGTACTTATCCAAATGCCTTCATCATGTTCATCTAGATCTAAGTAAGTATACGTTGTCTCCATAATCAAATTCTTAGCAAGGACCACCAGGATGATCATGATGATCTTCTATTACTATTTGCAACTTCTACTTGACTGTGATTCACATACTTAGTGTAGTCAGATTCTTTCTCTTTTTTCATGTTTTTTTGATTCTAAAAGTCGTCACTTACGTTCATGCCTCTGTTAAAGATATAGAAGACATGATAATGTTTGATGATGATAAGTCTATTGAAATATACCAAAACCAAATCGCCACAACCAACAGTGATGATTCGGCGGCGAGCAGTGCAGGGGGAGAGGAGCAAGGCCGAATGACATTGGCTGTCGGGAAATTGAGTCGAGCATTCGATGAGGTGCTCTCACGCCTCGAGGAAAACGACGATGCGGTAGACTATATGACAGGAAAATGAAAAAATGGTACTCACTATATAATTAACACGAAGAAATAAGGACGAAATTCTGCCGCTTTTCTTGACAATGAGTACACTTTTTCCTTTCATAGACTACACGCAGCACGCTGGCTCCGAGCTGGCATTGTTGCAAAGAGAAGTCAGCACTAGCAACGCAATGGAGGATATTACTGCAGAAAACGCGTCGGCGTCCTCCTTTGTGGAGCAGCAGCAGCCGAGCGTCGAGTCGGTACCGCTGGACCTCCCGGTCCCCGTACCAGCTGCTGGCGCAGATACGGTCGGCACGGAGAATGTTCTAGTTGCTGATGGTGACAAAGCACAAGTGCAAGAAGTAGAGGCGAACCAGGAGATGAGCCCTCTCAATCAACAAGAAGAACAGGAACAGAGCGTGAATATGTTGCACACCGAACAGCGTCTAGAAGAAGGGTCGACTTCTACAACCAGCGAGGAGATAACGGCGACCGGTGGCGAACAACGCAACAACGAGCAGCAGTCTTCGATGTCACACCAAGAACTAGAGGCGGAGGAAGAGTCACTGCCGAATATGGAGCAGGCAGCTGCGAAACTGGAGCATGCAGTCAAATTCGCCCGCGGTCGAGGTGTCAGCAAGGATCTCGTGACCAAAGCGGAGAGCACACTAGTCGACCTGCACACTTAAGGCTGTCGTTACAATACCGACGCCGACGGATAGAAATGGATCTGTAATAGATTCGCGGCTAAATATAATTGAAGATGAAGAAAGAAACCTGCACGAGGATCACTATTTCCTTGGTCTTGGTAAAGCTAGAGGAAGAGGTAGATGAGTCAGGACCAGTTAACGACAGGATGTGATTATATGATTTTGGCTATGCAATTGCAACGACGAACAACTGCAACCTCTGTCTTCTAAAGCAGAAAAATCAAAGCGAAGAAGGAGCAGCTGTCTCAAAATTCCGACTGGCACAAAGATCCTGAAGTGCGCAAGCAGGAAGAAGCGGCAGCTTTGCCTGCAGCGGCGAAGAAGAGCAAGGCCACTTCCAAGGCAAGAAGAGACGTTGGTCTTACCGTTTCGCTACCTATCCCGGACAATGGCGGGGGATCTTCCACCTTAGTAGGACAGCATCGTGGAGACACAGCACGAAAACAGAAGACAGCAAGTACAAACACACTGAAGGCTGCTGTAGCTGTAGGGCGGAGAAGACAGCAACAACAACAAGGAGCAGGTGCAGGCTCTTTATTTGGTAGAAGTAAAGAAGAAACGACGATGAAGAAGTCTTCTTCCAGTAGTCTTTCTACAAATGTCGCTGTGCGCGAACTAGACAACGGTTGGGGATCATCAGGGCAGCCGCATAGCCACAAATCTTCAAATACTAAACAAGGTCTAACAGCAGAAATAGTCGCATCCCAACAAACAAGACAAACATCTTCCTTTTCGCAAAAACAGGAGATGCGATCACATGTAGCTGCAGAAGATCAACGTGTTATCATTACAAAGAACACCTTAGAATCCGCACCTGCGCCTGCGCAGCCCATGCCAAACCTGGTTGCAGACAATGGCTGGGGCTCTTCTAACGTGGTCCATTCTCGTGCAACGGAGAAAATTGGCATGAAGATCATACAACCGCAGCAGCAGGAGACACCGCGCGCCTCAGTAGACTCAGAAGATGGCGACAACGGCTGGGGGTCTTCCAATGTGTTGATTCATCAGGAGCGTCATTCAGCAACTACTAGTACATTATCCCTAGGAGCTCAACAGAAGGACGAGAAGAAAAGGAAGCAATCCGCAAGAGGGCAAGACAATGGATGGGGCTCCTCGAATGTGATGCATCATTCAGCAACTACCTCGTCCGGAGCTCAACAGAAGCAGAAGGACAAGCAGCACCTCGCAACGGAAGACGAAGACAACGGGTGGGGCTCCTCCAATGTGATGCATCATTCAATAATAGGCACATCATCCCTAGCTCAACACCAAGAGGAGAAGAAAGGGAAGCAAGCCGTGGCAGAGGAAGACAATGAATGGGGCTCCTCAAATGTGCTGCAGCATAATGCAGCAACTACGTCGTCGTTAGCTCAACAGAAGCAGAAGGCCAGTAGTAAAATTCAAAAGAGCGGCGCAGCTCAACCTCCACAGGAAGAGCCGCAACATCTGCTACTAGAGAAGCAGTCTGCAGAAGTAGAGGCACTCAGCGAAGCGGGCTCAGCAGCCGAACAAGAAGAGTACCTTGCTGAAGAAGCACACGCACTACAAGAGGCACGACAAGAGTACGAGGAAGAACAACTTTCCCATGGAGGACAGCCTCCGGTAGTTCCGGCTGAACAGCAACATCAACAAGAGGACGATGGCTGGGGGTCATCCAATATTAGAAAGACCGCTGTTGTAAAGAGTAAGGCCGGCGGTGCTTCTCCAGCTGCTCACGTACAACACGGAACTTCAAAAGAGGAACAGGAGCAAGACAATGGTTGGGGGTCGTCGCATGTTATGGCCCACCACAGAACTTCACGTTCACTTAGCTCTTCTTCTTCAAAATCAAAAAGTACTGCACAAGGGCAAGTAGCACGAGCAGGAGCTGACCCTGATGATGAGAGCAACAATGCATGGGGCTCTCCCGTACGGACGAAAGCAGTTGCGAATAGGGCAGGAGTTGCCTCTACTGTGAGAAGACCTAACGCTGCAGCAGGAGTCGGGAGCTCAGAGGACGTCGACAACGGGTGGGGTTCGTCCGCAGTATCGGTCCACAAGCAAGCGCCAGTTTCTACAACAAGCCAACATGTAGTAGCAGCTCCTGCGATGAAGAAACAGAAAGCAAGTAGTGCTTCGTCGTCTCATCATCTTTCATCTGCTTCTGGTCTCAAGAAAAATACCGGAACCGTTAGCGGTGGTGAGGATGACGATGATGATGAACCTAAGGTTACCTTTTCTCGTGCTAGTTCATCTAAAAACACAGTAGACTGGGGAGCCGCGGTTTTGAACCAAGGAGAGTCATCTCCATTGACGAAGAAGGTGGCCTCAGAGGCCTCTAATGCAGTTGGGCAGGCGAGTAACGCGTGGGGATCTCCGGTGCTCGCAACGAAACAAACAACATTAAGAGCAGGACCACGACGAGTTATATATAAATTGAGATTTCTCGGTTAGACTTTGGCAATGTCCTCCTTTGATTCCTGTACTACTTGTTCATCATGATCAAAATCGAATTCCTCGAAGATGGAGAAATCCGAATTCGCAGTTGAATTGTTTCCACCTCCGTAAACCTAAATCCCGAAAGAAGAGGTCAAGAACTACTGAGGTAACCTTCATCAGTTGACGGTAGCTCTAAAAACAGGAACAGGTAGAAGGGCAAAAGGCGTCGCCGAGAAAAGCGAAGACCGGGAGGTCGACAACAATGCCTGGGGCTCTCCCCACCTTGCCGCGAAGTATCCAAATAGGCCAGCCGTCGACGACGATGTGGATGCGGTTGCGGACGAGTTGAATAATGCGTGGGGTTCGTCCAAGGTTGTGGCGGCGTCAACGGAGCTGCAAGAGCAGCAACATCAGATGAATATTGGTCGTAGTGAAGAACAACCTGAAGGAGAAGAGAACCACGCAGGAGCAAACGGAAGCACAGCAGATACGGAAGCGCTAACAGACGTCATTGTTCAAGCAGTGCAAAAAGCACTTGGCACGACAACTGACAAGAAAGCAGTAGAGGAAATATCTTCTAGAGCGCAACAAAAACTACAACAGCAACAACTTCAAGGAACATCAACCAATACCCTCAGGAGCAAGTCTTCTAAACGCGCGAAGAAGTACAGCGCATCTGCAGCGACGAAACTGAAAGCAAAGAGACAAGCTATCAAGACTTCGATAACCATTCCGAAGAGGACAGATAGTGCCGAGGTTTCAGTGAAGTCCGCCAAGCACTCAAAAACTCGCACGACAATAGCCACACCGATCTCAGACGCCTCTCTGTCTGGGCACGGGAGCAGTAGCACTAATGGGAAAAACGGTTCTGCAGGAGCAGCAGCGATTAATAAGAAGTTTGCATCGACTTCTGCAAAACAGAAAGTTACAACATCCTCTGAGGAAGAAATCGCTGTGCAGAAGGACAAGGAAAAGCAGAAAAACAAGAATAAAATAAAACATCGTCCATCCGTCTCGAGAAAGACAAGTAAGAGCATGAAGAAAGGCCACGTGATTGCAGGAACAAAGAAGAACTCGTCGGGCGCTGCGTTGATCCGGAGAGGCCGAGCAGAACTGGAGGCCGAGCAGGACGTGCTACTGCAGCAAGTCGTGCACGATCTACACACTCTCAAGCAGGTGCAACGGCGGAAGCATGGTACTAGTGCAGAGAGTCTCAAGCAAATTGGCGGCGTTCTCCAAAATTTGGAGCAACTCAGTGTGCGCGAAGGAGAGGACGCAGAAGATGAGGCTGATGATCTTGAGACAACAGGAGCAGAACAGGCTGAAAACGAGGATCATAGCGTCATGATGAGCAGTCTTGTGGACGATGAGGATTCATCTTCAAGCGATAATATGGAGGACCACAACCGAATCCGAACGCATGACGTTGATGGTGCACAAAAATCGCATGAAGACGGTGGACAAGACGAGATCATTTTTACTAGCAGTGTTTCTGTTCCCGTAAGTGGAGTAGGACATGCTCCATCTACTGCTTCACGACATCCTACTGCACCTGGCACCTCTGCGGCTTTGAGTCAGATACGGCGTGTGGAGGAGACTGCGTTAGAAAGCGTTGAGGCGGTTCCGAGCCCCGCAGAGGAAGCAGGAATGCTCTCACGCGTTGCCGACCGCGTGCACGGACTGCTGGAGTCCCTGCACAAGCGCAAAAAATCCTCCTCAGGCAAACACGCACGAAAAACGGAAGCCGACTTAGCGGCGATTTTGGACCAAATTTTGCGACTTCGCGGCGCCGCTGAGCAGAACGCCATTTTAGCGCAAAAGCAGCGATCTGAGCGCGACCACCCCGATGCAGGAGCAGCGTCCGATGGAAAATCTTCATCGAAAAAGAGTACTAAAAATATGAAGGAGCAGGATAAGAACGGGATGTTGTTAGTCCGTACTGGCCAGGAGGAGTTGCAGCTAGATCAACATGAAGATAATGAAGAGAAAATTCTCGTTGACGCATCGTCAGCACAAGCACGCGATCAACAACAACAACAACAAAGTGCAGGAGGCTTCCGTGGAGGAACAGATGTAGGCGCTGGCATTAATTCTGCTGCACTGAATTACGGCTAAGACAAGCTACATTGCATCTCCGAATTCATCGTTTTCGTGTTTGATTTTGAAGCTCATAATGTTGAAGTTGTAGACCTCGTCTATGTCTATGTCGTTCCACCTAGCTTTTGTTCGTTCAAGGAAAATGACTCAGCTATAAAGTATCAGATGAGCTTGAGCTTCTATGGGAAAAATAGCGCTAATCAAATGCGGATCCGAGAGTTGCTACAGGCGTTCGTAGAAACCAACGGATTAGTCTCGGTGTCACTTTCGATAGCAAACGAAAGCTAAAGAACTCCTCTCTCTCCTTCCAGATCCAGCCAGGAAATGACCACGACCAGCGTACTTCTTCACCTAGTACCACAAGAAAAGTGGCGTTTTCTGTAGCGACGCAGCCTCGACAGGAGGACGAAAACGGCCATCAAGCACCAGGAACGCTGGCGCTGGCTGAGCGAGAGCAGGAAAAAGAAACTGCTGACATCGACACAACCGAAGAAGATCACCAAGCAGAAGTGGGAGTACTAGAAGTAGATGAGCAAGACCTCCAGGAAGAAAATGCATCTGATGAAGAGCTTGCCGAGGCGGCGGCCAATGCTGAAGAACATGAGGAGGTCGCGCAGGAGGAAGATGAACAAGTTGGCGCGTCCGCAATCCATCTAGAGGGAGAATACGACGCCACACGCCACAGCCACCACGGCAAGTCGCTGGTCGGCAAAAACAAGCGCGGTAAGAAAGGAAAACACCACCACAAGAAGAAGCACGGCAAGAGAGTAGAGGTTGGTGGAAACAAAGTGGGAGCAGGCACGAAGTCGACGACTAAGAACACACAAGAAGGTAATTCGGCAGCGTCAAAAGCGGCTGTCACAAAACAGAAGACGGGTGCTTCTCTAAAGGGAGCGGACAAGGACAAGCAACATACCGGTGCTGAGAAAGAGAACCACGTGAAGAAACACGAGATAATCTCGTCCGTCGATCTCAATGCAAATACGAAGAAGAGTGATGCGACTGTGGATACCTCATCGCTCGCGGCACAGGTACTCTCGCATGTGAGCACGCAGTCTCAACGAGCCCAGGAAAAGCTGGATCGCCAACACGCGGCCGCTGAGGCAGAACTGCAAAAGAAGTTTGAAGCGGAAAAAGCGAAACTCGACAAAGAGTTCGAGCAAGAATCAACTTTACGCTCACTTAGGTTCTTGTTCAAACTCTTTCACATTTTCTTTGTTGTTGATAGTAGCTCACAACTTGATGTCGACGGCTGATGTTACAAACGCCACCTAGTGTCTCCTCGGGTAGCTTATGAAACCTCTATTTTTCTTCTTGCATCTGCATTGTACAACATAGTACAACTAGTACTAGCAAGTACTTAAAGTACTAAGAGGTAGATTAAGATTTGAAGAATGTACCTTCATTGTTGAAGTATCGTGCGGACCAGAAGGAAGAGCAAGAAAAAGCGCTAGCGAATTTGGGGAAACGCATCATCAGCATGAGTGGCCAGCATCCGCCGCAAGGCCAAGATGTAAAGCAGTGGCTAAACAATTTCTCCCTAATTAACACCGCACAGCGACATCGAGGGGACAACCTGGACTCGGTACTACTTAAACTTAGTAAGACTTGGAAATCATAATCATGCTCATGTCATGAGACTGAGGTTACGTTTACAAATTAATATTTCGGAATGTTGAATAAAATGAAAACATAATCAATGATGTCAGAAGAACTACAAGCGAGTGCTACAGAAGCACATCGAAATCGAATCAAGTTTCCACTTTTACCTCTTTTTCACTCCAATCGCCATTCCCACTTCCGAAATTATAAAAATCTTACATCTGTCAGCTTGCGCAAGACAGTAAAGCACTTGACGAAACCGCGACGAATTTAGTGAACTCGGAAACACTTGCCCAAGACGCGGCTGCACTGCAGGCTGCTCAAGATTCTTCATCGTCTTCTTCTGTAATCGACGTTATGAGAGTCTCGGCAAAGCCCATACTTAATTGTTATTCAGCATATCTTGATGTTCCCTGTAGTAAAGTTTGAGTTTACAGTGTACACTAAATTAAGTAGAGTATTCGTACATCAGTTGGAAGATATCGCACCGATGCACGAGTAGTTCAAAGATGGAAGTAGGCTTTAACGACGAAGCGAAAGATGCTGCTGCAACAGCTACCGGCACAGGTAGGAACAATACCGGATCCACGCAGCAGACGCCGAATCCAACGGAGCCAATGAAGAAGCTGATGAATGATTAAGACTCTCCACCTGAATCATTTTCCGTGTCGATGAAGCCTGGAGATATAGATTTTCCGTGTATGATACATATGCACCTATATTATCGTTCAATCATCATGGTTTATTCAATATAATGAATAGAAAATGTGCGTAGAGACCTAGCTATGTATGAAAAAATATATTGAGATCTAGTCCTTAGTAGTTTGTTGTCGTGGTGGTCTTGGAGTGGTCAAGGTCATCATACAGCCACATAGGACTAGGAGATGGAGTAATCGCATGCGCCACAGGATGTTGGAAGTGGATGAAACGATCTTTTACTTCTGCATCTCGAGCTCTAAGATGAAGGCAAAAATATCATGATCAGTGGCCGGATCGACATCCAGGTGGCGGATATGAGCGCTCTTGGAGCGAATCGCAGCGCTGAACTGAGTGTCGCACGCGTCTTCCAGACACTATTTCATTACGATGAGGGATTCTCTTCTAGCAGTTTCATTCAAGAAGGTAATATTGATAGATAAGCATAAGGATACCATGAGGATAACTAGAACAACTGTGTCTACTAAGTAGAAGAAGCAAGAAGTTCGCTCTAAGCCAGCACAAGAACATTTCTATTTGACGTGGTAAGACTGATGGCTTACAAATAATAACTACTGCTCCTGCTGTTGTATATCACCTCTCCAATAATAATTATCATCACATCATGAGCCACGACGAAGTCAACATGATCATCTAAGCCTAGTCACCGTTGTATGATTTGCGATTGCGTATCCTTTCGGCTGCGGACGCAGCACGCGATCCAACGATGATGGATGACCCTGGCGCAGCAGCTACCCTTCCGACCGAAAAAGCGCTTAGCATGGTCTCATCCCTCCTTCAGGTGCTTACTACAACAGCACGTCTTCATATACTTAGTTCATTTTCATTTGTATTTTCGAAATGGAAGAGGATAGTGCAGGAGTGGTCAAATACTGCGAAGACACTTAGTGTTATTGGAAATATTCAAATTATTATGTTTCTATTCTCTCGTCTCTTCCTCGTCCCACTTAACAGACGGGTTCTGGCCCCTCGCATGGGTTACACTTTTCCGTGTTCAACTCGCCATTGGTCAAACTTCGAAAAAAAGACGATCCAACGCAAATGAGTAAAGTTCGCCAGCACATGGAAGATGAAACAGCCGGGTCCGCAGGTGGCCTCCTTGCATCAACTTCGAATACTATTGCGTCCAGGCTTCAGAGTCTAGTTTCCATTTTAAGACTGCTGATGATATTTTCTTAGAGAGCTCAACCAAGTCAACAACTTGTTGTTCATCTTCATTCGATGTTGCATGAAAAATGTGTAACTTCTGCCTCTACTTAACAAGGAAGATCTGCAACTTCTCCCTGTTTTTACTGACACTGACTTCTTCTACATGATAACTTCTTCTAGCATGCACTAAGGAACGCCACGACAACCAAAGCCTCCTCTGCGAAGGAGCGACCAACATTCGACGACAAGATGCATCAGGAGGAAAAGAGCGTGCAATCGATTCAAAAGATCATCGATCATGCAACTGGTCAGGAAAAGAAGATGCCAGATCCGCAACTGTTGAGTCTGGGTGCAAGTGCTGCAGCACGCGGGGTGGATAAAACTACTACTGCACCTGTTAAGGCTTCTCCTCAACTCCATTATTTGAGTCACAGATTGACAGAGAAAAATGCTTCGATGAAGTAAATTCTATATTTTTTGCTGATGAAATCTATCTGTAGTTAAAACCGTACCCTACTTCTACTTCTAGCTGCTAGTTTATGTCTCAATAATATCAATATCGTTCTACTAAAATAAGGGATGGCGGCGCAAGGAATATCATGATCCTTCACAACTGTTGTGAAGGATCATGAACAACATCAACAGTAAGAACAACTATGTTATTTTTGCAGAAGAGATCTCGTACAAGAGGACTACGTCCCAATCCAACTCTAAACCCGGAGAAACCGCCACTGGCGATGCAGCAGTCATCGCACTACAGTTTCGCATCGGACAGCTGCCTAGTGAAATCCAGGCGCTTCTACAATCCGGCGACGTGTCCGATGCATGGGAGGCACTTATCGGCGTTGGAGGAATCACCTCCGTAACTTCGGTTTTTATGAATTGATGTAACTGAAGACGTAGCATCTTCATCTTGTTGATGTAGCTTAGAATCAGTATCAGAGAGGTCTAAATTTTTGGCCGCGATGTACATCAGATTCAGAGATTGCAGAAGTTCTAAACGACAAGCAGCACTCAAACGTACTAGTACATATTGTCGAAAAACAAAATAAGGTAAGAGTTAAGCGCCCGGTAGCACTTCTCCCACTAGAATCCTTCACCCTCTGCACGCACTTCCCCCGCCATGGCGTGCCTCCGCTTTCCCGGCTCCTTCCCGACGCGACAACCGTCCGGCGGAGTTGATCGGAACAAGGGCCGGGCTTTTGGCGGCGTGCGGCCATTGAATAGCACGCCGCGAAATGGTAGGCCCGGGAGTTTCCTGGTCTCTTGTTAGGTTTGGCCATCTTTGCGCGAAACTGAAAGCTGGCGCTTTTATATTTCAAACCTTTAAATAAATTTACTGCCTTCTTTGAATAAAATTAAAGATTTTGCATCCAATTTTTTTGAGTGTATTTATCTTCGATGAAATCGAAAATTTCGCTATTTCCAATGTTTATAGTTCAAAGTTTCAATTTACAACTCCGAAAATCGCAAAGCGAAAACTTTGAACTTCATCGACAAGCAAAGGGACTCAAGTGCCAGGGTAGCGCGTTGCAAGCTTCGCGCAAGCTTGGAGCCTCAAGGATGTAGCATCTAAGCTTATATATAACTTATTTACAAGGATGCCAGGCCAGGCCATGCTGTTCATAGGCTAACGGGTTGCCTTTGTTTGTCCGTTGGTTTGTTTGCTGGTAAGAAAAGCGAGCGGAATAGAAGTTTTTTACGCGGGTCGCGTCACGCGTGTTTTTCGTTGAAGTATTTTTGGTTCTGTTCTTTTTGGTTCAGGTATATTGGGTTCGAATGTGTGTGGTTCGGAGGTTCGAGGGGTCGTTGTTGGTTTTTTCTGTTGCTCGTTAATACTAGACTTCAGCGCCCGATAGCTCTCCCTCCACTAGAATCCTCCACCTCCTTCGAGCATTTCCCTCGCCAAGACGCGCCCCCCCCCGCTCCTCTTCCGCCAGCTCGCGACGCTTTCCTGGCGAAGTGGTCCGCGCCAGAGGAGGCGGGACAGCGGCGCCGCAGAATTTAACAGAGGAGGCCGCTTCTGTCTCTAAGGTTTCTGAGATGTCTCAAGGTTTGCTGGTTTTTGAATTTAGTGCAGGGCTCTGGATTGGGAGTCTTGAGTGCGAAGCTTCGCGCGTAAGTCTTTGAGGTGGAGACTTGGGGCGAGATTGATGGAAGCCATTGGCCTGCAGCTTGAAGCCCGCGGCCGCTTTCAGTGTGAGGCTTTGAGCTCCAGCAAAGCGCGGGGCGTAGAGCTTCGGGGTTGGCGCTTTGATTTTGAAGCTTTGGGCTTGCAGGCTGAAGCTTTGGACTTGAGTGAAGTGCTGGGCTCGAAGGGTTTGGCCTGAAGTCTTGGGTCTGAGATTTTGGGTCTGAAGTTTTGGCCTTAAGATCTTGGATTTGGGGCTTTGGATTGAAAGTGTTGGGCTTCAAGCGCTTGGCTTGAAGTCTTGGCTTTGAAGTTTTGGGCTTGAAGCCTTGGGCTCGAAGTTTTGGGCTTGAAGTTTGCGGCTTGAGGCCTTAAGCTTGAGGCTTTAGGCTCGAGTTTTTGGATTTGGGTTTTTGAATTTGAAAAGCTTGGAGCTTGGTCTTGGCTGACAAAGTCAAAACTTTGCAGCTTTTGCGCAAAAGAAGATAGCAAGGCTCTTGGATTTTATCGACTCTAAGTGAGTGAGTATCTCGCCTGAGTGTATTTGGTTCGAGTGTTTTGGGTCCAAGTGTTTCTGGTTCAGGTGTTTTCATTTCGGAGCTTGGGGGGGCGTTGTGGATTTTTCATTATGCGCGAGGGCGTAGGGTCTACAGGCTATTGGCTTTCGCAGGTTTCTCCGACATTCAGACACCTCTGGGACTCCAATGCCTCAAGTCCAAAGGCTTTCGACTTTAGCAAGCCTCTCGGAGATTCAGCCTCTTGGGTTTGAATTCCTCAAATCCAAAAACTTTCGACTTTTGCGAGCTTTTCCACGATTCAATCGCTTGGGTTTGAATTTCTCAAATCCAGAAACTTGCGGCTTGGGGAGGTTTCTCTGGCATTCAATCTCTTAGGTTTAAACTTCTCAAATCCAAAAGCTTTAGCTTCGCTGGAATTCAATTCCTTGGATGGATCTCAATTCGTCAAGTCTCAAAGTTTTTGGCTTTAGCAAGTTTCTCCGAGATTCGACCCCTGGGGTTTCGTTTCAATCTCCCAAATCCAAAAACTTCCGACTTTGCCAAGTTTCTCCGAAATTGAATCCCTTAGGTTTCAACTTCTCAAGTCTGAAAGCTTTGACTTTTAGCAAGCTTTTCGCTTTTCGAAAATGCAACTCGGTCGTGTCGTCAAATCCGAAAGCTTTTGACTTGAACAAGCTTCGCCGAATTCAATCTCTTGGGCTTCAATTTCTCAACTTTGAAAGTTTTGACTTTCGCAGGCTTCTCTGAGAATTCAACTCGCCAAACCTGAAAGTTTTCGACTTTAACAAGCTTCGCTGAGATACAATCCCGGAAATAATTCATGAGTAAGCGAATTTCTTAAATTCATAAACTCGCAAATTCGTAAGCTCGTAAGTTATGGACTAAATTCATAGACTCACAAACTCGTAAGTTCGTAAATATATAATTCGTAAATGCATAAATTTGCATTTTCGTAAATTCGTAATGTCTTAAATTTAGAAGCTCATGAGTTCGTAAGTTCATAAGTTCTGGGGCTTGGGGTTTGAAGTTGGAAGATGGAGAGCTTGGAGGGGTCGTTGTAGAGTTTTTTTTAGCGCTTTAGTACTAGCCTGGAGCGGCCGATGACAACCTTTCGCACTAGGATGCCCCTCCCCCCAAAGTAACCGAGGGAACAGGCAGGAAATTCTTAAACTTTAAACAGTTTCGCTGGCATTCAGTCTCTTGGAATTGAATCGCTCAAATTTCGAAGCCTTCTGCATTATTTTCTTTGCCGCTTTGGGGCGGATTAAATTTGCTGGATTTGAATTCCTCCAATTCCGAAACTTTTGGCTTTAGGCCTTTCTCCTGAGATTCAATCGCCCGGCGTGGCAATTTCTCAAATTTCGAGGCTTTCGCTATTATTTTCCCCCTTAGGGATTAAGCTCGCTGGAGTTGGATTCCTCAAATCCCAAAATTTTTGATTTTAGGCCGTATCTCTGCGATTTAATGCCTTGGATTTGAATTTCTCAAATTTCGGGGCTTTCCTTATTAGTTTGCCGCTTTGGGATTAAATTCGCTGGGTTTCCGTTTTTGACTTTCATTTTGCTCTCCGACATTCAAACTCCTGGATCGTTAGTTCATGGGCTTTCTTACGAGTAGAGTGCGTGAGTTCGTGGGTTCATGAGTTTGAATCTCTCAAATTTCGAAGCTCTCTGCATTTTTTCGCCCCTTTGGCATTGAATTCGCCGGATTTGAAGTTCCCAAATCTCGAAGCTTTTGACTTTGTGCGCTTTTGCTCGGTTTCAATGTCTTGGAGTTGAATTTCTCAAATTTCGAAGCTTTCGGAGTGAATTCGGTGGATATGAATACCCCAAATCCCAAAATTTTTGATTTTAAGCGTTTTTTCTGAAATTCAATCCCGGGCTTCAATTTCTCAAATTTCGAAGCTTTCCGCGTTATTTTGTCGCTTTGTGATTGAATTCGCAGGATTTGAATATCTCAAATCCCAAAATTTTTGATTTTGCGCATTTTTTCTGCGCTTCTATTTGCTGGATTTGGATTTCTCAAATTTCGAATCTTTCCGCGTTATTTTGTCGCTTTTGGATTAAATTAATTCGCTGGATTTGGGTGCCCCACTCAAATCCCAAGATTTTTGATTTTACGCGTTTTTTCTGAAATTCAATTTGCTGGATCAGGAGTTCATGGCTTCGTGGTTTCGTGGTTTCGTTTCGTGGTTTCATGGTTTCTTTTCGTGGTTTCTTGGTTTCGTGGGTTCATGGGTTTGGGGTTTGTTGGTTTTTGTGTCGGAGGTTGTGGCTGCGGGTGTTGGCGGTTGAGGTTTCGGAGGGGAAGTGTTTGCTGAATTTTATTGCTCTTAATATTATGATTATCGATAAAGAAGAAATAGATGGAGTTGGAGTGAAGATATTTTCACGCTAAGAAGAACACAGTTGTGGTCCTTCTCAACATGCCACGGCGCTCTTCTTCTATCTTCTACCTGCTCTAAAGCTTCCATGAAGGTGCACGAAAACTACCAAGAAACGAGTTCAGAATCCTTGTTTTGGCCTCCAGGGCCTGCCGCATTTGCGGATTATCAAGCGCAGGGAGGCCTCAGCTGGCGACCCGAGTACTGCTCATCGCCTTTCGTCACCAAAGAAGTGTACGGAAAGCAAAGTTGCGCGGATTGCATCGTCCAGTTTTTTTCCTCAGCCTACTACTGCAACATTCAGCAGAACTGCTTCAGGTACTACGCAATGACTTAGATTTGTTAATGGGTATCGTCATGGTCACATTCTTTCTTGATGCTTCATTGTTGAAAAGATGATGAACAGACTGCATCCATTTTTCTTTTTCTACACTTGTCTTTTTTACTTTTTAAGGAACTCTACTTCTATTAATTTGTATCAGTTTATACCAAGAGTGTCAACGGGACTGCTCTGCGAATGAGGCATGCCTTGGATTCCAGTATAATGGTCGCGTCTGTCGACATGTAATTTTCCCGCCATCTGTAGCAGCTACAAGCACTTTCGCAAACGGTATTCTTCGCTGTGGCACTGAGGAGTTCCCAACTCCTAATGCGGGATGTTTAAACTTACGGCCTTATTATAAAGTTTGCGTTACAAGTTGAAGTAGAAGTAGAACACTGAAAGGCTAGAGCAACAAGTAGTAGAGCCAAACATTTACTTAATTATTGGAAACTCTTCATTTTCAGTTTCTTTTTCTTTGTTATTTGTGCTTCATCTTCTTCGAGTTCGAGATCAAGAATATTAGGAAACTGATGATTCAAAACTAAAGCTATTACGTCATTGGATGGAGAAGTTGGAGAATCTCATGTACTCTGCAGACCCTTTTCTTGCTACATCAACAATCGCTTTTAAACCAATGCGATTCTTATTTTCAGGGTACTTCTTGTTCTTCTAGCAGAAGTGATTAATTGAGTCGCAAAAGTAAGGTAAAATATGAAGAGATGGTATAGTTGATAATGGCATTAAAATTAGTAGATTAAGACTGCTGCTCCCTCGCTTGTTGTTCCACATCTCCTAGCTCTAACTCGGTGGTGTGAAAAGGACACGACTGTGGTCTCTGCGGCGGCAGCCAGTAAGCCCTCTGACGGTACGGCGCTTCTGCAGACGTACGTTCGTTCAGCCATCGGGAAGACGTGGGGATCCTTGCGCTAAGTTGATGAGGAACATGAATTGAAGATAGAAGGTTTGTAGTTCTAGAACCAGATCTAGAATTAGAACTAGAGCTAGAAGGTGGGAATGTTGGGATGAGAAAATCTAGTAGAACAAGATGAAACAGTTTCACTTTTTTTACAATGCTGGTCTTTATTGAAATTGATGTTAGTTGTTCACAAAAATGATATCAGCCGTCAGATTCACTGATTCGCGCTAGCTAGCCTGTGATAATGAACTACTTGACAAAACGTACTATGAGTAACCAAGCTGCAGCAAAGCAAGTAGTCATATTAATCCAATCTAGTTCTAGTGAAAATGTTACAACACTACATTTCTGTGACTTCCAGAGTCTTTCCGCTACTAGGACGGTCGTCTTGCTTATCACAGGACGACTGTTGGTTAACATCACCCGATGGATGCGGTTGACTGGCTGAAGATGAAGAGGAGGTGAATGACACAATTGTCAATTGATGACATCAAACAAAAAACGGTTGCAAGAATTTCGATTTCCCGATTTGCATTAACTACCACCCTTACGACTCCTACGATCAGCATATTGAGGACACCAAAGATTTTACACCACTAGGTTGATGATTTTTACAGCAAAATAGATAGTATCAGCATTTCAGTTTTCTTCAGTTACTCAAACTCATACCAGAACGACAGAAATCGCACTCAGCGTAGCCGAAGAACTGCTACACTACGGATTAGTGGAGAGCGGCGGGTTATCACGTTACCAAGGAATTCAGATGTAACATGATCGAAATCAACAAGTACAAGAAGAGCACAGAGTGTGCTTCTTAATGGAAATGCCATTTTTCTAGTTGGAATTTGACTGAAGACATAAATTATGTTTCACCTTGATGTCGGCAAATAAATAGAATCCAGTTTAGAGGAAGGTAAAGTTGTGTTTGCGGCTACGTCAGAAATAATGTATCATCACGTTTGAGATAAGTGGCTATTTCGTGTTACAAGTCAAAGCATGGTCATGGCCAGGTTCATTCACTGTAAAGCACATTCTCTTTCGTGAATAACAATATATCATAGCATCATCACACAGTACTAGCAAGCACCGATTCGATTTTCAAAACAGAAAAATTCAACATACTAGGCAAAGAATCAAGAATGAATCCCCAGGTGAGAACTCACTTGTGAGTTGCAGAGATAAGTCCTCTTGTACAGATAGATTCAACATGGCCAAGACTTTCATCTTTTTCTGTTCACACTCCGCCGCGACGAGGAAGCAAGTCGTTGTTTTCATTTTTTCTCAGCCCACTTGGTTGATGGACGACTACAATGCACCCTGTTAGATACATATTTGTTAGGTACTCATTTCAAGAACATGACCCACGCAATATGCATAACCATACCTACGCTCCAAATGGTAGGCAAGGTACAACGGTTTGTTCAACCTTCAATCATAAAGTGTTTTTCTGTAGCAGGATATGACATGCAACCGCATGACGAGATGATGGCCCATGCGATGACGAATGTGTGCGGTGCTGCAAAGTTCACGTAGGTAATTTCTATTGGAAAACGAACAACGAAAATAGAGATATCCAGCTCTTATTCTACTGGTACTCCTGATCTTGAAGAAGCTTACGCTTTCGCTTGTGCTATTGATAACGATTGTTGACTCGAATTTTTGTCGAGGACACTCCTCACATTCACTCAAACACGCGAGCCGCTTGGATTCCGCAGGGGCCGCCCAGCACGATGGCCTGTGCGAAGTAGCTGAGAGATCGTAGCGTGTTTTAAGTAATGTGACTGTGAGCGCGGTATAAGTGAGTCAACATGAAGGAAGTAGCGTCGTGGCGGCGTTCTTTGTATGAAGCGTTTGTACTGGAGATATTTAGGTATAAATATATACAGAGTAGTTTATAGCACGCATGGTGCATGGAGTAGCATGGAGTGCATGGAGCGCAGAGCTTTAAGGGGCGCAAGAAGCTCCCCCTTTAGCTCCATGCTACTCCATGTGATCCATGCACTCCATGCCATGCGAGCTGTGAAACCTTACAAATTGCTCTGATATAAGTTTTAGTCTGTGCCCCTTCGTTCTTCTCGTCGCTGTATTGAAGTCTTGTCTTTGATCGTGATCCTTCTTTATCCATGCATTGTCGCCCCGTCCCCGTGATCCTCGAGTTAATAAGATACTGTAGCAAGCCGTTACTCACAATTTTTCAATGATCCCAAAAGAAGTAGGCCAAACGAAAATAAGATTCTGCTTGTGTGCACAACGGACTTTACTTGTGTAGAAAGATGAGGCAAAGGAAAGCATACAAAGTACATTGCTTAACCTGTTAAACCAAAAAGACGGAACTTATTTTTGGGAGGTAGAAGAACAAAAATGGTCACTAACGACGAGGATACTAACGGTATACACGGGCCGGCGTCCTCCGAGTCCGACGACGACGTCGAGATCGGGGACGCAAGCAGTGCGGGTGCACCGGATTCATTTTCCGACGACTACGACACGAAGAAAGCGGGAGAGGGAGAGCTCGGAGCCGTGCTCGGTGGAAGTTTTTCACCGTTTGCTACGAGTTTCGCGATAAAGACCAGCAATTGCGTGGCCCCGACCGTCTGGCTCTGCGAAACCAGGAAATAGTTTCCGATCTCTGCGCGCACATACACCGAGTTGAAATCGCCGCCGACTGATTCTTCGAGGTATTGGCAGCCGAAGCCCTCGGAGGAAGAGAAAAGACGGCACACCATTCTACTGGAGCAGAAGTCTCGCCTGCAGCCATTTTTGAGTCAGATGCCAAAAGCTGCCTTCGGGCACGGCAAAGAGACCAAGCGGGACAGCTCGATCCGAGATGCGCTGCAGCTGTCAAGCGACAAGTTCAGCGTGAACGTTGGCCACGCTTCTCTTGCTGATTTTTTGCAACAGCAGGGCGCGCTAGAGAAGATTGAGACTGCGTTGCAAATCACCACGCCTTTGGAGATCGAGCTTTACTCTCTCAACGTATACCAGAATGGGTATTTTGTCAAGCACAAAGACACGCCTCGTCGGGGTGACGACATGCTGGGTGCTCGCTGGAGCTGAGCGCTTTTCTGGCTTCAGTTTTGGCTCGAAGAAGGTTTCTATTCCGGTTACCACGCATCTGCCCTGTGCTGTATTTTTCAGCGACATTGATCACGAGTTCAACAAGGTCGAGGAAAGCATCCGCATGACAGTCGCTTTTCTGATTCGCCGCGCAGATCACAGTTCCGCGGCTGGGCTTATTCCACGCAAGCTCACAGAACCGGAACAGCGGACAAAACTGGCAGCGATGATAGGTGCGCTGGTGCAAAACAAGAACGTTCTCTCCCATGGGAGCACGGTCGGTTTCCCATGTCATCACCTCTACACGAACACAGAGGTGTTTCCGCGATCGAACCACGGCGCCGATGCACCGCTAACCAAGGAACAGATTGAACGGCTCAAGGGCAAAGACGGCATCGTCGGCCGCACCATCAACGCCGTGCAGGTGCAGCGAAATGCGGGCGGCGACTTTGAGTTCTATCTGCAGCCATACCTCAACCATTGCTACTCCATGGACGATGGCAGCGGTGATTACTTGCTGAACAAATTTCCGTTCGGCAAAGTCGTGCCGCGTCGATTGGGCGACGCTAAAATCGAGATGCACTTTAAAGCGGAGCCGACTTTATTTGGGAGTTCTGCAGCCGATGAGCTCGTGAATGTGTGGGCGCTCGATGAGAAAAAGTTTTCGCACGAAGCGCACTGCGTCCGATCGACCGAGTGAAACGCAGAGGGGTACTTCGGAAACGAGGCCAGTGACATCGATTTCTACGTTTACACCTTTCTTTGCTTGGTCTTTACAACGACCGGAAGGGCGCCGCGCCGATCGCCGCCCCTAAACCGTCACGAAAGCCTGCGAGGGGAAAAAAGGCAGCGCAGGGCAGCAAGCTCCTCCAAGAATACGATGACACCGACGCAGAGGATGCGCACGATCCCCCGCCTAGAGTCCCAGAAGAAGTGACGCAAGCGGGGATCGAGAGAGTGCAGAAGCTCTGGGAGAACATTTCCACCGCGCGGGCGAGCATGGAGTTCAGCGAAACCGACGAGTTCCTGGGTGATGAGGCGTTTCTGAAGAAGCGGGCGGAAAGAGGGAAGAAGGCGCCAACGGCATCGGATTCAAAAGTTATGTCGGATATGCAGAAGGCTTTCGGAGAGCTGCTTGGCGATCCTTTTTTCTTGCAGGATGGTGGCTGTTTGATGTTTCCGTGCCAGGCAACCTACTCGGAGGCAGGAATATTTTCCCGCGGGAAGAAGGCGCCCAAGAAGGAACTGTATATCTCCGAGAAAGACTTTGTCGAATGTGCTCGCGCGGATGTCGGGCCATGGCGGTATTCAACCTGCGGCTGAGGCGTCATCCTCTGCGTCTTCTGCGGTGCCAGCTGCGTCCTCTGCCACTGCCAATCCCGTTGTGTCGAAGAAGGAGAAGCCAGTTAAGAATGCGCGCGATCCTTTGGAATTGGATAGCAGCCAGATCAAAAAGCTGAAGCTCGCAGAGGCAGTAGCTGCACAGGCAGCCGAAGCTGCAGGTAGAACTTCTAAGAAACGAAGTATGAAGCGCCTGTCTCACAAGTTCTACTGCTGTCGTTTCGTTTCCTGTAGCTGTACCAGATATTACTTATAATGATGCAGCTTGTTGTAGTTGTTCTTGCCTTAGATACTGGCTTAGAGTACATTGGGCGGAGTGATAGGTCGGTCTCATCCCCCTCCCTAGCTCCCTATAATTAGGTCTCCGACGCGAGGCGTGTTGCATCAAATCTAGGCCCATCCTTCCAAAGATCTCGCCTTTTTGAGAGGGTGCAGGTCCCGCGACGCTCAAAGCACACAAAGTAAATTAGCCGGCTAATTTCCCTCGATAGTTCGGAGGTCGTTCGTAACCCTATAATATTCGCAATGATGTAGCTTCGTTTAATTAAAACAGGCCAACGCTAGTTGGTGCGCGCTCTTGTCTTGTTTTATTTACTGTCGAAGTAGAAATAATATGAAAAAATCACTTCCAAAATGAATCTCTACAGGTTTTTCGGTCAGGTTCCGCATCTATGAGACCGAGGACAACGGCGACCGAGCCTTATGGCGAGTGGGGCGACCATATGTGTCATTCGCTTTTGTCGGCGTTTCCACCCAAGCTACCGAAGACTATGACGCGCGACGACTTTTTCTGCTGGCGGGGGAGTTATGCAGAGGGGACATTGATCGGCGAGTTTGACCAGAACAAGGTGTACAAGAAAATCTTCTGGTTCGGCGAGGACGAGAGGTTCGTGACGGACTTCAAAAAGAAGGCCAAGAAAATGAGAAAAATGGGAAACAAGAAGAACAAGAGCGTTCCGTTTGATTTCTACAACCACAACGATTATTTATTTTAACAGTGAAGATAGTGATTCGGATTCGCTCAGCGGCGGTCGCGGGTTTTTCAGATTTGGCGGCTCGGAAGATTCAGTCGACTTTGCGGTCTTGGAATATCGTACTGCCGTGATGGTTGTTTTTCCCGCTGCAAGAGATCGCAAGCAAGTAAGCGGCACAGGAACTTCTAAAGTAGTCCCCGACAGCATCAAGAGTAGTAACAAGAAGCAAGCTTAAGGTGCTGCAGCAGCGGCCTCGGCTAGAAGTAAGAGCAGCAGTAGTGTAAACGCGCAATCTCTCGTCGGTGTACAGCTACCAGCTGCAGAGCAGCAGGGTGAAAAAATAGAGAACACGACCGGCACAGTTGCTGTCAAAAACCCAGACACCGCGAGGACAGGAAATGGGTCGAAGAAGATGGCAGTCGCTAAGTCTACTAAGTCGAAAGCTGCTACTACGGTAAAGCCGAAAGAAAAGCCAGCGGCAGCAGCGAAGGCGATGAAGGCTGTAGCGAAGACCGCGCCGAAAGCGAAAGCGACGGCGGTGAAAAGGGCTCCCCCGAAACCGAAAGCAACGTCCGCGAAGAAACCTGCGCAGAAAGCGAAGGCTGGAAAGAAGTGAGACTGAGAGACAAATAACCTTAACCACAATGGGACTTACAGAAATTTATCTCAAAGTCAGAAGAACACGTGAAGGCGGAGCGAGGTGGTTGCTGTTCCACGAAATATGCTTCAATCCCTGCATAGAGCTAACATTTGGAAATGGAAATGCGTGATCGTCTTTTCTCCTCAAAGATGGGAGCTTTCGGGTATGTCCACAAATAGAAAGAGCTTCGTCATCGATAATACACTCAAATTGGAAATGTATAGAAACAAAAATAGAAATGAAAATAAAAATGAAAGATGGGGAAGAGACGAGTACGAATATAAGATAAGTATTAGGATGAGACTTTTATACACTGGGGATGATAATAATACACCTACAAACTTCTAGGATGATGAGTCGAAACCTGAAAAAAGTGCGAGATTTGTAGTGTGAACATTTAAACTGGGAGACTTCAGATCCTAGGTGACGAGATTTTAACTCGCAATTTCAGAGGACAGGGCACGAAGTATGAGCTTGCTGCTGATGGATTCAGTGCCAGTTTCGTTCAGATTCCAATTGAAAGACGCAGCCGTGATCTCCACGGGGTTGCATTCTGAAGAACTTTGGATCAACGCCATCGGTCACAACAATTTATCTGATAAGGAATATGAGAACATAGTGATAGTGAAGCAAGAAAATGAAAAGGAAAGAGGAACTGAAATATGCTTGATGAAATTGGTATGTTAATCCTAAAAATGCTGTAGTTGTTCATCTTCTACCTCTTGTATCTTCATGTCTTTTCTTTTACGATTGAACAAATTCGACTTGAAGTAACTGGTGTAACTCAGATGAAGATATAGATCATAAAGACTCGACGTTAATGCATATGCACAGACACAGTATGCGTGAGCCTCGTCCTCCTCAGGGTCGGGAGAGAAAGAGTCATCTAAATCATTTGATGTTTAGTCATTTTCTTCCAGATAGAGATATGAGAGAGGGATAGAAAATCAGGCATGGAGCGAAAAAATAAACATTGCGTACTTAGTTGAAAAGAAAACGATTCCTTTTCCACCTGCTGTGCATCGATCCTTATCGAAAAGGAGCTAGTTTTTGTTATATTAATATAATGTTGCGAATCATGTGAAGATGAAGTAGTTGAAGATTTGCAATCTTCTCAACGTGTGTCGTCAGACCAACTCTCGTTGCTTAAAATCTTGTCAATAGCAATGATACTGTGTTCAGAAGAGCTCGTGGAGAATCCGGGCTATTGAAGCGATAACTCAGGAGAAGGACTCTCGGGCTGTAGTGTCAACGACGACTATTAACGTACGTTGCTTTATACTGCCTTTTTTTTTACTCTCTAGTTGTCTTTAGAATGCGGAGTGTGGCGAAGTTTGCGCTTGCTCTTATCCCGTTTTTGTACACCCGTGGCTCATCCACAGAAAAAATCACTGCCGCGTCGACGACTGCAAGTAGGGCTGAACAGGAACAGCGCGAAGAAGAATTCGAGCTACAGTTACTACCGGTGACCGACAAGCGTGCGACCGGGGAGCATGGAGAATTGCAAAGGATTCAAATTGCAGGAAACGAGTGGGAAAGTTTTCAGTTAAAATTTGAGAGCAAGCGAGAAACTGGAGGAAAAACGACGAGCCGCTGCGTCACAGATGTCATAGCGCGGGTGGAACAAAACCAAGAGCCGCAACACGACAAAGACGAGGGCAGTGACCATTCTCGCAGCCGCGGCGTCGATTCCACGTCGACCAGGCAGGCGGACGAGCCGCGGCTTACTTTGCACGCACACGGCGTTGGATGGATCGACGTGAAAGAGGTATCGGATTGCGATGGCGCGCTTGGGTTTTGGCCTGACATCGTGTATCCCGTAAAGGATCTGTGGCTCCGGAAAAATCGCGCTCCAGCGAGGCTGCTCTGCACAGGAGACGAAGAGGATAGAACAGCAGCCCACTCTACTGCTGCAGAAGCTCATCCGGTTCTCATTTGGTTCGATCTGTTCAGGGAGAATTTTCGGTCTTCCGCCAACACTTTCACGGCGTCAACTGGAGACGTAACGCTCGTGCTTCAGATCGAAGTGACAAAGGCCTCTACGTCGGAAGTCAAAGTTGTCGAAAAAAGGCTAGCTGTCACTCTATGGCCTTTTTCCCTGCCAGATAAATCTCGGTTCCGAACCACCTACGGCATTCACACCCAGGATTCCTGGTGGCGACGCAAAGTGGACGTCGGATTGTTGCATCGGTTGAGCTTTGGGAAGGGCTTTGCATACGAAAACAATGAAGACCTGCTCCTGCCGCGGAAAATGAAGTTCGAGCCGTTGCCAGTGAACGTGAAGTTGGCAACGCTGTCCGCGCGGGAGGAGCCAGTGCGTGCGGTGAGTCTGAGTCTGTTTGATGGGAAAATAAGTGATCGGGTTTTGAGATTGACCATGGAAAAGGAAAAGCCACAAGAACTTATCTCTCACAAGCGCCAGATCTCCGCCTTCCGCTTGAGCGAGTTGGATACTGTAACTTCGCTAGAAAACTCAACGCTACTGCTCCCCCCGGAAAAAAGAAAGCCAGCGTTGAAATACGTGCAGCCGTACATCTACCCCTGCGATGAGCCTGGTCCCACGAAAGGAGCTTTTGCCACTTGCAAAAACAGAACAGACCAGCTCTTAACGCGGTTCAACCAATCGATAACAGGCAGTGAAGAGCGAGAAACCTCGAAGCAAAATCAATACCACGTTCCCGTCCTGATCACGACTATGTCTTACCTCGCAGAGCAGCAGCGACCGTTTTTTCCGTCGGAGAAGCAAATCCAGATTTTTTGCCCCCTGTTGAACTTTGTGCACAACCCAGAGAAGCACTGCGACGACTACCCGGAGTATACATTTACGAATCAAAGGAGAACGTATAATGTCACGACAAGCAACAAGGATGGAGCCGATAGCGGCGTGATTTTTGCGTCCACGGGTACAGGTGAAAAATATGTAATTTCTCGTCAAGGAGCACAACAGAGACAGAACATGGAGCAAAATCAAACTCTCTACTGGTACATTAGCTGCATGTCTCATGGTTGTGACATGGACCTGCCGGAAAATCGCCACTCTCGCGGATGCATCGGTTTACCCTGTCGTAGCTCTTGGCCTTCTTTTATGGTGGACACGCTGTTTGAGAGAAATCGAAAATTACAAGTCTTAGCCTACTTGTACGATGTGCGCGGGGAGCTCTATTGGGAAGTGGACCAGTTTAACAGCACAACGGACTTGCTACATTTCGGGGGAAATGGCGACGGGCAGCTGATCTACCCAGGGGTTGTAGACACGTCTGATGATGAAGGACCTGGGTTAGAAACAGATGACGAAAGTTGTGAAAGTGAAAACTCTTCGTCTTCTTCAACTTCGTCTGTCCCTCTTGCCAGTATTCGCTTGAAGCATATTCGTGACGGACTGGAAGATTTAGAGTATCTGTATCTGCTGGAAGACGCGCTGGTTTCCTCTGTGGTAGGGGCAGCGGATTTGTTGTCTGAGTCTGACACGATTAAAAAAGTGAATGATGTCCGCGCTCACGCAAAGGATTTTATTGTCGAAAAGTTCGTGCACAAATTTGTCACCTCGACGGTGGACACCGTGGCACAGAACGGGACGTGGCTGGAAGAGCGACGGAAAGTTGGCGAAGCAATCGCGAATGTTACTGTGCTTGCTAGCGGAAATCATCGCGATGTGGAGAGGCCGGTGAGGAGAAGAATACTAGAAAAAGACAAACGGGAGGATGGAGCGATAACGTTATTGGAAGAGTTTCTCACGTTCATGCGGCGCAGTCGCGGCAGCTCTGCAGCTTTAGATGATACTGGGTTTAGTAGATCAGTCAAAAAGATAAACGCCCATCAAGAACAAGAGAATAAAGCGATTTACGCGTAGGAGAAACCATGTCGTGTGTGTGATGTCAACACTTCCATTTACAACTGAACTTCATTCTACAACTTTCAACATCATTCCTCTTACTGAACTTCCTTGTCTGTCTTACTGAACTTCCTTGTCTGTCTTACTGAACTTCCTTGTCTGTAATGTTAATGAACGCATCAGCCAGCTTCGTGTCGTATAGGCAAACGCCCTTCTTGTTGCTTAAAATTTGGCGATAGCATTAGCGATAGTGTGTTCAGAACAAGAGCTCGCGGAGGATCATGCGTGTTGAGGCGACGAACCAGGAGAAGGTTCATATCATGATGATAAGGTTGTAGTGTCCAAGACGATCAACGAGATGAGGATCCCGATTCCCATGTTCCACTTCTTCTACGGCCTTATTATATCTTCTGATGTTATAATAATAATCTGAGCATTTTCGGTTCTTGTGCTATGCCATGTAGTAGCGCCCTTTTGTGACACGACCATATTGAACGTCGAATCAGCTCCAGCTGTAAAAAGACGTCGTCATTGATTGATTCTAAAATATTTTAATGCATGATCTACAAGAACAAGTAGGATGCTCGAAAGTGTCAAAATTATACATAGCCACTGTTTGCGACATAGGACCACGTCGTCGGAATTCATTTTCGGTAGGCCGCCTGATTCTGCTTTTTGTACTAGTACGTAGTCCTTCTAATTCTTGTACTAGAGGGCTTCAAGTTCTCGAGGAACGGCCACGCATTTGCGTTCGCATATAAGAGATTTAATAATTCATTGGAAGGTTTGCCATTGGCATTGCCTAGACGAGTCTCTATAATGAGTGTTTATTGTCAAAATGACATCAACAAGTTGTCTAAATAGAATTTCCTTCGTCGCAAAGCAGCACCTGCATGTATCTGGAGGAAGTCCTATGATGCTGCGGCGTCGATGCTGCTTTTCTTGACAAAAGGTGGATTTAGCGGAGAATGGCAGCAGTGTTGGGTGACTCTACTTCCCCCGCTCCTGAAATTATACCGGGCGAGAATGTATCTCCGATGGCTTCTTCCGCCGAGAATGGCACAATGGACTGCAGCGATGCCAGTGGGCCCACGTCAAAGAACGGGGACTGCACAGAAAGCCGATCAAGGAACGGGGACTCTACTGCCGAATTGCTGCGCGCGCTTCAGGAAGAGTGCACATCGTTGCAGATGGAACTCGACATCGCGCAAATCGAGTTAGCCTCTGCTGGACACCTTGTTTGCACCGTCGACTTTATGAACTTCTACACGGGAGAAATTGTTCAACTTCAATTATATCAGTTTGCTCTCCACCAGTAGTAAACTTTATTTACTTAGGTACACATGAATCTAAATGAATCATGATCATTAAGCGGGTTACTAACATCACGCTTAGTTGTGAAGATCCAACAAGACGTGTCATCTTCATATTAGCTACCATACTGATGTCATTGGCCATTGCGCCTATGCCATTCCTTCTTTCTTCATATCCGCAGAAAATGCTCGACTCCGAAAACGGATCGCAGAACTAGAACCCCTAGAAAAGCACGCATGCAAAGTTGCAGATGAAAATGTGAAATTACGGGCTACTTTGCAACGTCAAAAAACCACGATTCGCAAAATGATGGGAGAAGCATGTACATAACCTTAACTTCTATTTGAGTACGTTTTGTACGGAAGTTGTCCATGATAGCCTGATTCATTTTGATCGTTTTCAAACCGCGTTTTGACTTTATACCCACAACGACGACGAAGACAACCGTTGTTCAGAGATATCGAATTATATACATAGAGATTTATCCAACCATCCACAGACGATTCCGACGAGGATGATGTGAGTGTCGAGAACCTGAAAGAGGAGATACTAGAGCTGCAGGAGAAACTTGCTCAGGCATCTTCTGAGAAGGAGGAGCTTCGTCAAGAAAATGAACGACTGGCCGCATCCGTAGCACCAGGCACAGGAGATGACGCGACAGAGAACGAAGATAACGACACAGGTGAAGAAACTGCTGTTACAAATACTACATCAGGAGCAGGTATGCAAACGACGGATGCACTGCGGAAAAGGATTGAAGGTATCAAATACTCATTTATCTTTTTATTCAAAAAGAACACAGAAAATCCCAAGAACATTGTGTGTAGTATTATAAATGAAAATACTGCATGTCATGAGTTTTTCAACTTCTGGTCATCTTACCTCTCACATGATAAATAATTCAGAGTTGGAGCGGGTTCTTGTCGAAAGAGCTGAAGTTCTGGGCGAAGCCGAAGCGCAACTCGACGAAATCGCAGTGACGTTGCCGGAAGTCGAGAACAAGAATCTTGAGCTGCACAAGGAAATTCAACTGCGCTTGGGCACCGAGGGAGAGCTCCGGAAAAAGCTACTAGGGCTTGGGATTGACGTGGATACAGACATGACCGAAATAGAGAATGGTGCGCCCGCGCCGATTGGTTGGGTGGATGCTGCAGCAGATCCGAGCAGCACGACGTCGCCGAAGACATTGTGCAAAGCTAGCACTGGTGCAAACCCCGACCAAATACCTGAGACCGGCAAGAAAGAGGAACACGACCAGAGCGAAGATCCAAGAAGCGATCCGCAAGGACCCCATTCACATCATCAAGAGGTTTCTACTGCTTCCTGTTTGGACGCCAAGGGACCCGCGCAGCATGCCTTTAACAGTGCTACTACTCCCACAACTGCGTCACCATGCAGCATTGGTTCTCCAGCATCCCCAGCCCCCTGCAATCCTGAAGAAATAAGATCTTCCACCGAAAAGCCTCCACCTCTTCATTTGACACCTGTTGTTACTTCTCCTGGTGTATCATCTTCACTTGATGCTAATAATGCTGCTAGTCCTACTAGTGGTACTGGTAGCACTAGTTCATCATCAAGCTCAAGTCCGGCAGCGCCAACTTCAACTACTGTACCTAGTTCATGTCCCCCTGTTGTAACTACCACCTCAACATCATCGAGTTCCTCAACTTCTGGCGGTCACGTTGTTCCAGAAGGGGTAGCACATGCGCCAGATGCAGATGATGGCTCCAAAGGGCACCATAGAAGAGCATCGACTGTGAGTGAATCCTCTATCTCCTCTGGTATCGGACGAGAGACGGACGATGATGGCCTTGACGATCTTGGTGATCCCCCTGACATCACTAATTCTGCACCTGCGACGAGTCCTGGGCCTCCAAGCAACAAAATGCAAGAAGAGGCAAGTGCTAGTAGTATACGACCACCAGCAGCACAAGCGCCTCAAGTAGCTCCTGTTACTACGCGTTGTGGCGCAACCTCAACAACTTCGTTATTTGGAGACTCTTCGAGCGTCCCATCGTCGTCGTCTTCCGGTCCGTCGGCCCGAATGCTACGACGCTGCTCTCGCCCCGTGTGCACACTTGATGTTATCGGCGTTGATTCGCTGGCTATTGGTGGTACATCTTCTGGTCCTTCTGTAGGAGCAGGGGGTGTAGAGGTGAAGAAGAACAGTATAATAGTGGAAAAAACCGACCATCTTGCAGACGATTCCTCTTGTTCGATATCTTCTTCTGGAGGTACTCCTACCGGCGCTGGTGCCCCTGCAGCACCAACACCCTGGATTCCCCCTGATCGCGTTGCACCACATGGTCGGAATGGAAAAACTGGATCAAAAAATGCAGGAGTCGCGGCGAAGAGTAAGAAACAAGAACAGCAAGTGTTTCTAAAAGCTGCGCTCGAACAGCAGGAAAAACTTGAGGAACAATTGTGTGAGTTACGGAAGGATACCGCCGCACAGCTATCGCGATTGAAGGCTCGTGCGGAGAGCGCTGAAGCTGCGAAGGCAGAGTCTGAAAGCAAGCTTGCCAATATTGAAATGAAAATGATCACGACAATTCAGAATGCTGGAGCAGCTGGAGAAAAGATGGATTGTAGCGGTGGATCTAATACTGCCAATGCCTCCACCAAGAACGAACAGAAGGAAAAATTCGCGGAGGATGTTTCCGACGCAAGATTTGCTGAGATTTTAGCAAGTGTATTGGGTCCACCGACGTCTTCAAACTCCTCTTCGTCGTCGTTTGCAAATAATAAGCTTTCTGAATCCACCAAAGGCGGGGCACAGAAAACGGATCTCTCAGTTGTTGATATGCAGGAGGAAGACCTACGGAAACGATATGATGCAGTGCGAAGCTCACATGGACTGCTCATGCAGGAGCACGCAGCAGAGCTTGCCAAGGCAAAAAGAAACAATGAGAATCTTCGAGCCATTCTGTTGCGGACCTGTCGTCGGTACGGCGTCCGTAAGAAAGACCTTTCGGCCCTATGCCTGGAGGAGAATCGACGGCCAGTCAGCGTGCGCATCGCAGAAATTAGTAGACGTGAAGAAGATGGCACAAGAGATCAACATGTTTGTGTCGATGTTCCTCTCTTGCCGCCTGGAGAGGCCATCGAATCCTTTGGCCCAGGTTCCTGTAGGTCTTCCGTTGACCATGCGATTACGGACCCCCGAGTTAAGACTCGTTGATGTTGCAGAAATCCATCTATTAATTTAAAACAGCATCCTGATCAGAATCTCGTCAATTATACATTTATTTTGAAACACGCTCGCACCTTCCTTATCATGATGGTGCTTAGATTGTTCAAGTAGATGGATTTGAGAATGACGTGCTAATCAAAGCAGCACAGTAGACGCAGATGACGTCACTGCCGCCGGTCTTGCAGTATCTGTTGGCTCGAAGTAGGTGTCGCGTAAAGTGTCCTGGTATCATGACTGTCGTGTTATCGTTACCTAGTGGGAGTGGGTCCTCTTCCTTTTTCTTGTCAGTGAAGTAGCCTACAAACATTCCGCATTCATCGTGGTAAATCCACAATGTAATCGGGTGTCGGAGCGCTCTTCCACCCTTCAAGGGTTTTTCAAAAACGCAATTATAATGTTTCGCAAATGTAACCAATTGGAAGTCGAATCCTCCTTCCTGAAGAAGATCATACATCAAAGAGGGGGACTATTCGCACTACTAGTACGCGCAAGGTTTTTATATATAAGATGCATGTGTTTCTATGATAATGATTGGCTGTCAGCTCTCCTGGTTGAACAACAGCTTGCTTGTCCTCGTGTGTGTGTTTTGAGGAATGAATGTCGTCACGCTACAACGCAACGTCCTCCTGCATGCTGCCCCCACCTCATACTTGCCACGTCGTCATTTTTTCATGTAGTTGTAGTTACTACCTGATCATCTGGATTGGTAAAAATCATTTTGAGTTTCGTTAACCACAGGTTTGAGGTTGGGGGCACCAGCGCTTTTTTGTTATGAATTATTCGCGAATCTGGGTACGATCATCTTGTTACTCTTTTTCCTGATAAAGTCTTTGTACGGCCATGGGTGCATTTTCAACATTCTATCAAATTGTGGAACATTATATAACACCAGGGCCGGGAAAGATCAGTCATAGGGATCATCAGTGCTTGTATGTCTCACACATAGAGACCATAATTACTGCTTGTATGTCTATTAACTTATGCTTGTGAATGACAATGACAAATATTAGGGATAATTACTTTTTCTTTTGCCGACTGATGTCGACGACCAGACGAAAGTCGTGATTAAGATTATCATGAAGCTGCAGCGGTATGTGTAAATAACGCTGTTCATGATCATGGGCATCTTCATTGCTTTTCTCGGGGTTGTGGAAGAACTACCAATTCAATGTCTACTAAGTACGATCATCGAGGATCGTGTAGTCGTATCAGATCACGAATTCGACGAATCATCAACAACTTTGAAAAACGTCCGTGGAGAACGCTGCTATGCCTCGACAAAGCTGCTGGATGTGGAAGGATTGATATTTTATTGGCTGTTTGATTGCGGACGAGGGAAGTACAACATTGATGAATATCGGTTTCAAAGAGTCAAAGACGACAAGCCTAACGCGAAAAACCAGAGAGGCAAACTACGTTAATACTTTCACTACATTAGGCATGAGAGAATTCGAGAGACGTGCCATGGCCGCGGCCCAGTTCACCTGATCCTGAAGAGGCGACCAGCTTCTAAGATACAACATGCAAAACTGCAAATCGGTCAGTCTGAAAAGTTACTATTTGTTGCGATCGTCCACGTCCTCCCCCCAGGTCTACCTCTACGCTTTCTTTACGTATGGGCGACCACAATTGATTGACAAGAAAAACCGAATGCTGAGCAGTACGTCGTCTACAGATTCGAATATCAGAGAGAGAGAGAGTGTCGATGTGTTCGTTTTTGTTCAGTGTGAGTAGAGATGATCGAAGAGAAGAGCGAAGATGTTATCTCAGAAGTCGTGATGAGAAGAGGCCTGTTCATGATTGAACCTTGTTTTTTCTAAATATCCCGCACATTCGGCCGCATCGTCTACTACTTCTAGATGCCGATGTAAATGTATGTGTTCCACCAGAGCATTCAATCTTTGCCTTCGCCATAAGATGACCTTCATAGTATGATCGCTAGATATATCAAATAAGTATTATATATGCTGTATCTACTTCTTCTTCCTGTTGACCAGCTCCTTGTGACGAAGTTGACTCGTGGTCGTGCAATTTCATCTTAACACGTTCTTCATTCGGTTGCGTTTTCGATTGATGTTTACCTAAGTATAATATGTATATGCGATTCATCTCTTTACCTGTCACGACACTGATTCTGTTGATATCGACGCAGGACAACGACAATCTATCCTATGATTTTGTTCACCACGCCTCTACCTCTTATTTCAGCCAGAACATCCGGAACTATCATCATCTCCTCATTGACATTTTTTGTGATTTTTGCGTAGAACTCGATCTCGATAGTAACAAAACAAAGACGGAGGCATCTGGCCAGAAATTCTTCAACGATATTACTCTCTCCTGTCATACTTGGTCGACCAACGGCTCAGACGTGACGTGAGTGGAGCACATGCAATGACACGAAGTCGCGCAAGTCTACGAACTACGTGCAGTTTTTTTGTAACTAGAAACTTTTTTATCTTTCCTTATTCAAGAACGTCCTCCGGCTGTGTAAAATATGGAAATTATTATGTGAAGAGGGAGACGTTGTAGGAATGCTAAAACGGCTACAGGTTTCTATTTTCGAATTCTTGTTTCTATGTATCGGGATCCACATACTACTAGAACTAGTATAATTCGTAAACATACTAGTTATAGTTCTAGTTGTAGATGCCGAGTGCGTTTTACCTTGATAACGTTCTTTACTCGTAATAGAATACCATGTTGTGGACGAATTGCATTTTTTCAGATATAATACTGATTGCGTATCATGATCTAATTATTTTTGCTTTATTTTATGTATGAGATTCGAGATGCTCTAGAAGTACTTTCCCGAAATTCGAGGAGCAATTGTCGTCCATTTTTTTTCGATCGTCGTGAGAAAGTTCCTAACAAGATTCAGTTTGTGTGGAGCAATCCAAATTCGTAATAGTCCTAGTCGTCCTCGCGTCGAAGGCAAGTCGCCATCGAATAGTCGTTCGCTTACGCAAGAAGTAGAAGACCAAGATGAAGAAAGCGCTTTCATAACTTTACTAGTAGGATGATATCGAACCTTGGTGTTTTTTGAGCCGATAAATATCTCCATTCACTAGTAAAAAAGATCTTGTTCATCTTGTTCCTCCTCGATCAATTTATAAACTACGACTGACATTATTATACATAGCAGACTTACAGTTAATACAACTCCTCCAGCTCGTTGGATATTAGTGTTAGTGAAGCTGGATCTTTGTGCTCTGGATAGTAAGATCCGTATGTCGGATCTTCATCACCACATTTGTGATTGTTTGTAGCAGAGAAAGTCGGAGTTCTTGCCTATGGGTTTCCGGAACGCGTGCACAAGCACAGAATCCGCTGGCGAGGCGTTGTAGGAAGGAGAAAGGCTGAAGGTCTTCGTGGTCGAATTGGTCATTACAATTTGTTCTTCTTTACCGGCCCTGCTATACTACAAAAATGTCGGCATTGAAGAGCGGTCGGAAAAACTGGGCTGACATGCACAGCGATGACTCCGATGAAGACGATGCGTGGTTGTACTTATTCAATTTTGATTTTACCTTTATTTTATTTTAAGTCTCGGTCATTTTTATTTTGATCAATTTTTTCTGAGACGAGTACTTACCCTTCCCATAGTAGTCCGGTTGTTCATTCCGTTTCATGTTAAGGCTTGCTTTCTCCTGACTAATCAACTAGGCATAGGCGCTATCATACAGCTGGAAGCTGTATGATCACAGAATAGCACACTGTGATCATTCTAGAGTATAGTGACTAGATCTTCTCTCGTACTTACCGGCTCTTCTGCCCTCACGCTTACCAGTTATTTTCAGTCTTCAAGCAGTACGTCCACCTCCACGTCGATATCGATTATAGTATGATTCGAGATTAACATGAAAGTCCTCCTCAAGTACCTTTTTCGTCCACACATCATTCTTCTTCATGAAGATGAAGATGATTAATAAAAAATGATTAGACATGATCAACATTCAATATCAATTCGCCCAACGAAAACCTCCACATCAGCCCGAAGCGACTAAATGCCGATCAGAGTGAATCAGCTAAAAAAGCGGTTGGAGGGTCTAATATCTCGACGAAAGGGACTACAGGAGGACCAGTCGTCGGGCTTTCGAAGCTGAGTAGCCAGCCGATCCGCGATCACGGAGACTCATTCAGTTATAAGGTGCGGGACCCAGACGCGGATCTAGATCTCGCGTCGACCTTCGCAAACACCTTCGGTGATGTGGAAGAAAGATGGCGAAAGAACGAAAAACTAGAACAAAAGCCTCTCATGGGAGGTGATCTTGGAACCGGGACATCGAGCTCATCTTCGAGTAGCAAATCATCGACGCGGGGAGGCCACCGAGACCAAGACATTGACGATCTAGCAAACGCGAATGACAACAACATGCACATAGTGGATGAGAACAGTAAAAAAGCAGCAGGATCTACTTCGCATCAACGAGCAGGAGGTCTTGTTGATGTTGACGTTGTTAATAACCAGCAAGGTGCAGGAGCTGGAGCAAACGCCGCTGGAGGAGCAGGTACGACTTGCAGCTACGAAGGAGCGCGAGAGCGAGCTGGTTCAGGTGCGACAGTTTCAACTGGTCGCGGCACTAGCGGGAGCGGCAGTGAGAATCCAGAAGGGACAGACGCATCTGCTACTTCTGAAATTTTCGGGCTAGACGATCAGTCAGAACATGGCAGCGCCGCCCTCGCTTCCATGGATGGCACAAATATAGCACGAGCTACAAGCAGGAGGGGAGGTGGAGCGGAGACGACCACGGCTAAGGGAAGTAGTGGAGTATCTAAAAATCGCTCAGGGAACGGTTCTTCGGTAGTGCCAAGAGGTAACGGCGGTCGCGACATCCGCGTTGCTGACGTCTCAGCGCCATCCGCGGTTCACAAAGGTAAAGGGAAAGACGGCAAGAAAGGCGGCAACAAGGGAGGAGGAGGTAAGTCAACGAGAACATCTTCTGAACATGAAGGTGGAGAGGAAAGCAGAATAGCAGCTGCATCGAAAAACGTCGTCGACGCGCCTGGTCCTGCGGTCTTCAAAAAGAGGGTACCAGGTGCCTCCGCAGCACCTAGTAATTGGTCAGGATGGGGTGCACAACCCACTGGTGAGGATGATGATGAGGAGGAGGATAACGCGCAAAATGAAAGCGGAGCAGCTGGGACAACTGCAGAGATGTTCCCAGACCTAGCAACTGGAACGTCAGCAGCGTCCACAGAGGCATCAAAACCAAAGCTCCGAGGCGGGTTTGGTGGCTCGTCCGGAGCAACGAAGTTCCAGCTTGGGAACGGCAGCAGCTATAGGAAAGGAAGCTCCTCAAAAGAAAAAGATAATGGCACGAAGAGTCCTGGTCCTCCAGCTTCAGCTGCAGGTATTTCTTTTTAGGTTTCTATTCAACAGCGCTGACAAATCCTATTTTTTCTAACTATATCCTGCGGCAGTACAAATTGGTACTCTGAACAACGACGAGGGGAAAAACTAAGTACGTGAATCAGTTAATTTTTGTAGGAATGCATTCGCACTTGTTGTTTTTATAACTCTTCCGATCCGCGTACTTCATTTGGCTTGTTTTGAGATCTTCAAATATTTAATGTTCTCTGCAAATGAAGAAACCTTCCGACAAGATTGCACTCTTGCCAGCAACTCCCCTCAATCTCATCTACTCAACATAAGGTAACGCAGCGGTAGCTGACGCTGAACAAGACAAGGGTCGAATAGCAGATGTGTCGCAACCGCAGCGAGCAGCTGCGTCAGGCAAGAGCAAAGGTAAAGGAAAACCCGAAGCCAAGCTTGAAAAGAAGTCATGGGCAGATATGTCTGATGACGACATCGACGACGGCATGGAACCACGTACTTTCTCTATCATAGATTGATTCTCGTCGAAGGTGTACCTCTATCTGGATTGAGGCAAGAATGATTTTAGTAGTAATACCACACCAGTAGTTGCTGTTGCTGCGTCGAGAACAACACACAGTAAGAACTACAACATCGTGATGTTTATCTTCTTTGATTATAGCATCATTGTGATCACTGTCACTGGCAGCTACATACCACACTGACACTCCGTCCTCAGATTCCCCGATTCGAAACAAACTGATAGAAGAGCGCGCTGCGCCAACGAATTGGGCAGCGGCGATGACCAAGACACTAACCGAAGAAGACCGAAAGAAGTCTGAGGCCTTACAGAAGGCAGCAAGCAACAAAAATATACATGATTGGAACACGAATGCAGCAGAGTTTGTGCCAGGTACTTTCAGATTAAAAAAAAAGACAGAGTTTTTGTTCATCTACGTAGTAGTTTTTTGAAGAAGGCTACTTTTTCACAAGGTACAGGTGGTACTGGTATCATCTTTCTTGATCGAATTCCTAATTCAGTGAAAATTAGTTCAGTTTCATCAAATTCATGCTAATATGAAATCTATAGGCGCGTCTTTTGCAGGAACTGGAGTTAGTGCCCCCGAATTCTACGACAGCGCATTCACCAATGGTTTTACCCCGCAAGGACTGCCGACGTCGCATAAGAGACAAAGGGGTGATCTTACACCTGCGTCGAGTGTTCGTGGATACTACGACAAGATGCCGCGTATGGGTGCTATACCGGGAGGAGGTCCAGGTGGTCCTTGCTCGGGGGGCGTGACCCCGATGTCCACTGCGTCCACCGCAGAGATGATCGTAGCTCCCTATGTTGTGGGATGGATGCCGACAGCAGTAGCATTCGCAGAAGCGAAGAAAGCCGCCATGACGAAGACTGTTAGCACTGGTTCCTCCTCCGCGCGAGGTGCGGTGTTGTTCCCAGAAGCATCCAGACCGATGGAGGCGCCAGTAGCTGGAGGCCTCAACAAAATGGAATTAAACACGGAAGCGCTGGTGGATGGTATCTATCTATCGATTTTGGACGATCCTTTTCACATGTTCTGGCAAGGTAGATTATGGCACATAATTTTTTTTTCTTCTTAGTTATCTTGAACATCTTCCAGTAAGAACTAGGAGCATGATGATGACCTCGTCAAGCATAAAAAATAGATATGTTGCATAGTTGTATATTATTGCGTGTTAAATTTAAATTACAAAAACTGCATCTCAAAATTGTAGGTACTATGACCGATGCGGAAAGGCAAGCTGCGAGTAAACAGAAGAAGATAGACCGGGTAAAGAGCCACGTTGCATACGCAAGGTATTTGAAGGCAGTGCCGAAGGACACTCGTGCAGACGAGCCCTCGACACCATCAGCCACTGATGCCTCGCAATCGAATCGTACTATCAATTTCTATTTAATTCCTGCTCATATAATTTGTATTTGTAGTTGTATTTGATGTCGTCGTCCTCGTCGTGCTCGTGCACATCAATTACTAGATAGACGGTTCTTTCCCATCATGATCAAGCATGGTCAGGATTGATGTACTACTTGAGTGTCCAACAGTATCAATCAAGGATTAGCGACGCTTTTACTTACGATGCGAGACATCTCCGTCCTCTACTATGGTGCAGGAGACTCAAAACTGCACAAAACGTCATACAATTAACTAGGTGCCTTCCGATACGAGTTAGAAGCGTTTCGCAGCTGGCTGATCGAAAAGTACGGTCACGAAGACGAAGATGACCACCAAGCGGAACAGAAATAGGGATTCACTGCTGTTGCGCATTGGTCGTACCACATAAAATCAAGTGTGGAGATCATTATGATCATGTTGGCAGCTGCTCTGCCGGTGCCACATCCTCGGCGCATCAATTTCTCTACCCACGACTACCCACGACCTCAACCAAGCAGAAGAAGAAAATACCACGACCACCGCGCTCTCATAAATATGTGTGGTTGTTGTTTTCCTACACCGCAATGAACATTTTTGTATGTAAAAGTACTGTAGCCGTACTCCTCTCACCGAAAACTAGAAATATTGTATTGCTGATAAGGCCTTAATATTGTGATTTTTCTCAGTCTTCTTTGCGCCGCTAATGGATAATTTTACTTTTAGGGAAAACTCGCTGCTGTCGTTATGTATAGACTGCGTGACCTGCTTATGCTAGTACGCTCAGACTTGATGGTGTTGGATGAGTATTAGATCAAACTGCAGAGTCAAGAAGAAAGAGAACTATTATTTGACGAAAATTTTCGATTTCGTAACTGTCATTCTCTTCATAGTCAATCTCGTCAGAAGAAGCTAGTCGTATATATTTAAGTTCTTAAAAAAAGGGAACGTCCTGTGTAGTTACTGAGTCGTAGGTATAATTGATAGACACTCACAACTGTCAAATTTCAACATCCTGTTATGAAGATGATTTCAATTTCAACGTAGTGAATAAACGTAAAATCTGAATTTACCACTTATTGTTTTAGTCGTACTTGAACTTGTACTTGTTGTCGTTCAAGACCTGTTTCCTCATACGGGGGCATGCTCTGGTACGTACACCTAGTCGCTAATGCACGCAGAAAATTCTCTAGCTTGAAAAATATGAATCGTAGTTCAACGTCAACCAGCGCATCTTCGTAAATTGTCAGAACTTCCCGCCCCAAGGCGAAGAAGTCACGTGGTCACACATGTTAGCTATATTGAAATTTCACTCCTCTTGTTCAGAACTTCATCCCTAACCTTGTAATCATATGAGCTGTAACTATGATCCCTCGAATGATTAAGTATCATCGTCAAGCACCTAAACGAGCAGCACAAAAAGTACTGCGCCGGTGGGGACAACACATCGCTGTGTTGGGCTCGTCGTCTTTGTTGGTTCATCCGTGACCCCTCCCGTCACGGGAGCAAGGTCGTGAAAAGAAATTCTTATTGATTCACTATGCAGAGCTTCGACGTATTTACTACAATACTCAAAATTTCCAGAATTCAAGTTCAACAATCAACTACAGATACTACATCAACATTGCTATACTACATCAACATTGCTGCAGCTGCTAGAAGCTGAATTAGTTCCGGCGAAAGTCGAAAAAGTATTAAAGCTGCATCGATTGAACAAAAGCGAACTTGGAAAAATGTCAGTTTTCAGATGATCCAACTTGCCGTTAATTATATCATTCGCTTTCTACAATTTTCGATCGACGAGAGTTCTTCTATCCACGACGTATTTTTACTAGTGACACTAACTATGTTTGAGTATGATGGAGACTAATAGTAATATCCAGCGTTGTTGTATAGTGAGAGCCCGAGGAGCAAGATCTGGGAAGTCAGCAGCAGCGGAACATGGTGGCGGCACGTGCCTTAATTGTGAGAAGCTGACCAGGACCGTTGAAGCAAAACTAAAATATCAAAATTGTAAGCTGTAAGCACGTGTTGAAATTTTTCAATTTTGTTTCAAATTGAATCCGAGGATATCGATAAACTGATGTGTCGCGAGGATGTTGCACAGTCATTGTAGGAGTTCTTATCTATTTTGTTTATCGATGGGGATGGTAATGGTATAGCTCTAGTTCTAGTGGTAGTTGTATGCGTAGAAGGGAGTCGCAATAGAAATAGAGAATTAAGACAAATATATAAAAATGCCCGAACAAGACGATGAGTGTCAGGCCCCCCCCATCGGCGTCAACGTCATCGATATCTCTGGTGTATTTATGGCCACAGCCGATGAACTCCAACTCCCTGTCATAGGCCTGATCTTTAGTCCAATTGTGCATGTACATTATCTCACGTTTGTTGTTGGAGTGATTTGTATGTTGAAATAAATTTGAACTTGATCAGAAAGTAGTAGATGGTTCTTCTTGATGGGAGCCCAAGCTCTTCTCGAGACGAGAAGTCGTTCCTTTGCGAACAAAGTGAACAGCTTTATCTTAATAGCAGTAGAAGGTTCTGATGTTGTCGGGATCATTAAGATGATGTTGAATAGAAACTGGGTCGATAAAATCATCATGAAGAACGCGCTGTTGTTGTATCTAATTAGCAGGTGTTGCTGTTGCCCGGACTGGTGCTCGCTCCGCCGATGCAAGACCGATCCCGCCCTGTTTGACCTTTTGAATAGTCTGTGATTTCTAATCTCCCTTATTTCTCGAATGCAATTGTATGTTGTATGTGCCCATTGATGTAAGTCAATGAATATTAGCTATTGTTCGTATTCCTTAATAGGTAAAGCCCACCCCTCTCTCTTTCTCTGGAGCTGGACGAATGGCCTTCATCAATGTTGGAACAGCGCTCTCTATTCGCGCAATCCTTCTCCTCGGATTAAAGAGGTGGATGTAATATTGGGGAAACATTTATAAAGCATCACAAACTCAATGCGCAACAGGAATACATAGGACTCTGCTTGTTCGTCATATGTCTCTCTGAAGAGAGCATGACGACGACTAGGAGACTTAGAGTTCCAAGTGAGACATTGTTATCTTGGGACTTAAAAATGATGTGTTCTTCGCTGTGGAGGATCATGTGCTGGAGGAGTACAAATGATGGTAAAGATCATGTTTATGTTTCCGTTCGATCGCGAAAGTTAGCAGGAACTACACCAGGAGAAGCAGGAGTGTTCGTACCATTATTTTCATACTGACCTCTAGAGGATCAGATTGGAAGCGTGACAATGATGTGCGTTTTTAGAAGCAGATGCGCATTACGAGACTATCACTATGAAGTGGATCAGGCCAGTCTATCTACTAGCGCTCGCATGATCGAGCATGCTGGGCACTTTTGTACTTGCTTTCTCACATATCTCTCTCATTTATGGGGGTGCGTCTCGATCTTGAAATCGACCTTGCTTTTCTTCTGCGAAGACGAGAAGCCGGACCGTAAGAGGACGAGCGAAAATACGCAGCTAAAAGCGAGAACGTGTAGTCCTCGCGCGAAAAAATTATTCGCTTCATCTGGTGCAATAAAGAGGTACAACACCTTGACATCTTCAAAGCCAGAAAGCACAAGCCGAAGAGCAAGAAGATGTCTTCAACTTCATGTTCTTTTCAGAGCTCTTCTTCTAGTAGATGCTATTTCGTTTCGAGGATGGGTGAATCCTATGCGATACCACAGCCTCAATCACGAGGGTCATCAAGTGCTCAGTCTGTTTCACAACCTGGACGATGGCGAGTCAGTCCAGAGCGTTCAAAAAGCGATAACATTGCATTACGAAACAGAAGGTACGTCTACAGTACAGAACAACTACTTCCACTTCCACTTCCAGTTCCACCTCTCTTTCTTCACCACCTTTTTGTATTTTGATAAGTTTCTAGTTGTACCTACTTCTACCCTGAAGTAACTCACCTTGAGCTGCAGGGAAGTACTTTTACTTCGCGTCTACGCTTCAACTTCAGATTTGTGGCGTGAGCGGCAACGGGATAACCGCGCGAAGTACATGAGTGGTGTCAGTGATTGCAATATGACACTGTCAACCACGGATTATCTACCGCATCTCAAGTTGCTGGAAGCGCGGGGTGCAAAGCTAACGCGAACATTTGTGAACATTGGTGCTCAAGACGGCGTAACAGAAGATCCAGTATTAAGACAACCAAGAGAGCATCCCCATCCTCAACATCATCCTTGATGGCCATTTCCCTAAGGGAACAAGAAGTGGCCAAGGATGCGGCCAGGGATGCGAACGGGCTAACTCTAACAGTATACGCGTTCGTTCACGAGTATGGCGCGCGTGGCCTCTACTTCGAACAAGACCCAGAAATGTGCAGAATCGCAGATAGAAACCTGAACGGGAAAAATAATGGTAACAAGAGTCGGGAATCCAAGACAAGACGAAAGAGACGAGATAACAATGAGATAGACGCGATGCTAGCAGACGATGAAGACGAGATGAAAGAGAATGGAGCTGAAGAAGGGAACCACAACCAGCACGGGTCTTCAACAACAACAGGTGGCGGTAGAAAAGCTTCTGAACAAGGAAGCACAATAAACCACTCCAGCTCCTCCGGCACGCGTACTAGTACACCTTCTAGCAACAACAAGCAGATAATCGTTTGTGCTGGCGTGTCGCCAAATAACATCGTCGGACTTCTGGACCGGTATGGTAGCGAGCTCCTGCGCGAACAAGGAGCGGCATTATCCGACGTCGAGCAGGACGAGCACGAAGGCGGCGGACAAGGTCACTTGCGGCATTTTGACCTGATTAAGATCGATATTGATAGTTTCGACGCACCTGTCTTGGAGGAGATTTTGTCCGCTGGCTACTCCGCGAAGCATTTCATCATTGAGATCAATCCTGCAATACCACCACCATTCCGTTTTGCAACACACTATCATCCGAAGCTCTTTCCGGCAATGATCAACGCAAGCATGCATGACTGGCCCCTTCGTGGGATGAGCCTCTCCTACGCAGTGGCGAGGATGCGAAAAGCGGGCTATCTCTTCGTTACATTCGGATACCACGATGCTGTATGGCTTATAACTACCATTGCTATTTCAGTAATGAAGGAAGCACGACGACATTTGCGGCTGAGCGAAAATTGAACAATATAATTTTCCACGATAATTGAGAGCTAAATAAAGTGATACCAAGAATAAAAAGCCTCTCTAGGTGTGCTTCTTTCTGCCGCTCTACAGTCTAGCAACAAACCTCTCTAGATGTGCTCCTCCTTCCTTTTCCTGTCCGTCTGCGTCCTTTTTCCTGTTTGCCAACTCCACCTTCTGTTGCTTTCATAGTCGTACTTCGTGCATCGAAAATATGCCTCGGCCTACAATTTCCGCGCTCCTTACGACGAGTATGACTGTTACCACGGAGGCTTTATCATGTCGAATGGGGTCCCGATTGAGAAAACGCGGGAATGGTTCTATCGCTCATCTCGAGAGCGCGCGCAGAGCGAAATTTTCACTCACATGGTCTCACATAGTCTCAAAAACACGCAAGGAAAGTATGCCTTTCCGTTTTTCCTGAGTTACGGAATGGAAGACCAGAATTAATTTGAGGGAACAAGAAAGCTAATGACTATGACTACACAGTAAATCAATATTAATAGATGAAGCCTCCTCGTCAATGGATGAAACACTGAAACAATTTTAATTTTTTCAACATATAATACATAACGAAAACCTCCACTGGACCAGCGCTTAGTATCACTAGTGCGAGACCAGCCTCCTAAAAGCGACAGAATGTGATACATCTAGACCACGGCAGGAATAGCATCTGCCAAATGTAATCTCTAAACCCATTTTTAGTTGCGTCGAATCTGTTGTCCAAGCAGGAGCAACGGCACGATCGGTCATTTTGAGCGGAAGATGTCTTAGACAGCTACCTTGAGGCACAAGTGAGCCCCTCAGAAAATTCAGCAACATGAATAATATGTAGTCGGTATGGAGTAAAGTACTTCTGTTAACCCGCAAGATTCTACTTGAAGACACGATGCTCATCAAGAGTGAGAGGTTTGAGATTCAATGTCGACGGCTGAGGTTGCCTTACAACCTATAATTAAGGGTAGGTTAAAGGTGCTTTTCTTACCGCTTTTTATGCCTCTCCTAAGGGAGAAAGGCATAACAAGCGGGGTAAGCGAGCACCAAAAACCTACCTCTAATATAAAGTCTGTACTCAGAGGATCACTATCTGTCGTTTTGATGAGAGCCTGTAGATGCATGGAGTTCTTGTGTCGTGACACCTACGTACTCCACGCTCATCGACATCAGCTTTGTACTCCTGCTCAATGATGGATTGGTATTTTCGATATCGCAAGTAGTGCATCTAGTATAATTCGATAATCCAACGAACTCGTCTTTCTACAGGTTTTATGCTTTACTGTTCTGTTCTCTTTTGTATTTTCTTGGTGCTCATGAAGTAGAAATAAGAAGAATCTCATCTTCTTCAAATAGTAAGAGATAAAATCATTAATTATGAGGTGGAGGTACAGGTAGTATGTCATGATGACTTGATTGCCTAGTCGATTGGTTGAGTCTTGTTGATTCTTTCTTGATGATGTCGTCTTTGCAAAATTCCACGGCGTGTCGACCCTTATCTATTTTTGTTGTTTTACAGGACGAGTTTTCCCCTGATAGTCGATTTGATGTTTTTGTCGTGCTAAGAGATCCTGATCTTGTACTTAATTAGACTAGCCTCCACAAGCTTCGCCCGGCTTCAGGTTAGTTTAGCACTTTTCTGCGGCCTCCCACGGGCTACAGCCGCTAGAGTAGAGACAGCCGGCGGGTGAGCTGATGCACCTTACGAATTGACTACGACAAGAGCCGAGTGCCGGCGGTGGCCGACTCAG